TCACTTAAAATAAAAAATAAAATAAAAACCAAATGAAAACAAAACCTGGATTTCTCGAGCCCGACCTTCAAACCATATTCAACGATCTGCATAAGTACGTAATTGTGTCCAAGATAGACCAAGAATGTAATAAATTGATCCATGTCTACAATGATTTAATATTTCATTCTTTTAAAAACTAGACACGCCTGACAACCAAGGTAATACTACCTTTACATTTCTCCATTTTTTCGAAACACGAAACACTAGCTACATGTAATCATGCGTAAATATTACAGTCTTTCCGAATATCGTATTCTTATAAAGGTCCTGTCTCGTTGGTATATGATTCCAAAACTTCACAAGAACTTGATAAGTGAGATGTTGTCGATTTAAACAACAGAAAAAGAGGACATTCAAACCAAAAATAAGAGTTATCATAATCCCTACAAAACCAACGGATGTGAAACCGGGGTCGTTGGAAGTAAACGCAGTTCCTACAGGATATGTGTCACCCATAACGATGGCTTTCGTTCAGATCAGGAAATAATCTTTTAGGAAATAAAAAAAAGGTCTAGTCGAAGAGCTGCAATGCTCCATACGGACTTGTTTGTATTTGCCTGCTCAAATATCTCAGAGTAACAATGAAATAAGATCCAGAAAGAAATATGTTTGACCCAAATTATAGCAATAGGATTGGTCACAAGTTATTGTGACTAATTATGAACGCCCTTTCCCAAAACAAATACATGGTTTAACATTTGAAAAAATAAAATTACTCCGAATAACCCTCGTAAATATGAATTTTCCAAACCTCACAATCAGAAAAGAAAGTAAAATTACAGAAAAAAAAGGAGTTTTAACAGAGAACTGTATACTGTCCAGTCCTTCGGAAGGTTTCGTGTCACTCTGTTCCGTGTGGTCCGTATAGTGTTATAACATACTGTTCCTGCCACAATTGATTTACCTTCGTCTATATAAGTGTGGAAATCAATACGGGTTAAACATATAGACAGGGTTTTGGCCCTCCCGATCCGTCATTTCTCAGACAATCCCAATATCTCAGCCGGCTCCCCCACTTAACAGCCGGCAAACGCCATCAATACTTACGAAAAGTATTATATAGACAATTTCCTATCTTGTATTGTGTATTAGTGACTGTCTCAGCAACTTAGTTATATATACGGCTTCTGTTATAGTAGCCGTACAGCAATGATGTGATCAGAAGAATCAATATTTTCCGATTGTGTTTCTGCTTATCGCAACAAAGGTTACGTGCCAAGCAAACTTTAACAACAAATACTTTCGATTTTGTAAGGTTTAGTATAGCAGCATCAACGCACAATGGGCATGTATCGGTGACTTGATTTTCACTTAGGCATTGAACTGTTTGTGTATGATATTTATGATCTATTTGAATGACACAGCTTTGCAAGCAAACAAATCATAATACGCGATCATAAATACCATACACAAACAGTTCAATACTTATATTGCCGTTTTCTCTGCCTCTTATGTTCTTTTTTAAATTACAATTTCTATTTAAAATTTAAAATTCCGCATTATCGACAGTCCACACAAATTCGTTCAATAGTTGGAACAGTGTTTTGTCGCGTGCTGATTGGCAAACAAAGTTAACCAATACTTAAAATTTATTCCACAATTCAGTATCAATACAATTGCGTATGATATGTCTATAGGATGATTTAAGTTTCTCAATAGAACTCTGAGCTGAAAGTTAGATTTGAAATTGTTTCAAATTTTCCCCGGAACAAATTTCGCGCATGGATAAATACAGTGAACACCGTGAATCCGACTTTGCCCCCCACGTTATTTTTGTAAGTTAAATGAGCAAAGAGAAAAGTTCGAATTTTTGAAGAATCCAGACGTGAATTTATTTGTTGATTGTATGGGAATCTGACTACAGTCGGTAGATTCTATAACTGCCTCGTTATTAGACATGTTGTCAGAAACTGAGTAAACCGTGGCTACGAGACGCGTGAAACTGATACTGTAGCGTTTGAAGTGAGTGATCTTGCGACGGAGCACAGGGGTTCGTTACAAATGTCTGAAATGTTTGTGTGCTGCGACTCATATCAGCAGGTCTGTAACATATGTGTCAGTAGGTCTATAGAATATGTGTATTTCAGACATTTGTAACAAACCCCTGTTGATCAATGTAGTGTACAGATTTTTGATAAATTGTACGAGTGCAATTGTTTCCATTGCCGGCATTGGTGATTTCAACCGATGTGCATTTTGTACGATATTGCAGACCTTGGTCTTGTTTTTGTTGTAATAAAAGTATTATTTTAGATTTTATTTTTTATTTTGCACATAAATTTACAATAGCATTGTCAAGTCTCACAATGCCCAGCGATATTTCAGCAGCCGTTATGTTTATTTACATTAAATATTATAGTTCCGGTCAGTATTGTATTCTAAATAAAATACGCTAAGAATTGTGTCTCTTGCTGCATGGTAATTAAAGTCCCATCAACGACACAGCTTTCAAAGAGGCTACATAGTGACAATGCCATGCAAATGCTAATATATATATATCATTTCCAAACAAGTTATATGACTGTTTTAAATGAACAAATGACATGTGTTCGTACATCCGGGTATCTTGAAAAATCGTGTTTTTTGTATTTCTTACATGACTCGTTTCCAAGCTATGGTGTCTCTGGTCTTTGCCCTCTTATCCCAGGACGGGAGTTGTATACTTGTCACCGTTATATGATTACGATTTTAAAGAATTTAACCCATGAAAACATAATACCAAATTGACCTCAAAACGTCGTCATAGAATCTCAATCCCACTTGCCCGTTAAAATTCTAACAAAATAAAGTTTCCATTTGTAAACCCAATCTTAAAGATTAAGCTTTAGATATTTTCTCTTTTCATTTTGTTGCCTCGCCCATCAGCCATACAGTTCGAAGTCAATCAAGCTAAATTATTTTGCACTAATCAGCATGTATGTATGTACATAGACAAAATGTACTTTATTTACTCTATATTGTCGATATGTCCCGGGTCCTTACAAAGAGATACGGCATTCCATTGTAATACCGCTGACACTTTCACTGGCATTTGGAGAAAAACCTAATGATTGGGGGAAAAAAACTAAAATTAACACCATCTACAAAAAAAGTGATAACTGTGAACCTAGGAACTCTAGACCCGTCATCTGGACATCCATAGGTCGTAACGTAAAGGGACGATCTTGTGGAGACACTTAGTGGAATATATGAAGCAAAATGAGCTACTTTCGCCAAGGCAATACGGATTCCTCCAAGGCGAGTCAACTACTCTACAGCTTCTTAAGGTACTGGACGAACGGACAGATGCTTTAGATCAAGGTTTATCTATAGATTGCATTATCATGGACTTTCAAATACCTTTTGATACCGTTCCACATAAAAGATTAATAAGTAAAATGTCATCGTACGGTTGAAGTGAACAGGTTATTAAATTGACGATAAGTTTCATTTCAAAAGGAGCTAGAACAAATGGTTTCGCTGAAAGGAGAAAATTCAAGCTGGACTACAATAACATAAATGATCTTCCAGATAATATCAACTCTATCGGATAGTTTTTTGCTGATGATACAAATGATGTTCAAGCGGATATGAAAAGACTCTCCGGCTTGCTTACTGCACCCACTTTTCCCCTACTAAGGCCCTACCCTTGTTCCGCTCATATACGAACCACTCCGAACAAGGCCATCTACGCCCGTGGTAATACACTATTCAATCATGTTAGACGTAAAATTTGGGCAAATGATCGATTCAGGAATTCCAATTCATGAAACAGGAAAGACAACTCGTAGTCGAGACATGTACACTTATAAGACTCCAAATTAAACTGTCTATATATCACTGTTTAGTACATCTGTTTTATGAATGTTCATTTGTTCAACCTCTATGTCCTTAAAGTGATTTCCTGGATATACCGGATCTTAAATAAAATTGTTTCCTTGTATTCTGTACTTTACTGTTCTCGTGCTCTGTTTTATCTCCCTATACATTGTATGTGCCATTTCCTGTTTCTAGTGGCAGAATCATTACTAACCTTTGTTCCTACACACATGTAGTAATATGATAGAAAATCCGCTTTCGGTGCCCACGTCGTTCATTTTATATGTTTAACTTAAACGCCGAATTGGCCATGTTTACATTAAAAATGATACTCCGAGTGTCATAGTTGATACTCCGAGTGTCATTGTACTATTCGGATGTATTTGCATTATCGAGGGCGAACTGATTGCTGAAATTTCTGATTAACTATTGTTTACATTGTGAACATAATTCCTGAATCATTACAATTGATTTCAATGATTCTACGTTCATGATTCCTTGTCCGTTATTATGTTTGATAATTCCGCTCAACTGTAAAGTGGCACTGAAGATAATGCCGTTTGTTCAAAGACAAACGTCTTATGCTAATGGAACATACTTGAATTTAACTGGTATTTTATTATTTTACTAGTGTATACAAGTAATGACACCAATCAAAACAATACAAGGATATGGATATTAATGCACTGGGAAATGTTACAATACTGTAACCAAACACAATATCAATGGCAGTTGTACACACAGTATACTCAATATCGGTAAAATACACAGCTCCAATGCCGTCACTTCAGGTAGGAATCACAAAAACTAACATAGGACAATGGGTCAGACGTTTCACTGGTTTTCCATCTTTCCGGCTATTCAATGTAAAGTGACGTTCCGCAACATTCGGAATTTTCACTATCCAAAATCTTATTGCAGTTTCGGGTATGGAAGCGTAGTTAAAGCGGGCAATGGTGTATAAAGTTAAAGAGGGGTATCCATGACTCCGGTTACAAAAGATCACGATATTGTCATGTATATATATTGACTCAGATCATTTAGTTTGATGTCTTTGGTGAGAGATCCATGTCGATATCAGTCTAGTTTTGTGACCGTGACCGTCTTTTTGGCCGGAGTGTAGGCGGGACTAGTCCACAGTCCTATCAGGGCCACGATATGACACACGTGGAGGGCTGAACTACTGAAATCAGTGGAGGGATACGTGTTCCATGCCATTTCTATCACCCCCAGCAACAGCAACCTGAAAGGTCAACGTTTAAATCTACATAGTCGTGAATTACGTTTGAATCAGGTCTAACAGGTATGGCGGTTAAGCGCCTGTATCTCTCTACAGTAGACAACTAGAGAAAAGACACGCGCGCGCAAAAAAAAAGGTTTCAGTGACCCGAAATAAATACAAAGGCTACTTCATTTATTGTGAAAATAAGAAGAAAATAATTCCGAAATCAATCGTTATTCATAAGTTTTGTTATATTTATAGAAACAAAGGAGTGTTCCGGATTCTAAACTTGATTCCACTTATGATTGTCATATTATGTCAATTACTTGCATAAGAATTAAGTCACCTTATGTCTGATAAGTACAGCACATTCAGAATTAAACATGGAATTTTCTCAATGGATAAAGTAAACATACCATGTGTATCTACAATATTGGTAACCAATAGTAACTGACTCTGTGTATCTACCATATTGGTAACCAGTAGTAACTAACTCTGTCTATCTACCATATTGGTAACCACTAGTAACTAACTCTGTGTATGTACCATATTGATAACCAGTAATAACTAACTCTGTGTATCTTCCATATTGGTAACCAGTAGTAACTAACTCGGTGTATCTACCATATTGGTAACCGATAGTAACTAACTCTGTGTATCGACCATATTGGTATCCAATAGGAACTAACTCCGTTTATCTACCATATTGGTAACCAATGGTAACTGACTCTGTGTATCTACCATATTATGGAATTTTCTCAATGGATAAAGTAAACAAACCATGTGTATCTACAATACTGGTAACCAATAGTAACTGGCTCTGTGTATCTACCATATTATGGAATTTTCTCAATGGATAAATTAAACATACCATGTGTATCTACAATACTGGTAACCAATAGTAACTGACTCTGTGTATCTACCATATGGATAACCAGTAGTAACTAACTCGGTGTATCTACCATATTGAGAACCAGTAGTAACTAACTCTCTGTATCTACCATATTGGTAACCGATAGTAACTAACTCTGTGTATGTACCATATTGATAACCAGTGGTAACTAACTCTGTGTATCTACAATATTGATAACCAGTAGTAAATAACTCTGTGTATCTACCAGATTGGTAACCAATAGTAACTACCTCTGTGTATCTACCATATTATGGAATTTTCTCAATGGATAAAGTAAACAAACCATGTGTATCTACAATACTGGTAACCAATAGTAACTGACTCGGTGTATCTACCATATTGAGAACCAGTAGTAACTAACTCTCTGTATCTACCATATTGGTAACCAGTAGTAAATAACTCTGTGTATCTACCACATTGGTAACCAGTAGTAACTAACTCGGTGTATCTACCATATTGGTAACCGATAGTAACTAACTCTGTGTATGTACCATATTGATAACCAGTGGTAACTAACTCTGTGTATCGACCATATTGGTATCCAATAGGAACTAACTCCGTTTATCTACCATATTGGTAACCAATAGTAACGAACTCGGTGTATCTACCATATTGAGAACCAGTAGTAACTAACTCGGTGTATCTACCATATTGAGAACCAGTAGTAACTAACTCTGAGTATCTACCATATTGGTAAGCAATAGTAACTAACTCTGTGCATCTACCATATTGGTAACCAATAGTAACTGGCTCTGTGTATCTACCATATGGATAACCAGTAGTAACTAACTCTGTGTATGTACCATATTGATAACCAGTGGTAACTAACTCTGTGTATCGACCATATTGGTATCCAATAGGAACTAACTCCGTTTATCTACCATATTGGTAACCGATAGTAACTAACTCTGTGTATCTACCATATTGATAACCAGTAGTAACTAACTCTGTGAATATTGGAAATATATAATGATAAACTGTATGAGTGTACAACAGGTATGTGATACCTCAAAATAAGTACTTAATATGGTGTCTGAGATGAGGTCATGAAAGGGTCGTCTTAGTAAAGAAATCTATATTTAGGGACGATATTCCGACAGTCGTGCCATTAGAGTACATGGAAGCACGACCAAATATGCGGAGATAGCTTTAGGGGGAAAATCGTGCTTATTTGCCAGACCTCTATCAATAGTCACAAGCACATGCAAATAAGGTATTTGATACAGTCAACGGCACAAAATATTTCATCAAATGTTCGATATTTTGCAGCAAATCAGATATGCTTGGTCTCGTAGCTCACTTAACATCAGATAAGGCTAGGGACACAGGCAGTGTTTTGTATGGACGTTATAGCATAAAACTGTAAAATAACATACAAATACACAGATCTCGTAATTCACGGTAATAGGGCAGTTAGATGTGTGGATTACAATAAATAGTGTACGGCAGTACAATACATAGAACTGTTACTTACCGTACTACGGTAGGTAGTGATGTGGACCACAGGGGATAGTGTAACATAAATAGAACTGTTACTAACCGCACTACGGTAGGTAGTGATGTGGACCACAGGGGATAGTGTAACATACATAGAACTGTTACTTACCGTACTACGGTAGGTAGGGATGTGGACCACAGGAGATAGTGTAACATACATAGAACTGTTACTTACCGTACTACGGTAGGTAGTGATGTGGACCACAGGAGATAGTGTAACATACATAGAACTGTTACTTACCGTACTACGGTAGGTAGTGATGTGGACCACAGGAGATAGTGTAACATACATAGAACTGTTACTTACCGTACTACGGTAGGTAGTGATGTGGACCACAGGAGATAGTGTAACATACATAGAACTGTTACTTACCGTACTACGGTAGGTAGTGATGTGGACCACAGGAGATAGTGTAACATACATAGAACTGTTACTTACCGTACTACGGTAGGTAGTGATGTGGACCACAGGAGATAGTGTAACATACATAGAACTGTTACTTACCGTACTACGGTAGGTAGTGATGTGGACCACAGGAGATAGTGTAACATACATAGAACTGTTACTTACCGTACTACGGTAGGTAGTGATGTGGACCACAGGAGATAGTGTAACATACATAGAACTGTTACTTACCGTACTACGGTAGGTAGTGATGTGGACCACAGGAGATAGTGTAACATACATAGAACTGTTACTTACCGTACTACGGTAGGTAGTGATGTGGACCACAGGAGATAGTGTAACATACATAGAACTGTTACTTACCGTACTACGGTAGGTAGTGATGTGGACCACAGGAGATAGTGTAACATACATAGAACTGTTACTTACCGTACTACGGTAGGTAGTGATGTGGACCACAGGAGATAGTGTAACATACATAGAACTGTTACTTACCGTACTACGGTAGGTAGTGATGTGGACCACAGGAGATAGTGTAACATACATAGAACTGTTACTTACCGTACTACGGTAGGTAGTGATGTGGACCACAGGAGATAGTGTAACATACATAGAACTGTTACTTACCGTACTACGGTAGGTAGTGATGTGGACCACAGGAGATAGTGTAACATACATAGAACTGTTACTTACCGTACTACGGTAGGTAGTGATGTGGACCACAGGAGATAGTGTAACATACATAGAACTGTTACTTACCGTACTACGGTAGGTAGTGATGTGGACCACAGGAGATAGTGTAACATACATAGAACTGTTACTTACCGTACTACGGTAGGTAGTGATGTGGACCACAGGAGATAGTGTAACATACATAGAACTGTTACTTACCGTACTACGGTAGGTAGTGATGTGGACCACAGGAGATAGTGTAACATACATAGAACTGTTACTTACCGTACTACGGTAGGTAGTGATGTGGACCACAGGAGATAGTGTAACATACATAGAACTGTTACTTACCGTACTACGGTAGGTAGTGATGTGGACCACAGGAGATAGTGTAACATACATAGAACTGTTACTTACCGTACTACGGTAGGTAGTGATGTGGACCACAGGAGATAGTGTAACATACATAGAACTGTTACTTACCGTACTACGGTAGGTAGTGATGTGGACCACAGGAGATAGTGTAACATACATAGAACTGTTACTTACCGTACTACGGTAGGTAGTGATGTGGACCACAGGAGATAGTGTAACATACATAGAACTGTTACTTACCGTACTACGGTAGGTAGTGATGTGGACCACAGGAGATAGTGTAACATACATAGAACTGTTACTTACCGTACTACGGTAGGTAGTGATGTGGACCACAGGAGATAGTGTAACATACATAGAACTGTTACTTACCGTACTACGGTAGGTAGTGATGTGGACCACAGGAGATAGTGTAACATACATAGAACTGTTACTTACCGTACTACGGTAGGTAGTGATGTGGACCACAGGAGATAGTGTAACATACATAGAACTGTTACTTACCGTACTACGGTAGGTAGTGATGTGGACCACAGGAGATAGTGTAACATACATAGAACTGTTACTTACCGTACTACGGTAGGTAGTGATGTGGACCACAGGAGATAGTGTAACATACATAGAACTGTTACTTACCGTACTACGGTAGGTAGTGATGTGGACCACAGGAGATAGTGTAACATACATAGAACTGTTACTTACCGTACTACGGTAGGTAGTGATGTGGACCACAGGAGATAGTGTAACATACATAGAACTGTTACTTACCGTACTACGGTAGGTAGTGATGTGGACCACAGGAGATAGTGTAACATACATAGAACTGTTACTTACCGTACTACGGTAGGTAGTGATGTGGACCACAGGAGATAGTGTAACATACATAGAACTGTTACTTACCGTACTACGGTAGGTAGTGATGTGGACCACAGGGGATAGTGTAACATACATAGAACTGTTACTTACCGTACTACGGTAGGTAGTGATGTGGACCACAGGGGATAGTGTAACATACATAGAACTGTTACTTACCGTACTACGGTAGGTAGGGATGTGGACCACAGGGGATAGTGTAACATACATAGAACTGTTACTTACCGTACTACGGTAGGTAGTGATGTAGACCACAGGGGATAGTGTAACATACATAGAACTGTTACTTACCGTACTACGGTAGGTAGGGATGTGGACCACAGGAGATAGTGTAATGTATGAAAGTACCATACATAGAACTGGTAATGCAGAGATCGGCTAAAACACATCCCAACAAAGTTACAGGTAAACAATGGCAGTACGATCTGTATGTCTGGGTTAAGGAGACTTTCTTAGACGATCTGTAGCATAACCTGTTAAGTAAGTTTCATTACTATATCGTTACATTAAAGGAATCACGTGGCAGCATAACAGTAAATTTGACAGGGTCTGAAATAGAGAGTCACTCCTTTGTAATCTTCTTGAATATGGGTGAAAGGTCATTTTTTCATTTGCCCTTCATCCCAGCATGCAACTGGCCAAATATCATCACCCTGGGCATTTTTGTTATGAAGAAGTTGTTTACAGTTTTTAACATATTTGAACCCTTTGACCTTGATTATGAGTGAAGGTCATTTATTTGAACAAACTTGGTAGCCTTCCATCCCAGCATACTACTGACCAAATACCACCATCCCTTCGGGCCAGGTGAGCTAAAAAAAATGACAGGCCCCATTGTCATGAGCAAACAATTTTTAAGTTCTGATCAAGGATATGAGTTGGTGACAAAGACACTCCTGATGGTTTCATCCACAGCTGGAATGACGTCCCAGGAAATAATCTGAAATAAAACATGATCTCAACATGGGTATGTTGTAGGGACATTTACTGGAAGTCAAAATAACACTCATCGAAACTTCAGGCATTGTTCAATACTTTTTATTATACCTCTACTTTATTTACTCGATACAAAAGTAATTGGTTAAATCGAATATATCCCCACTTTTGCCTGACTGTGTTTTAGTCCTGTGTGTTAGTCTGGGAACTAAAATACACCTACACTCTGGTGTTTCCGCCGAGCCAATCAGGCGAGAGGTGGGTGGAGCTTGTTACCGAACTCTGAAGCATTTGGCTCCATTGCCATCAAAAGGGTAGTTGGGACGTGAAGCTATACAGCTTATGGTTTACAAACAATTTCTAGTTTTATGGTTTACAAACATTTTCTAGTTAAAACTATCTCTCCAGTGTGTATCGGTATAATAAAACGTTTAAGTATGGGGTTGAGGGATTATAGCAAGTTTCTGGTGTCCCTTGACTATGCCTATTTCCCTCGGCTTTGCCTCAGGAAATAGACCTGGTCTCGGGACACCATGCAGAAACTTGCTATATCCCTCAACCCCCTACTTTTACTGTATAATAATATACTCATATATCTACACTGCATACAAAGAGTATTTAAATATCATATGTATAGGTTCGATATCTGTGCTATATAACCATACATGGATATTACAAGTAGAATGCATGAAAAATTGATAAATTAAAGAAAGAAACTTATAAAGTGTGAGTAATGTATGATATATAAGAGAGAGTAAATCTAGTTTATATTACAGTTAATTTGTAAAATAGAAAGATAACTTATATAGAGTTAATTTGTAAAATAGAAAGATAACTTATATAGAGTTAATTTCATCCAGGTGACTGCTAAGAAATAGTCAGGAAAAAATTACAAAATGGCCAATAAATTTAAGTTTCCAAAAGAATTAGATTAGAAAGCAAAAAGGAATCATTTTAATTCTATTGAATGCAAAAAAGGTTCAAATGTATTGTACACTATAGTTTGACTTATAAATGAAGGGGAGGTTACTGTATGTACGAAAAACCACACAACAGTGGGACACAGATCCTTAGCTTAGAATTTTACATATTAAAGAGAAAATATGTAAAAATCAAAAATTCTCAACCTAATTTTTTTTCACAATTTCTGCGTCAAGAAATGTGATCAAGTCTGATTTTCTCTTTTTTGAAAAGAATTATGAAAGTTCCTGTTCAACTATTAAGCATTTTAATTGAACAATTTTTTTCTTATAAGTTACAGCCAATCATCTGAAAATATTTTAAATGTTTATCACAGAATAGATTAAATCACAAACAAAATATATAATAGCAATTATGATTTTTGAACAGTATTACATTTCAAAATAACTATTGAATTTTGAATGATTTTAATAGAGGGTAGATCTAGGGCCGTCACATGCCAAGAAAGTATGGCCATTGTTTAACAAAATGGCTACTAAAAATCAGACTTTGCTACTTTTTGCCTACTGATGTTTTAGGTCCAGGATGAGCCCTGAAAGGCCTCTTACTGGAGATTGTTTGAAGGTTTCAATGACATCATCATTAAGTGTGCAGGTGTGTTATACATACCATTCTAACAGGAAGATGCATTATATGAATATTGGAATATTTGTATCTTAACTTTTATTATGTTTGCTACTGATCAATATCTTCCTTACCTTTTCCATTTGAAATAGAAGAAGAGTAGCAGTACCATCAGGTGTGTGGCTAGTAATAGTAAGTGGAAATAGCGATTGAGGAAAATCTCCTCCGATAAAAATCGCCAGTTAACTGTCCATTTGAAGAAAAATTGTCGTCCCAAATTGAATGATCTCGCTATGTATCCCATCGGGTTTACTAAGAGGAAAGGCAATCCCATCAAAATCTGAAATATGGAAGAAAATTGGGCACCAATAATGTATACTGAAAAGGTTTACTGGGGATGGGGGGAGGGGGGAGACAAATCCATTTAAATCTTAATTATATAATAACCTATATCATTATAAAATATGTGTATTTCAGACATTTGTAACGGACATCTGTGCCTTATGTAAATAATGAAGGTGTTTACTTGGAGCAACAGAAATTCAATCAAACCTCAAATAAAAAAGGAAATGTTGGACACTTATATCGTATCTTACAAAAGGGTTTACTCATAGGAATGACAAGCCAATCAAAACCAGCAAGAGAGAAGGACATTTTGTTGGTTACGACAATCTAACTATGGAGGTGTATTAAATTTGTAGTTTATATGTACAACCCAACACTCACTTCCTCGCATTAGCTTGAAGACAGGTTTTACAAAGGTGTCATCTGTTAGTAAAGTATAAAGTTGTCCCTAGGTTAGTATACTACAATTTACATGTCTTGTTTAACATCATATTTCCCTTACACCAATTTCTCTCCTCTGTATCTAATGTTGCTAATTTAGTTTTATATTACATTATTTGTTTGAACACCTCTGAATATGTTCTTTTTTACTGCTCATTAAATTACATACAATTCATGCTTACATAGCTGACATGTAACGATGTGGAGTATAGAGACCATTAAAATAGGACATGTGGGTCAAAGACATCAGGGTCAGTAGAACAGAGCAGGTCAAAGGCATCAGGGTCAGTAGAACAGAGCAGGTCAAAGACATCAGAGTCAGTAGAACAGAGCCGGTCAAAGGCATCAGAGTCAGTAGAGCAGAGAAAGTCAAATGCAACAGGGTCAGTAGAGCATAGCAGGTCAGAGGCATCAGGGTCAGCAGAGCAGAGCAGGTCTAAGGCATCAGGGTCAGTGGAGCAGAGCAGGTCAAAGACATCAGGGTCAGTAGAGCAGAGCAGGTTAAAGGCATCAGGGTCAGAAGAGCAGAGCAGGGCAAAGGCATCAGGGTTAGTAGAGCAGAGCAGGGCAGAGGCATCAGGGTCAGAAGAACAGAGCAGGTCAAAGTAATCAGGGTCAGTAGAGCCGAGCAGGTCAAAGGCGTCAGGGTCAGTAGGACAGAGCAGGTCAAAGGCATCAGGGTCAGTAGAGCAGAGCAATGAATTTTACAAAGCTTAACAACACCTCCTAGTCTACAGACAATCATCTAGTTTCAGCAATATCTTAGTTAATTGTATTTCTTTACAATGATGTACAACATTCACACCAATTACAAACATTATTCAGAAACAAGGAAATGTCTTATACACATCTAGTTTAAACAATATTTTCAACAATAGTCATACACAACACATGAAATAAAGGAATAAGGATTTGACAGTAAGCTCATAGCTTATACAAGTCATCTCCCTGTACACATATGTGTGACTACATACTTGCTGTTAAAATTAAAACAGGCTAGGAGTATTACTCAGTACATACTTGGGAGGTGGCACAGATTGTCAGATACTTGAGAGAACCAACTGTTCCATGTCTGACAACCAGAAGCATCAGCAGGGCTGGGGCAAACAGCAGCACATTCATCTTCACACCAACTCCAAAACTGTAAAATAGCAACATGTATTAACACAACAACACCAAAACTGTTGTAATAGCAACATGAGTCTACACACCAACACCAAAACTATAAAAGTAGCAACATGAATCTACACCGCAACTCCAAGGCTGTAGAATAGCAACACGTATTAACACAACAACACCAAAACTGTTGTAATAGCAACATAAATTTACATACCAACTCCAAAACTGTAAAATAGCAACATGTATTTATGCAACAACACCAAAACCATTGTAATAGCAACATATATTTACACAACAAACCAAAACTGTTGTAATAGCAACATGTATTTACACAACAAAATAAAAACTATTACAGTAGCAGCAATTTAAGACTGGGCTATTAAAAGTGTAACATGTATTTACACAACAAACCAAAAGTGTTGTTAAAGCAACAAACAACAAGCTAAAAACTATAACAGTAGCAGCAATATCTATGACTGGACTAATCTATTAAACGTTCCTGTGTATAGTTTTCTTTTTCAAATATTATGAGTGTGCCAATTCATCAATTCACTAATATATTAAAATTTGTTAATACACTAAAACTTGTGTCTGCTTAATTAAGTACTTTTTAAGCGTAAGAAGTTCTAACACAAAGATTGAAATTAAAAACCAAATCTTCATCTTCAGAACAACAGTGAATCTCTAATGATGTGAAATTTCACAATGATATTTTTGTCATTGAATATCAAATTCACCTGAATTCATTCGTACACTGTTACATGTACTTCCATAGTGGTCTCACGCTTACTTGTTTACATCTTTATCAATAATTAGCTTTATAATGTACAGCCTCAGAAGGTGTCAGAAGGTAGAATTATACTAACATTAAAAGGATATGAAGGGATACAGGAATCTCAACACCTAAGAACGGGTCAATGACTTTATTGATATTGACATGTTTCAAATCGCTATAGGATTCACCATCAGGATGCCCAACACAATCTAGTACAAATTTGCAGTTACATTATAATAATGTGACTACATTGTAATGTCACCAATATTGCATAGCGTTAAAAGATTACAGAACACTCCTGTTTCTCTAAAAAAGGAGGAATAACAAAAGTCAAACCAGACTGTTTATATTTTTACCTGAATACAAGGCAGCCCCACCCCCAGCTGTCACGGAGGAACAAATCTACCGCCAGGTACAGAAACAGCATGGCCACTGGGTCATTGAACAGCCGTAGGATGTATATGGAGTGGATACGATATGACGCACAGCACATGAAGAACAGTACATATGGTGGCACCTACAATAACATTTAGTAGGTTTTAAAATTAAGCAAGAAATGTGTTGGTCCGATCCTTACAACAAGAAATGGTTTTAAAACAATTAAACCTAATGTAAATATCTTCTATTCAGCATAACTAGCACTGTAGTTTTTTGAGTATATATATTGTACCACTTCCTAGATTGTGTAAATACCCTTATCTTATAAGAACCTATATTGTATAAATACCCATATCTTATAAGAACCTATATTGTATAAATACCCATATCTTATAAGAACCTATATTGTATAAATACCCATATCTTATAAGAACCTACATTGTATAAATACCCATATCTTATAAGAACCTACATTGTATAAATACCATTATCTTATAAGAACCTAGATTGTATAAATACCCATATCTTATACGAACCCACATTGTATAAATACCCATATCTTATAAGAACCTAAATTGTTTGAATATCCATATTCTATAAGTACCTACATTGTATAAATACCCTTATCTTATAAGAACCTACATTGTATAAATACCCTTATCTTATAAGAACCTACATTGTATAAATACCCTGTCCCATATTTTATACAATGTAGGTACATACATTGTTTCATGTATGAATACCCATATTTTCTCAGTACCTACATTGTATAAATACCCATAATCTATAAGTATGGATGTACACCCCTGCACGTGGTGGATCGGGAAAAAGAATACACCTGCTGATACCCACAGCATGTACCGTAGGAGGCGACTTATGCGGGAACCCCCTGCAGAATTATGGATTTGCTTTGGTGTCCTCTATTTGGGGACACAAAAGCGACCATAATAAATCTGCTGCACCCACTGCAATATTTGGGATCTTTATCTTCCTTTCTACTTCTAACTACCTTTTATTTCCTCGCGCCTTCTTTGGCAACACCTCACTTTTGGCTTGAATTATGAGCGTTTGCCCAGATGAGGAAGGCAATGGGTTCTGTCCCCAAGCCTGACCATACCAAAGTCCTTAAAAATGGTAGTTGCTATTCCCTGCTTAACGTTCAGCATTTAGGGTAATGGCAACAACTGGTTCATCCATTGTCAGCATAATGTGAGCGAGTGAGATAGTACTATAAAGTCGGCATCAGATCTGCACTATCACAAAAAGGCAAGTACACCAACATACCCTGTCTCCTGTATACACACAAGCAAACATGCATACACTACACACAATTGGAGGTCCGTCCTTAAATAACCTTAAGTAGCTGTTAATAGGATGTTAAACAAATTAAACCAAACCCAACATTGCATAGATACACATATTTTATAAGTACTAACATTCTATACATTTGTAACTACCCATATTTTATATTGAAGTAAATTCCTACATTGTATAAGTATATATATGCTATACATAGATACCACCCTGTAGTATATGTATCTGTTTCGTAAAGGTATGTGTTTATTTCTATATTTCACTTCTATATATAATTTGATGCTCATGGTTAATTTCACAATGTGAAATAACATGGCATGATATCAAATTTGTACTGATAAGAAATAATGTTTTAAATCAACTTTAAATCAAATCATACATTTGCTCCCGACAAAAAAATCTTTCTCCTTGATATTTGTGTTATGAGGTTAACAGAGGTAACTCATAGGAATGGATTAGGATTTATATGTAATTTTATTTGTTAATCCTCAAATATAATATATTTGTTGGAGCTCGTAGATTATACTGAGAATAATTTCATTCTTTATAGATATAAATCCTAATCAATCATCACTCATTGACTATCCTCTAAGTATTTACTGTACCTGTTTCACTTGTCTGTATATATCAAAGATGACAATTAAAGACAGGACATACAAAGCAGCAAATATGTACTGAGCCAGTACAATGTTCAGGCCCTTCTCTGTGATGTGGTACAGGCCCAAAAATATGTACACAAAGCCTGCAGGATACCTGATAAATGTACACAAATAAATCAGGAGACATGTTTAATACACAAATCATACAGGTATTCATATTTAAGCAATCATTGAAGAATTAGATGTCTGATTAATTACATTTTTTGTAGATATATAAATCTGGTCATTTATACAAAACAAGTATTAATACAAAAAATAAAAAAATAAATAATATCTGATATACGTTTGCGAAGAACAATCTTGTCTCTTGTTGCTGATTTGTCTCTAGGAATGATGGAATTGTAAACTTTTTTGTTGTTCGCCAACAGGACAATTCATCCCCAATAGAGTATACGTCACATCACACAGTCTTAGCTTAACGGGGACCAGTCAGTCAGTCTGCCTTGGAATGACAATAAGGTTTTACTACCCAATCAGATTTCAGTGGAAGTGTTGACAGAGATATTAAGCCATTTTCCCTACTCATGTGTCAATTCTGGATGTGATCTCAAAGTTCCTAGAATACTACATGTAAAATATGAACAAAACTCTGCATGCATATATCATTTGACAAATATACCTACACCAATGGTCCTGTGTCGCCCTTCAGAGTCATGTAGTCATACGATCCATTCACCACTCCACCAACTTCCTGCATGTAGGCGACCCAGTCTATTTCTGTATCTGAGTCAAACAAGAAAGATAAACTATCACTGACAATTCTGATGAACTGAAATATAATACGGTAAAAGGAGACCAAATCTGTATCAGCTGCATCATTTGCATCATCATTAACTTAAGTGATTTTTTTAGATTTTTTTTCAGGCAAGTCTTTCAAAATTTTGATGATGAGTCCCATTATACTATTAAATATAGTGGGTTCCCAAAATATGATAAAGCATCACAGAAAAAACATGAGTCCAGGACTCAAATATCTGTGTTCTAAGATTTACTAAATATTAATTTTATTTCATATTATAATTAATTTGATGACAGATCTAGAAGCAAATTCATGACAATGTTCAAGGACCTATATCGTATTGTATTCCTAAACTCAAGCAGTGATATTGAGGTTTAGTTTTAAAGATAGAAGTTTGTGTAGCAGAACTGGACTGGGTCGATCATCGGCAACCAGATAGCTCAATTGGTAGAGCATCCGTCTAGAGTTCGGTGGGGTTACGGGTTCGAACCCCGGTCTGGCCATGCATTTTCCTCTCCTGTTACATTTGGCGCCCAACGGAATATACCCACAGAAGGTGGTATAGGGTCTCATGTGCCAATAGGAAGTGAAATATTTGGTGTTTTGGTACAGAAATCGTTAATATTCCTGTCTTTCCATCAGCTATGGGGGATAAAGGGATGCTTGTACCCATGTGCTTGCGTGCCAAAATTTGCAACGATGAAAATCTACAAAATCACCAGAAATGTGAGTTATTAGATAAAAAAATCTTCCATTTAATTTTCAACTCACCTGTTTGTCAACAATTATATTGATGTGAATGAAGAAAAACGACCACAATTGACATGTTTGTTTACATATACCTATAGTCATATTTGACCAATATAGACAGATTTTCAGGTGCACCAGTACCTGGCTAAGGAAGAAGTAAACTTTGTAAAATGAATAAATTTGATAATGAGCATTAACAACTTAAGTTGTGACTTAATGTCATGAAACAATTAGGACGACAAGTCAGATGCCAGTGCGTCAAAACCTAGACTCTATATAATCAACACCGAACACGACTTCTTAAAAAAAAAAATCAAATCACACCAGTACTTACATTTGATGCGATATATCACGACTAGATTGATAACAACTTCAGCAGCGAGTAAACAAAACATCGGCAGAAAAGAATGGCCTGGGTCAAAAACGAATTTCGACCAATATTGCAGAGAAAGCATTTCTCTATATTTTTTCCACGTCGTTCGTCTGGGAGCTGCCATTTTGAATGATCATGTGACCAAGACTTCCGGTTCCTTCGGTACCCTTCTTAATTTGTTATCGTTTAATATGATAAATCCTTGATTGCTCGAAATATTGTTGCTGCTGCTGCTGAAGAAATCTAGAATAAAAATGGACAGGTATTGCTTTCTGTGTTGTATACTTGCCGCATGCTGGTTTGTGGTTGTAGAAAACACAGTGGAATACCAGATGGTTGATCAGAGGGTACCATGCCCTTACTATGGACTTGGTAAGTGAAAAGGCATCTCATTACTACATGTCACAGATCTTACTGTGTAAGATATTGATTTTATTTCTAGTTGTTGAGGATTTTTTGGTGAAATAAAGCTCTAGAATGGACATTTGTTATTAATTTGGTTAAAGTATTTTAAAATGACTTTAGTGACACAAACATATTTTTATGTAATTCCTGTAGGAACTCTATCTAAATCAGAGATTTATAACATTATAAATCTCTGATTTTTAATAGATAGAGTTCCTACAGGAATAAATTTTTATGGGGATTTCAAAACATATGGTTCATTTTTACATATTCTTATCGAAGGTAATCCACAGGTGCTGGACACACTCATAGTAATTGATTGATTGATAGGTTTAATTATGTCCGCTTTACTACCGATAATTTGGTTTATCCAGCAGACGATCTCATAGTAATATGCTGTGTATATTATATAGTATTTATACACATCATATTAGTATTAGCACGGACTTAAATAATTCCTTGCTATTAGTCACAGTGTCCAGCACGTGCTGTCAATAACCTGTGTTTGGAATTAAGCTTCAAGATACTTATTACTCTCCAGGGCGCAGCGGTAAATTATAACTTGTACAGTACATTATCGATCATTGTGCGAAATTAAAGATAATTATTCAATAGTCACTTTGATTGATATTTTATATAATTGCAGATTTCCCTTAAGGATCCATGTTTCCCTGCACTGTAGTTTTTTCGAACATACAGTTACCTCCCTTTATTTTCGATTCAACTTACAACTTAATTTTAGCACAGTTTTGCCAAGACACTTCTGTTGTCCAAGTTAGCTCAGTAGGTTAGAGTGACAGTTACAATCTTAGGTCGAGATCTATGGTTTGAAACCCAGTATAGTCTCGCGGGATTTTTTCTATAAAATACACTTGCTGATTTTAATCTTTACAATTTTTTCAGATATTGTCCCACATCAAAGCTTTATGGCAGGCAAATACTGTTTCCAATCAAGAATACTTAAAATATATAGGAGATAATTATTGAATGTTCATGGATAATTATTTAGTCATCAGTGTTAGAAACAATTCATTTACAGAACAGCATGTTCTTAAGCTCAATGGAAACAATTTACCTGTATTACAGTGTTCTCCCCAGGCTGTTTTAGCGTAACAGTACCGTTTAGCGGTTATATTACAGTCAGTTATTTATAATTTAGACTTATAATTTATATTTATTTAAATGAGCACATCCTCAAAGATGATGGATCTCACTCACTAGAATGACATATTTTGTGTACAAATTTTAATTTACTCATGGATAATTAGTCAGATTAATTCATTCTAGACATAACATTTTTGCTACACTTGGATTTAAATCATAGATGGCAAGAAGTTGTTACACAGACTTTGGTCAACGTTGAAAAAAAATCCCTCAAAAGGATCAAGTATGTCAAGTTTTGCAGTCAAAGTCTCAACTCTCGGTCATGATATATACATTTAGATCTGTATATTATATCTTCCAGGTATATATAATTATAAAATTCTATCAACCTGATCAACGAAATATATTTCACTAAGCCAAACGTATCAGTTTTGTAATCCCCTTCCTTTCCCCCCTTCCCTATAATCTTCAATATGAAAGATAGTAATGATAAATTTGATTATTATACCTTCTGTTAAAATCTCGTAATCTGATTGGTTGAGAAAGATGTGAACATTTTCAATGTTACTTGCTCGTTTTACAAAGATAAAGAAGACAGGGTGACATTCCAAAAAATATCACATGCGCCAAACATATGCGTGCACGGTTCGTCCCAGTGCCAGGGTGTTATTCCAAAAATTGTTACATGCGCCAAACGTTTGCGTGCATGGTTCGTCCCAGTGCCAGGGTGTTATCAAATTACATTCATGGTTGGTTCATTCGACAACTGTTGAGATGAAATCTTGGTTTATGTCAAATCAACATAAAGACCTTTAAAAATGGTGAAGTGGTGAAACACCTAAACATGACACTCTGTATAATAAAATAAAAATTGCATTCATGAGAGAGTGATATTGCATATTTTCACCCCAAGGAAGCATTGTTGACCGAGGCGAAGGCGAGGTCAACAATGCTTCCTTGGGGTGAAAATATGCAATATCGCCCTCTCATGAATGTGATATTTATATATTATTGACTAAAATAGAAAGATGTTGCTTCACTGTCCAGAAAATAGCTCAGTTTGCCTTTTCAGATGATGAAAGCTGTCTTTGCAACTTAAAACGCTTTCAATAAAGCTTTGAGATTAGAAAAACCCAGTGTGCATTACCTATACATGTAGCTAGCTGCTGAATTTGTCATCACTTGTTTCAAATGTGTATAAGCTTAAGGTGATCATGCACGTTGTTAAACTCATTTGAAGAAATTATTCAAGTGGAAAATGAACATGTAGTTATACAAAATTTCCATTTTAATTATTTCATTATACACTGTATAAGAATTAATAAAATTTGATTAAAATTAAATGCCCCAGCCTGAAGGAAATACTTAACAACATTATGCTTTTGAACTGTTTTAACTGTTATCTTATATCTTTTAATTTTTTGAATGCAAAAGTCCTTACCAAAGCACCAACGCTTATACGGTAATTAGATTAAAATCATTTGTTCTAGCAGACAATGGATATGGTAATAAATTATCTGTTTATTTTAGAGAGCAATCGATTCACAGCCAGCGACCATGGACTTATAAACTGCTCCTGGTATGCACAGAAATCATGCTGTAAGCGCACAGAGGTCACCTCAGTTTTCTCCAGCATGTTTTCTTTGTACGGAGCTTCGAAGAACTGCAAGAACCACATGAACTATCTCATGTGCTACTTCTGTGACCCAGACCAGTACCGCTGGTATCATAGGTATCTGTCTTTTTATTCTATAAATTGTCAAATTAATATTGCAAACACTGGTCTAACTAACCACTGTAACTCTGACCTTGCTGAACTCTGTGAACCTGACCAGAACTGACCTATGTGACCCTGACCTTTAATTATCACTGGTGTAACTATTCCGTCTTTGAGTATTGCAGAGTTATCTTCTCTTGAGAGCAGGGATTGATTGTTACGTCATTGGTTTGTGTGAGAAAATTACGTCATTTTCTCAAAAAATGATGACGTTACTCTCACTAACAAATGATGTAACAATTAATACCTGCTCTCAAGAGAAGATAACTCTGCAATACGCAAAGACGAAATAGCTAGCCTTCTGTCACCGTAGCTGTATCACTAGCATAGCTTGGAAATTGGTCGCCATAACCTGTATAACTGTTTTATCTTTATGACTGATCTCAGTGACCTTGACATGCATCACTGATATAACTAACCTCAGTGACCTTGACATGCATCACTGGCATATATAACTTAAACCTCAGTAACCTTGACTTCTACTGCCCTCTTTGACCCTGATCTGTATCACTGATGTAGCTCAGAAAACTAATGTAACTTCTGTTTTTTCTGCCCTTACCTGTATGGGACGCATATAGTTGAGTCAATATTCATGAATGTATTCTTATATAAGTATGTCTTATCTTATTTTTACAGTAAGGCCCACGTCTGTGCTGACTTTTGCAGAGCTGTATTTACTCACTGCAAGGATGCAAAATATGACGGCAAATCAATTGGTAAGTTTCCTCTGTTGTTATGAATGTATAACAATCACTTGCCCACCTCCTTATTTGTTGGCCATTTCTTTTAAAAATGTGACTTATATAAGTTACATAATTTCTGACAACAGCCCCAAGTAGTAGTCCAAAAGATGCAAACTGGAATGATTAAAGTTGCCGAGACTCCCCATTTGGTGTTGTATTATTACATCTTCTTTTGAAATGTATAAATGTTCAACACTTGGCAAAGTTTAAAAAGACCATAGGGTGAAAATTTGGCTGCTTTAAATCATTACATTTACAATATGTTATACATAATATTATTTATTTTAGGAACAAACTATCGTAACGGAACAGATTTCTGCGAAGCTCAGAACTTCCATGTGGTGGAGGGAGACAACTGCTTTGACTACGACCCAACAGTGTTTGGACGAGCAAATATCACACCAACAAACAGCTCAGGGTTATTAGTGGCTCTGCTGATAGGGTCTGTCTTACTCAACCTGAAAACTAGCATCTGGTATTTTATCTAATTTTCAACAGACTAATGTACAACAACAACAAAATCAGGTTTATATCTAAACTATTTAACATTCTGAAAACCAGTCTGTGTAAATCTGAGAACTAGCACCAAATTTATTTCATAAGTCTTGTTATATCTGAAAAAACTGATGAGAAAAGTGATATGGAATTTTTATAAACATGATTGTGTACAAACTGGAAACTTGTATCACACATCCAGAAGGCTTTGTTTTTGTGACCACATTGTACAGTATATATAGTAGAAGATGTTTGAGAAAGTAGTTTATACAACCTAAAAGCTATTACCTATCCCTTACAATGTACATGTTCGATGCAATCTGAAAACTACATGCAATAATAAGTTCACCACATTAAGAACAATTGTTTAGACAGTCACAGTGATTTTTGCAAAAATCTTTTCAACAAATTCTTAGCATCTTTTTCAAAACTTGTATGAGTCATAAACCCTTTCACCCCTACGTAACTTCAGTAGACTCTACCATGCATCGATCTGGATGAATTCATTATGGTCTACAGTGGTGAAAGAATTAGGGTTAGATCTATTTTGGTCTGGTGATGAGTCCTTAAGGAATACATATGTATATACATCTATTTTGGTCAGGTGACTTAAGGAATATATATCTATTTTGGTCATGGTGACTAAAGGAATAGATATCTATTTTGGTCAGGTGACTAAAGGAATAGATATCTATTTTGGTCATGGTGACTTAAGGAATAGATATCTATTTTTGTCATGGTGACATAAGGAATAGATATCTATTTTGGTCAGGTGACTTAAGGAATAGATATATATATTGGTCAGGTGACTTAAGGAATATATATCTATTTTGGTCAGGTGATGAGGTGATAACCTCAGTTGAATTGAGTAGATGGCAATGCCAACTACTATAAATAGATGGCAATACCAACTACTTTAGATAGATGGTAATGCCAACTACTATGAATAGATGGCAATACCAACTACTATAAATAGATGGCAATATCAACTACTATAAATAGATGGCAATACCAACTACTATAAATAGATGGCAATGCCAACTACTATAAATAGATGGCAATGCCAACTACCATAAATAGATGGCAATGCCAACTACTATAAATAGATGGCAATGCCAACTACCATAAATAGATGGCAATGTCAACTACTATAGATAGATGGCAATATCAACTACTATAAAAAGATGGCAATGCCAACTACTATAAATAGATGGCAATATCAACTACTATAAATAGATGGCAATGCCAACTACTATAAATTAACTCAATGCCAACTACTATCAATTAACTCAATGCCAACTACTCTAAATTAACTCAATGTCAACTACTATATATTAACTCAATGCCAACTACTCTAAATTAACTCAATGCCAACTACTATAAATTAACTCCTTCTCAACTGGAGTTATCACTGTATAGCCTGACCAAAATAGATATCTACTCCTTATATTTAGTCCTTTTCCATGAATGGATCATAACTATTTTGTTTATTAGTCCGATTAGCGGACACACAAAAATGGTCATGTAATTTCCAATAGATATTATATAATGTTCAATTAGAATAACAGTCTGAAATTTGCAAAAGCTGTGGTAAACTCCCCCTAATTACATTTCTAAACACGATTTGTATAGGGCGCAATGGGATCTGGTAAACTGGTATTACTCAATTTATCTTTACAGGTGTTATGGTAATTAGTATACTGGTAATTTATATATAATGTTACATTCCTAAACACAAAACACACAAGGTGTAATTATATTTCCTAAACTGATATTCATCTAACTACATTTTTGTATGTCTTATTTTATACAAAGTGTTATAACATTTAATAAGCCATGTAGACTGGCTACATGGTTTACCAGCCCTGACTTTTTGCAAAGAAATTTTATCTTGCATTTTTCTAATAATTTATCTCCCCTAGTTTGAAACTTAGGTCTAAGTCATCTTTATTATTATTGTTTTAATTCCTTTTTTAAGTAATTCAGTATTCTACAGAAATGGGCTAGTCTGTAGTATCTGTATAATCTACTAGTTTTATTCCTAAACACAAAGTGTTATAATATTAAGTATACTAGTTTTATCTATTAATCACATTCCTAAGCACAGGTTTATACAAGTCATTTTAACATTATAATGTTTTTATAAAGGTATTTTAATCTGCTAATTACATTCCTTTTTACATACACTGTAAGCATCATTTGGTATACTGGTATAATCTATCAATTCCATTCAGGTACATGCAAGGTTTTTTTCCTGATACACTATATACATGTACTAGATATACTATAGTATACTAGATGTATGCCATAACTTGAACAACGTTTTAGTATTTTACAGTAAAAAATTATTTAGAACTTAATTGTTTTTGAAAATATGATAATAAGTCTGTTATGTATTTCTCTTTAATTTCGAGGCACTGATAAATTTGAGGTGTAGATCTTTGAATATTTAAATATTCGTTTATTAGTTGCAAAATGTGATATACATGTACAAGCAATATATATAAAAGCATATCAGAAATCATATTTGTTAGGAGATGCTAAAGATTGAGTGTTCATTGGAGTTAATGATAACATGGACTTTCTGAAGTTCGAATACCATACCTCATACTTTTATACGTGCTAGACATAAAGGGACAAACACTCTTATAATGCCATAGTCGCCCTTAGGGACATGCCGCCTCCTACGGTATTAGTCAATCGGCCATGACTTGGAAACAGTTGAGGTCCCCACCTTTTACCATGTAACTGTTTGTTTGGCAGAAAGTGGTGTGCACAATCAAATATGCTACCATGCACTCCTGGAACTGTTTTCCCAAGTGGATACCATAGAAATAATGGAGATCCTCTCCCTGTTACCATATACGGATGTACGGATCTCAACTAGGTTTTTCTCTGAAGCATTCCTGGTCTTTTGATTCTGAGGTTCATATTTATATCAACGGTCGTTGTAGTTTCCCTGTGGGCTGAGGTTAAGATAGCAACATAAACGGGTGAGCCATGCAGGACCTTTGGCCTCTTGTACAGTGTTTGCTTGTGAGTTGGATATTAGAGAAAATATGAGCTGGCACTATATACTAATGTACATTCTGTAGTATGGTTTTCCAGATTGATTGGTGATTATAGTTGATAAAGTATATTCCAACGTTACATTGTGTATTACGACACGATCTGGTATATTCCTATATTCCAACGTTACATTGTGTATTACGACATGATCTGGTATATTCCTATATTCCGATGTTACATTGTGTATTACGACACGATCTGGTATATTCCTAAATTCCAACATTACATTGTGTATTTCAACACGATCTGGTTTATTCCTATATTCCGACGTTACATTGTGTATTACAACACGATCTGGTTTATTCCTATATTTCGAGGTTACATTGTGTATTACGACATGATCTGGTATATTCCAATATTCCGACGTTACATTGTGTATTACGACACGATCTGGTATATTCCTATATTCCGACGTTACATTGTGTATTACGACACGATATGGTATATTCCTATATTCCAACGTTAATTTGTGTATTACGACACGATCTGGTATATTCCTATATTCCGACGTTACAATGTGTATTACGACACAATCTGGTATGTTCCCACATGACAAGTTGTATTATATTTCAGGATTTGGAATACATTGTATTACATAAACCAATATATATTATGTATAATTACGTCACAATGTATATGACGTTACATTTTGTTTGAGAGTGAGGTTGTGACTTTCTTTGTCACATTCGACTGACATAACATGCATACACATATTGGCGTCGCCAGTTATTTGTTTGGGTCATTGGAGATTTCGTATTGTACAACAAATATTTGCTTAGTACTTTGTGGCAGACATGGGTATATACTGGTCCGGCTTGGTTTGGTCCATTGTCCTTTTTTTTTAATTGGGTGATTTGTTCTTAAACCTTCATAAGTTAATATTAGCTAATTAGTTAATTAGTTGATGTTGATGCATCTAATTCGTTATTTCTTTTGTCTTTTTTGTCCCAAGATTTCAATAAATACAACAATATATAATAAGTAGAAGATGAATATCATTTTAATATCATTTTGTTTTCATTTGTAAAGAATATGATTTTACCCCGAAAAAAACTAATTAAACCTTATTACCGATGCAAGCCATCCATGTATAAACTTTGGAACTTAGGTCACACCTCTTGTCTATGAAATGAGTGAATATACCTATTAATGTATGGCTTGAACTTGACTTTGTATGGCAGTGTTTGTGCATAATACATGTAATGTAATATCAATAAGCTGTATTGCTTACGATAATAAAAGCATTTGTACTGATGTATTTACCCGGGAATGATAATATAGGCACTATTCACTGAGCCAAAGGGTGATGGCCTGTATACGTGTATTCACAGTATTAACTGTAGGCACGTAGTAAGGCATCTATTGTATGGACTAATCCAATCCATGTAAAATACAAATGGACTAATCCAAAAATGGGCGCAAATCTTGACAGAAAAGCAGCGTTGTCATTTATCATTACTTCTGACAGAAATGAATGATTGTTTTATTGATTTTATAATTAGCTTGAAATATTATTCTGAGCAATGGATAATGGACCAATCAGATAGAAAATTGGATGAAACGTTTTTCAACATATAATAAACATGATTGTTGATTGTGTATATGGATGTATAGTTAGTAGTGATTGTGTATATGGATGTATAGTTAGTAGTGATTGTGTATATGGATGTTCTTAGTATTGATGGTGTATACTGATGTACTAATATTAATGTACATACTATTATACATGTTTGTCTTACTCTATTCGTACAAGTTGATGAATTCGTCCCAGAAATTTTCAAGTTTTGTGAGTAAAGAACGATTTGATGTTTCTCGATGCTAATATAAGTATGCTTACTAACCTTACATTTGTAGTATACATTATCATTTAAGACAATTATATCGTGTACCATTATTTGAGATTGATATTCTGTACTTAATAGACATGTAAAACATCGATAATGGTTTTAATATATTCATCCTTTGTTCATGTATAATGTGTATAAATTAAGCTCACCGACTGTCAACTTACTTTAAGTTATGTTTAATCTAATGTACATGGTATTGTTATTGTTTTACGAGATGGTGCGTTTATTTTGTTTTACTAAAAGTTTTAACATTTTCTTACTTTTTTACGTCAACGTTTGACTTTTTTCTATTATACTAGAATTTTTTTATTTTTTATTTTTTATTGTCGTTGAATTAAATTGTCTTATGCTTAATTATATCACATATTTTATCACACTGAAGTATTATTTTTTTTAAATCATGTATTAGTTTAGAAATCTTGATGTTTTTATTATTATAGATTTTATACACATTTGTTTTTACATTTGTAGTTGTTACCATTCCAAAGCACTAGTGTAGGGTGCGTGTACTTAGAATTCAAAGTTTTGAAATATAAATAATAAAAATCTACAAATTTGGAAAGCTTTATTGTCTTGTAAATCCCAAAACATTGTAGAAAGGTAGTGTAGAAAATGCTTCATTTATTGGCGGAGATTTTTTATCAGCGGCAGTCTAGATTTTGTCTAAATAAAGAAGTCATGGCATCCCTAAATGATTGATGGCCCACATACATTCCAGGGGTTGACAGGAAACCATCACGACTGCTACCACATGTGATGGAGGACATTTCTCTTCATAATGAGCTGCAGACAGGAAGGCATTGCCAAGGGTATCATATCTTTTAAAAGAAACGTTATCTATAACTGAGGCCCAGGAGACAGGAAGACATTGTGAAGGGTTCCATATGTGGCGAAGGAAACGATTTGTGTTCCTGAAGCACTGTAGACAGAGAGTCATTGCCAAGGGTACCACATCTTTTAGAGGAAAGGTTTTTTGTTCCTGCTGTCCTGTCCTGTAGACAAGAAGATTCATACATAACTTAGTTTGTTTATATGCTTATTAAAAACATAGTAGAAAAAAGTTAAACAAGTTCCCCAATTTCACTTTCAGATAAATGTGTTTTCAAATATCAGGAAATTTTCTTAACCTAGCAGGTCGTATATACCACCAAGGGATTGAAATAGAGGATACAGCAGGCTCCTCACATCCGCCGCTTACTTAGACCTGAAGAACGATCAGCGTGATGAGTACGATTTCCGATTACAAGCTTTCTTTTCTTGGTAGTAACAACCCTAATTCCCCAACCTGCAGTGTTTCCAAGATTGCTCCGAATAATATGATTAATGTGATGTGCTGACGGGAAAACATACAACAAAGGGTTTCGAGTGATACTGGATGATACAGACGTAACAAGTTTTACGGATTATTATCTCATTCGGGAAAAAAAGGGGGGGGGGGATGTTTCGAAGGATGCAGTTTGATAAAGATAATGGAAACGTTTTACGGACGCCTTCGTGAACTAATTAAGAAATATTCTGCTTTGATTTAAACGTTGATGTCTTTATGATTAACATTTCTTATACGAAGGCGTGGCGTCCGTCGTGCATACCGGCTAATGTCGTCGTTTGTCGTCTGTCTACGACTTATTTCGAAGTGATTTCGAGCATATATGATATGTTCGGGTTCATCAATCATCAAGCAGGTGTTACTGGGCTACTTCGGGGCTGAGGAATGGGATCAAAATGGGAAAAGTTTTGTAAAAAAATTCTTTGGAAATTTTTGGCATTCAACAGGGGTGTGGGATGCAGATTGTAAATATTAAAAAGTCAGTCACTTGGTGCATACATCTGGCTACGCCCAAGGGTACAAAGTTAAGCCCAGCGGTGGAGAGTATTGAGCTGCAAATATCTTCTTATTCAAACAGGAGAATGCCACAGTTTTTATGTTACATATTTTGAAAGATTAAAATCGGACCACAAGGTTGATCAATGTGGTGACGCCAAGGGGCCAGACTCATATAAGAGTGATTGTTGAAATACCGAGATGAGCGTTGTCTTTTGAATATGTTGTTTTTCATATGCAGCAATTAATATGTATTGGTATGAAGTAGTTGTGGTTCGGAAGCTATGTTATAATTAAGTTTTATATCAAACACAATAGGCGGAAGCTATTGTTTGACTTCTTTGTTTACTCATGTTTCTGTCTGCAAACACAAATCCTATGTAGCAGCTACAAGAACATATAATAAAGAAAACATATATCTATAACCCTTGGCAAGGTTTGTTTTATGAAAAATAAATATTTTTCACAATCACGAGGCATTGTATGTTATCAACCCACCTCACCCCCACCCCCTACACCTTACATTTAATCCTCTTCGTTTTAATTAACCTGTCCATGTTTTTCTGTCACCCTTCTAGGGTTGGACAGACAGCACGCTTTGAAATAGTATGATGACGCCAAAGGAACAACAAGTTATGAAATAGCAATTGTTTTTTTCGGCGGGAGAGGTCACTTGCAAATCAAACACGCCAGACTACTGTCGGTGGAGTTGTCGCTGTAGTAATTATATAATAGGATAGGAGAATAATAATTGTCCCCTACCCTGCGGGCGCAACAGAGAAATCCCCAACCCTCAGGTTGGTTATTTGGTAGTCTAACCCGAGGCAACACCGAAGTATAGACCATCAAACTAATCGCCTTCGGATTGGATGGTGATTTCTCTGTCACGCCCATAAGGTAGTGGATTGTTTTTTATAAAACCTTATTGTGAATATGTTCATGTACAATTAGACCTAGGTTTTGATACCATTAGATATCAGTAGTATGGTGACAAAACTCCCCAGATTGACATGATGTGCCTGGTCTGTAGTCGTATAAAATAAATACACATATGATAAGCACGTATACAATTTCTATGGTAAAGCCCAAGATGATACGGAAATGAAGGTCACTGAGTGGTTTCTCGGAAAAAAAACTTGTACATCAGGTTTTGATCGCCGTATCTCGAAGTGCGTTAAATGTTTTAACAATATTGCAGGGAGACGGACATAATTATCACTACTCAAGTATACAGAACAGAAATATTTATATTGGAATTACGTACATCAGAAAGGTATGGAACGATTCACACAGTATACAATTAATATTGTTTCATGGCTATTTGGGGAACAATCAAAACTATCATCCCGAGGTACATGTAAGGGAAAGCCCTGGGAACTGTTTGCCCGAGGCCGCTAGATCTAACGAGAGATGATAGTTTTGACTGTTCACCAAACTGCATTGAAACAATTGTTTTATTACCAAATACATATAAGTATCAACGCTGCATGTAATGATGTTAACATTTTTTTAAATAACGAGAGAAGTCAATTAAACGCTTGAATAGGGCTCTCGAGGGGTATTTCTGTGCATCGAATTCGCGCCGGGAAACAGATCGCTCTGATCGGGAAAACAGGTTTGACAGTTTCACCTCTACAGCCGAATTAGGACAAAAACCAGAAACAGTCAAAAATTACTCATTATGATTAATATAGACTATGAATAATAATTTATATTATAACATTGACATTTCCATTATACAGTCATTTTATAAATATAGCATCAAACGGCAATGGTATTAATCAATGATAGCAAGAACTATCACATGTGAATGTGTTCCAGTTAGAAACTTCCGTTGTTTCCATTAAATCGTAAAAGTAATTCTTGACCGATCACGACGTTACCTAAACTTCCGGAATTGTTTTTGAACAGTTCTGTGCTGCATTCTATCATGAATGTTAAAAAGAATTATGTGTAAATCCTTCATTCTCAAATTCAAGGAACCACGCTTAATTGTGTTCTCTGCACCCCTGGACTATCATGACAAGACAAAAAGGCACGAAGTAATCTATTTGCTTGGATTCAAGCATAGAAAAAACCTAACCAATCGCTTGCAGTCAGCTGTTCTGTTTTACCGTGAGGCTGCCGCACGATTCTTTTGATGAAATTTGAAGAAAAAAAACAGTCTACGTATATTACACTCAAAGTGGCCAGTATAAAACTTTCAACTTTGTGATGGCACTTTTCCAGGAGTACAGAGAACGTGAGTGAGTGTCATCCATGATATTGCGAGAAAAATAGTAAATCCTTTAGTGATTAACATCGCTGAACATTTTACACAATTTATGTTTGAATTTCACATGCCAAATATTATTTCCATACAAAAGGAAAAGAGTCGATACATATACAAGGAATGCTTAATGATTAAACAAAACGCAAATACAAGTGTAATATATTCGGGAGAGGATGGAATCAGTCATCAAATGTTAATAAATACCTGTCAAGCCGGTTGTATTCGTCTTGAAATAACTTAATATGTTTTCAGCCACAGGTGTTTATCCAAACACATGGAAAATACCAGAAGTTACGGCATTGTTTAAAAACGTGACAGACATTATCCATCGAACTATAGACCTAGTTCTCCATTATCGCTAGTTGGTAAAGTGTTTGAAATGGTTACCTTCAAACACATACATAATGTTTCGTTGCAAATTCCTTGTTTTATAAGCATATATTTGTTTTTATGGCTGGATATTAGACCTTTTATCAGCTCAGTAAAATTTATCACAGCATATGCCTTTAATACGTTTGCTTTTAACTGTAGTTTTAGTGACTCACATCATATGACTTGGACTGTTTTAAAGGGAATATTAAACCAGTTGTGAAAGAAAAGAGAACATTCAGGTGTTTTAAAAAAATTGATTAAAAAACGTTCAGTGGTGATATATGTAAAATCCCTTTCCATGCAACTTATACTTTTGATGATGTTGATGGTGTTGATGATATTTATTGGGCCAATGAAACACTTATCACTAACATTATTGATGAACATGCTCCTGTAAAAGGAAAGGTTGTAAAACAGAAAAAGTGTCCATTTTTTAATTCAAACTTGCGTAAAGCTGTATATAGAGACATATGCTTTTTAACAAATATATTGGTTGCAGATTAGACTCAAATTTGGAAGCATGTTGTAACCATAGAAATTATGTGTCTAAATTACGTAAACAATCTATGCGCAATTATTGTTTTCAAACGCTGTGCAGGTGGTCCCAAAAGAGTTCTGGCCCACCATTAAACCATTTGTATCAAATAAGATGCAATACTGTACTTTTAAAGGAAGATGAGGACATCATCAGTTATCAAACAGAGGTCAGTAATGTTTTTAATAATTGTTATGTTAATGTTGCTTCTGATATTGGTACAGAAGATTCTTCTGATGAAACTATTTTAAAAGATATAAAGGCACACAATAATGATGAGTCAAAATTTTGTGTTAAAGGCTATCTCTAAGGTGAAGGCGAAGAAGGTCACCGTTATCGATGGTATATCTTCAAAACTCCCTAGAGCCTGTTGTACAGACATCAGTGTGCCTATGAGCGATATGATTAACCACTGTTTTGATAAATCAGAGTTCCCTTGTAGGCTAAAGAAGGCACTGGTAATTCCTGGGTTTCTTTTAAAGACAAAATATATTTTAGAAAAAAATGAAGCCTTCCGACCAGGATTTGGGTGTCTACCACCCTGTTGCGACTTGTTGAGGATTGGCGTAAAGCCCTGGACAACCATGAGTATGTCACCGCCATACTGATGGACCTCTCCAAGGCTTTTGACTGTGCTCCCCAAAACTTGTTGGTCGGGAAGCTGGAGGCCTATGGCCTGAGCAAAGCCTCAGTTAACATGGTGTCCAGCTACCTGAGCAGCAGGTAAAAATTGGCTCCAAATGCGGTGACTGGCTGGAAGTGCTAAAGAGGGTACCACAGGGATCTATTTTAGGACCCTTTCTTTTTAATGTATTTTTAAACGACATGTTTTTATAAGTGATATCATGTAAATTGTATAATTATGCAGACGGCAACACTGTCAGTGACTCAAATATAGACCCAGATGTTTTAAAACATAAAATTGAAAATGACTGTCAAAAATTAATACACTGGTTTAAATTAAACCAGATGAAAGCAAACCCTGATGAATTCCAGACCATTTGTATAGAGAAACGTTTGTTAGATGCTATACAGTCTTTTAATGTTGGTGAAACAGATATTGTCCCTGACAGTGTTGTCAAACTTTTAGGTGTGAACTTTGATTCAATTTTAAACTTTGAAGCTCATATCTCTGAAATTTGTAGGAAAGCTTCAAGGCAATTGTCCATTTTAAAGCGAATTGGGAGTTTTTTAAATTACAAGGTAGACTTGTAATTTGTAATTCTTTAAGGGTTATTAATAATGATCACAACTCATCCTTCAGGCACTTACTCAGTATTACCAACAACGATAGGCTACATGTAAGGCGTGTGAGGGATATGGGTTGTGAGGTTTTTATATATGAATATATATTCATACCCTTATAAATATTTATATGTCTAATTATGACTTCAGGAAAGAAAATACAAAGCTGCCCAGGGTCAACACTGTGAAGTATGGACATAAATCGTTTGTTTTAGAGGCTGCCTAGGTGTGGAACAGTCTCCCAAATGATTTCCGAAAAGTTGAACAACTTCAAAAAATTCATGAGGCTGGTCCATTCCTAGGATGGCCCCATCTGCATTTGAAAAATCTGCAAAGAGTGATACTTCATACTGTGCACTGGCTACCTCTGCCACCAGACATTTTGGATTGTGTGATACTATTATTGTCTTATTTCATTTCGTATATGTTTTAATTCTATTCTATATTTTTGCAGCATCTTATTCGTATTTTAATTCCATACATTTTAAACTGTAAATCTTTACAAAACTTGACAAATTTTGTTAATTGATATTGGTATCATTTTTCTAATTTCACACTATATAAGTGTATATTCTGTCAATTTGTATATTTTGCTATATCATCATTGTATGTATATTCCACTTCATAGTGCTTTAATCCTTAGTCCTAAGTAAATCTTATGTTATATACAAGCATTCATTCACTATTGACTATGTCTTTTATTTACTTATTCTGAATACTACTCATCTGTGATATTAGCACTATTTTTATATGTTTATTGTTTCAAAAGGGTCATATCCCGGTGGCCTTTGAAGGCAGAGGACTCCCAGAGAAACCTGGATTATGATACTTTCTTTTTTCTGTGACAATTATAACTGCTTTTTATTATACATGTGATTATCTCCCTTAACGTGTAATATTATTTGTTATTGATTTTTTACATATGTTTGTCGCAATAATAGCTCTCAAGAGATAATGTTCCTTGTTTACCTGTATGCGACGTTAAAGTTTCTTTTATCTTGCTCTGGAAGATACTTTGCGACATTTCTAAGGCTTCCGATCAAGTTTGGTAAAAAGATGTGACGGCTAAGTTTAAATTCTATGGAATTACTAGTGAATTGTATATTGTATTTGTTAATTTGAACTACCCACAGCACAATATAACGGGTAGTGCTTATTATTCTTACCATACATTTGTTTTTATACTTTTTGAACACTTTTATTCATGTAATTACCATGCTAATTTGGTACAAAGGCCACGAAACTGTTATCTTTTAATTAGAAATGCATCCGACTTTCAGAGATATTAGTCCAGAATAAAAATAAATATGTATAAATGCATACTTTTTGATATATCTGAAAGTCGGATGCATGTCTTAATAAAAAAACAACAGTTCAGTAGTTGTGAGACTTTTGTGCTACAAACACTAATTATGAATAAAAAGTGTTGATGAAGAAAATTTCTCCCCCTCTCCACCGCTTATTTCGACTTCCTCCCATCCACCCGATTCTTTCGACCCTCATTTATTGAAATTTGGTAACGATACCTGTAAATACAATTTAGTAAGTTCATTGTATGGTTCTAATATGTATTCAGGCACATAAAAGGAAGAATTGTTGACATAATTAATCCAATATATAACAAGGTCACAGTGACCTACTTGTACAACTATGTGCTACTATTTTCGGCCATTGTATTATTTGCAGCTTTAGTGTTACACAATAAATCAAAATTATGATGGAACTTTCAAAAATAACATGTAACTTTGTCAAAAAGAGACCATTTGTGAGTATGTGTCCCCCAGTTTACCCAATCATATCTCGGAATGATCCCCAAGCTGACCTTTATTGATGGCATAACCCCAATGTATGTATATACAAAAAAGAAACTTACCAGAAGGCCCAAATTAGTACCCCTCCTTTGTCTCGCACTGCAATTGTTTAATGACGTCAGTAACATTCAAAGTGAGACAGAATTACATTGTTTCGTTTGGGGCAAGTGATTGTTAATGACGTCATTAACAGTAAATTACACATCTTTTCTGTTCTCTAATTATACACGTTGAGACGGCATATCGGGACCCCATTCTAATTTATTGAATCTTATATTACATGGTAATTTCGAACTCTAAATAGAACTGTTTTATTTATTTATTATTTGTTTTGCTTTCATGTTTTATATCCTTTTCAGAGCGGGTAATAATACGTCCGATTGCATTCCATCGCTAAAGATCATGAAAAGACGAACTTTCTGCGGGATGCTATAAAAAATGGACTATCCAGTTGGTATGCATGTTTTTATCTCTATAACTCCATTTTTGTTTTGATCTTTCAAAAGTGCAAACAAATGAAAATTAAAAAAAAAATCAATACATGTAAGTTCCGATTTAAGTCACTATCACTGAAGTTAATGTTTTTTTAGTTTATAACCTTTAACTGCAACCGCTTATAGAAGAAATTAACTCGGTGATGATACTTTGTGTTTATTGTAGAATGATTATCTAGCATATTTTTCATTGACCTTTAGTGAATTTCCGTGATTATGAAATACTGGTAAGGGAAAATTATAGTTGCTGCTGACTCGCTTTGATTTTAAGGAAATAGCACCAATATGTTTCCAAAAAATACAAAAAATAATTTCTTGAGGCCTGAATATCTTACAAAATAGTTAGATGTCGTGCCTTCCCGGGTTGCGAAGCTGATATCTCAAAGACAAATGTTGTTAAACATGCTAAATTTTATATAATAAAATAATAAAAATACATTTTTGAGTGCTACCATCTGATATTTAGAGATGGTCAATCTTTTGTAAATAATTGGCTCTACCATTCATCCTTATTAACAAATTATCACGTCCAACTTGTATTACAAGCTGACAATCCGCCACAACTTGTGTTAATATTGACTCGATGTTATAGCTGGCACTCCGCCACGACATGTGTAACTCTTGACTCGACACAATAGCCGGAAACTGCCACGACTTGTGCTATTATTGACTCGATGTCATAGCTGGCAATCCGCCACGACTTCTGTTATTATTGACTCGATGTTATAGTTGGCACTCCGCCACGACATGTGTAACTATTGACTCGACACAATAGCTGGCAATCCGCCAAGACTTATGTTACTTTTGACTCGATGTTATAGCTGGCAATCAGCCACGACACGTGTAACAATTGACTATCGACACAATAGCTGGCAATCCGACACGACTTGTGTAACTATTGACGCGATGTTATATCTGGCAATCCGCTACGACTTGTGTAACTATTGACACGATGTTATAGCTGGCAATCTGCTTCGGCTTGTGATACAATTGACTCGATGTTATAGCTGGCAATCCACCACGAATTGTGTAACTATTGACTCGACGCAATAGCTGGCCATCCACCACGAATTGTGTAATTATTGACTCAATGTTATAGCTGGCAATCCGCCTCGAATTGTGTAACTATTGACTCGACGCAATAGCTGGCAATCCGCCGCAACTTGTGTTTCTATTGATTCGATGTTATAGCTGTCGATCCGCCACGACTTTTGTTACTATTGATTCGATGTTATATCTGGCAATCCGCCTCGGCTTGTGTTACTATTGACTCGATGTTATAGCTGGCAATCTGCCACGACTTTTATTACTATTAATTCGATGTTATAGCTGTCAATCGTCCACGACTTGTGTTACGATTGATTCGATATTATAGCTGGCAATCCGCCACGACTTTTGTTACTAATGACTCGACGCAATAGCTGGCAATCCACCACGAATTGTGTCATTATTGGCTCAATGTTATAGCTGGCAATCCGCCTCGAATTGTGTAACTATTAACTCGACGCAATAGCTGGCAATCCACCATGAATTGTGTCATTATTGATTCAACGTTATAGCTGGCAATCCGCCACGAATTGTGTCATTATTGATTCAATGTTATAGCTGGCAATCCTCCACGAATTGTGTCATTATTGACTCAATGTTATAGCTGGCAATCCGCCACAACTAGTGTTATTATTGATTCGATTTTATAGCTGGTAATCCGCCACGACTTGTGTTACGATTGATTCGATATTATAGCTGGCAATCCGCCACGACTTTTGTTACTATTGACTCGACGCAATAGCTGGCAATCCACCACGAATTGTGGCATTATTGACTCAATGTTATAGCTTGCAATCCGCCTCGAATTGTGTAACTATTAACTCGACGCAATAGCTGGCAATCCACCACGAATTGTGTCATTATTGACTCAATGTTATAGCTGGCAATCCGCCTCGAATTGTGTAACTATTAACTCGACGCAAAAGCTGGCAATCCGCCACAACTTGTGTTATTATTGATTCGATTTTATAGCTTGTAATCCGCCACGAATTGTGTTACTATTGATTCGATGTTATTGCTGGCAATCCGCCACGACTTCTTTTGTTACTATTGACTCGACGCAATAGCTGGCAATCCACCACGAATTGTGTCATTATTGACTCAATGTTATAGCTCGCAATCCGCCTCGGCTTGTGTTACTATTGACTCGACGCAATAGCTGGCAATCCGCCACTACTTCTGTTACTATTGATTCGGCATAAAAGCTGGAAACCGACACGACTTGTGTTACGATTTATTCGATGTTATAGCTGGCAATCCGGCATGACCTGTGTTACTATTGACTTAATGTTATAGCTCGCAATCCGCCTCGGCTTGTGTTACTATTGACTCGATGTTATAGCTGGCAATCCGCCACGACATGTGTAACTATTGACTCGACACAATAGCTGGCAATCCGCCAAGACTTGTGTTACTTTTGACTCGATGTTACATATACAGACTATTTAATACTTCCTTGTTTTGAACAACATTATAACGAGTTACCACAAAGATGTAAATATGTGTATAACTATGTCAACATACCCAGATCAGGATCAGATCAGCTAGATGCTGATTTCCTTATTAATACATAGTCGTAGTTTCTATTCTTTGATCTGAATGTCAATATCTATCAAAAAAGTGGTAGGAATCCCTACCCAAAGAACGTTTTTCATATACATTTTTCTCCTTGTAACACTTAGTTTCTTAAACAGTATGTTGTAAATTACCCTAAAAATACTTTTACGACTCAGACTTTCTAATCAACATTCTACCTTAAACGAGTGCGAGGCGTGGACGAGTCATACAATTATCGCCAGGTTGTATCTGTATTTCTATATTTTTTTCGAATCACATTATATCGAGTAACAAGAGATCCCGGAGGAATCTTGACATCCACCATTGTACAATGTGTACCATCTTATTAAGTTCTGTCAGTTCGATCTTTTCTCTTATTTTCACCTATCTGTTTGATCGAGTCATGCTAACAATAATTGCACCTTGAGGTAACTGTTGATCTGAACGTCATACTGATGTATATAAAATAAAACCCTTCAAAGTGAAGTTGTCTTTTCACATGCATTGTATTTACTAGTACAGTATTTACAGTATGAAAGAAATTGACTCGATCATTGCAATATGGGGAAGATCTGTTAAGTACTTTCTGTAGCCATTTTGATTCCATGATCACTCTACAAATATAACAAAAAGACGCAACAGAACATACATATTAGGTTTGGAAAATATCCCTCCAGCTGCTTCCGAGAAATAGAGATAACAAACATTAACATTTACCACTGTCAAAATCCAAGACGGTCGTCTGTCGGCTGTTTTGTAAATTTGATCACTCTAAAAAACAATTCACACAATTAAGAACCAGGGTTAGTCTACATATCAAATTTGAGAAAGATACTTCCAGAACTGCATGTGAAATAGCGATAACAAACATTCATTCACAAATTCCAAGATTGCCGTCTGTCAGCCATTTTGTTTATCCAATCAGTCTCATGAAAATAAATTGAATTAAATGCAATGAAAAAATCCGAAGAGTAATTCAATGAATGAGACCATTAAATAACTTTAATTAATTTTCATTTAGAAATTAAATATTACATTTTAAATCAGGAAATGAAAACTTACTATTCAAACCGAAACAAATATTTGTCATCATCCATCCCAGCACTTCACCATTGTAGTCATTTAGTCGTGACGAGTTTCCCCTGTCAGTAGAATGATAACTGTTGCTTACATTAACAATATCTGACTTACGATTGTAGTACATCGTTGATGCTGGACTATTAACGCCGGGTCTATTTTTTATACAAACGTCACACAGGTTCGCATTCACTAACGATAAGACGTTGTGGTGTTCTGTTCTAACATCCAAACACACTCTTACACCCTGAACAATGAAACAGACTATAACGCGAACGATAAACAAAGAAACCGAAAGTAGGACATGACTAAACAAACCCCCACATATACACCCTGCTTGTGATGATGTGTTATCAAGATGAATAGATAAGGGGATGTGTCGCCTTCGCGAGCCAGACACATACTGACTCGCATATCAGAGTGGTCAACTGAACAGGAAGTTAGTAAGGTAGAACCGGCGGGAAATTGAAGCGTGTAATATGTGTTCCGGTTTAAATGTCTTTAGGAGAATCCCCTACATTTCTACCATCAATAAGGTTTATCCTATGTTTGATGATCTTTTACAAAACAAATCCATTGTATTGGTCAGCAGATTTTCTTCGGCGAGCCTAAGTAGTTAAACATGGCTGAAAAACTCAGAATAAAAAACCTAAGGGATGACAAATGGAATTATGTTATTAAACAATTATGATTTTTTGTGATACTAAAACATTTATTTCCGGTCTAAATCTCATTATAAACACTATAAGGAAAGTCAATATTTATATAATAATATATGTAAGAGGTCATTTTTTCAGTTATGCAAACATCATGGTCATATCCATTTAGCAAACTCTGTTCAATGTAGATGCTGCTAATGCTGCTGTTGTCCAAGGCAGTCTGGAGAAACTAAAGGACCTCATTAAGAGTGGTTGTCCAGTTGACAGACAAGATAGTTTTGGAGAAACTCCTTTGATGGAAAGTATTATGAATGGTCATCAACATATAGCCGAGTATCTACTAGGCAAGGTATCGCCTTGTTCCTTTGGGTTGAGGAATCATAAAAATAGATGGAATGCTCTTCATCTCATGGCAAAGTATGGCCGTTCTTGGCTTGATATATGGCACAAGATAGAGCAGATTGCACCGGAATGTTTACATCATAAGGACAAGGAAGGTCTAACACCTACGCAATTACTTCAGCAGCTGTCTACGAAGAGTGAGGGGTATAAAACACTTTACAAAGGTAAAGAGGATTTGATTTCTACTCAATCTGTAAATTAGGCAACACGTAAAGTGCGTAGTGTAGACCATTATCATCTAATAAACACACTTGGTTCAAACACAATCACGACATTGCTTTTAAATTCTATTACATATTCCCAGGTTTTTTTTCGAACAGCTGATTGCTCGAGTAAATACTCACCAGAAAACAACAAAGATAACAACGAAGTGTCGATAAAACTGTTTTTCGACTAACAAAGGAGAAATATTCTAAATGAAACATATCAACTACTTCAGTTCCCTTGTTGTTTATAAAATATTATTTACAAATTACACTAGCTGGCCAATTGTTATAAAAAAAAAACGTCATGGGTTTTCGCAAGTGTATTGACTTCCTTGCTTGTTTCTTCTTAAACATACGGCTGGCAGTATTATATATGTTGATTCATTACTCTTAGTTAGGCATCAATTTTTTAGTAGTTCTGTATTTCAGCAAGAAGCAACGTCCAAACGACATAGTTGTTTCATTAATCTAATAATTATAAGAATGTATGTGATCTTACATAAGCTTTACTGAGATGTTGCCATTGCAGTCCATTAGTATATAAACATATTTTTAATGCATACATTTTTTACGAAGATGAAACGTTTTAATAAAAGTGATGTTTGATCGATAAATACTTGTAATTGCGCGTTTCTTTTATAGATTGTGTTGCCGTTGATGTCAGTAAATTAATTGAAACAGGGGATCTTCAACAGCTCAAAACTCTTCACGGAGAAGGACGGACATTTACGACAGAAAACGCAAGCCGGCAGGATTGTCTTATGAGTGCAATTACACTTCAAAAGGGAGACATTGCACTGTTCCTTGCGAAAAATTTATCTCGGAAATCTTTAAAGGTAAAAGACATTAATAATAACAACTCTCTTCATTGCATGGCTGTGTGGGGGCGTCCATGGTACGAAGTCTGGCGGATACTATCTCAGAAATGTCCAATGTTTTTGTCCGAAGAAAATGATGATCAGATGACGCCGGTCGCCTTGGTGATCAGGAACCGAGAGAAAAGTATTGGACACAAAAAGTTGCTCGAGTATGCAATGAAGAAAGGTGAACTAAAATTTAATCAATTATATTGAATATATTCTATTGCATCTTGTTCAGTTCATCAATAAGAATTTGAATAAATTACCACAAATGAATTTAATTGCTCATTTGGTTATCAGTGCTTATTTGTACATCATCATGTCATTGAAATTGGTGATCTTTACCTCTTTGCTTAATAACATTAGCTAATGTTTGCATGTTGATATTATTGCTATTGTACTGTTTCGAATGTCTTTATTCAATGTAAACAAAAAACCCGTAGAGAGTAGAAACCTACAATACAAACAAAAGGTATTTGAGGATCTAATAAAATGGACAATATCCCATTATTTATATGATATAAGTCTCACTAAATCTGATTACCCTGTAAACAATAACCTAAATAACAGACGTAATCTCCATGTGCGTTACATGCTTACATTAATATTGATATTAACACTATAGCTCACTTGGAAAACAGTATACGTTTAAAACAATATGTGTCAAAAAGATCATGTGCAAAATCATGCTATGGACTATTACCCCATAAATCAGCAGCAGTGAGTCCTTTCGCACGAGGAAGGGTTTCACCGGAAACTCATAACAAGAACATAAATGATGTAGGCCTCTCGTGCCAGTCAGAATTATAAAGGTTTAGCAACACCAAAGGTCAATGTTACGTTACAGCTATTGTTTAATACATGTATTTTCTCATTTTGCCTTATTTATTATGCTACAGGTGATACGGAAAAAGTCCCGTTAAAGACGGAACATGTCCACAAGGAAGGTATTTATTGTCTTTTCGATGTTTCAAGATAAATCGTATTCAAACAGAAAAAGGAGATAGACGCCAAATAGGAGACACATCACTGTTGTATGTTATGACTAACATTTTTCAAATGCATGTAACCATTTATTCCGTGCCTTCATTTCACCCTTTCCTGCACGGTACAAGGCTTTTCATTAGTCCTATGATGTATTTTGAAACTGGCTGGTATTTATTGCATGTTCAGCGTTAGATTTGTATTATGAAATAAGACCAACAACTGTGTATTAAAATCATGTTATGATGCTTTATTTGATTTAAATATCGGAAAACTAAATTGTTTATCAAACTCGATTATCAAGTTAAATGATATGTGTAGAATTGGTTTTAACCATATTTGGATATCTCAAAATGTACAAAATGAAAGGCAGTTTTTTAATGGTATTCTCAACGCTTGCATGATATATTTATTCAAGAATGAATAACGTTGTGCAATTGATAACTCTTCTTAATGTGTCTTATAAAAATATCTTGCTGATAAATTTCAATTCAATTTTACTTAACAAAACTCCTTAATCCAGTATCAAAAAATTACTGAGTAAATATTGCCCAGGGTTGTAGGATAGGGAAATTCCACCCGAAGGGTTTTCAAATTTGGCGTTTTTTTCCAAATTTGAAAATCCCGAGGGTGAATTTTTCCCTATCCTTCACCTTTGGGCATGAAAGAGTATTTTTCTCTCATTCCAACCACCAGAATAAGCTCAGAAACCACAAAAATGCGTTTGGACTGGCCACCATTTTGAGAATATCCATTTTTCTTTTTAGTTTTTTAGACGAAAACGAATCCGTCAGCAAGATTTAGAATACCCCATATTTGCAAACATTTTTTGCGCAGAAAAATTGATCACCTCTTTCTTACGTTTACGGTAAATAAGGTGAACTTAAATTTAATCAATTATATTGAATATATTCTTTTGCATCTTGTTCAGTTTATCAATAATAATTTGGATAAATTACCACAAATGAATGTAATTGCTCATTTGGTTATCAGTGCTTATTTGTACATCATCATGTCATTGAAATTGGTGACCTTTACCTCTTTGTTTGATAACATTAGCTATTCTTTTGCTTCCTGTAGCCATTTTGATTCCATGATCACTCTACAAATATAACAAAAAGACGCAACAGAACCTATATATTAGGTTTGAAAAATATCCCTCCAGCTGCTTCCGAGAAATAGAGATAACAAACATTAACATTCACCACTGTCAAAATCCAAGACGGTCGTCTGTCGGCTGTTTTGTAAATTTGATCACCCTAAAAAACAATTCACACAATTAAGAACCAAGGGTAGTCTACATATCAAATTTGAGAAAGATACTTCCAGAACTGCATGTGAATATCGATAACAAACATTCATTCACAAATTCCAAGATTGCCGTCTGTCAGCCATTTTGTTTATCTAATCAGTCTCATGAAAATAAATTGAATTAAATGCAATGAAAAAATCCTAAGAGTAATTCAATGAATGAGACCATTAAACAACTTTAATTAATTTTCATTTAGAAATTAAATATTACATTTTAAATCAGGAAATGAAAACTTACTATTCAAACCGAAACAAATATTTGTCATCATCCATCCCAGCACTTCACCATTGTAGTCATTTAGTCGTGACGAGTTTCCCCTGTCAGTAGAATGATAACTGTTGCTTACATTAACAATATCTGACTTACGATTACACCTACGCTTTGTTATACACTAGCAAATGATGATGTAGATGAGAGTCGTACATTGAAGTACATCGTTGATGCTGGACTATTAACGCCGGGTCTATTTTTTATACAAACGTCACACAGGTTCGCATTCACTAACGATAAGACGTTGTGGTGTTCTGTTCTAACATTCAAACACACTCTTACACCCTGAACAATGAAACAGACTATAACGCGAACGATAAACAAAGAAACCGAAAGTAGGACATGACTAAACAAACCCCCACATATACACTCTGCTTGTGATGATGTGTTATCAAGATGAATAGATAAGGGGATGTGTCGCCTTCGCGAGCCAGACACATACTGACTCGCATATCAGGGTGGTCAGCTGAACAGGAAGTTAGTAAGGTAGAACCGGCGGGAAATTGAAGCGTGTAATATGTGTTCCGGTTTAAATGTCTTTAGGAGAATCCCCTACATTTCTACCATCAATAAGGTTTATCCTATGTTTGATGATCTTTTACAAAACAAATCCATTGTATTGGTCAGCAGATTTTCTTCGGCGAGCCTAAGTAGTTAAACATGGCTGAAAAACTCAGAATAAAAAACCTAAGGGATGACAAATGGAATTATGTTCTTAAACAATTATGAATTTGTGTGATACTAAAACATATTTTTCCGGTCTAAATCTCATTATAAACACTATAAGGAAAGTCAATATTTATATAATAATATATGTTAGAGGTCATTTTTTCGGTTATGCAAACATCATGGTCATATCCATTTAGCAAACTCTGTTTAATGTAGATGCTGCTAATGCTGCTGTTGTCCAAGGCAGTCTGGAGAAACTAAAGGACCTCATTAAGAGTGGTTGTCCAGTTGACAGACAAGATAGTTTTGGAGAAACTCCTTTGATGGAAAGTATTATGAATGGTCATCAACATATAGCCGAGTATCTACTAGGCAAGGTATCGCCTTATTCCTTTGGGTTGAGGAATCATAAAAATAGATGGAATGCTCTTCATCTCATGGCAAAGTATGGCCGTCCTTGGCTTGATATATGGCACAAGATAGAGCAGATTGCACCGGAATGTTTACATCATAAGGACAAGGAAGGTCTAACACCTACGCAATTACTTCAGCAGCTGGCTACGAAGAGTGAGGGGCATAAAACACTTTACAAAGGTAAAGAGGATTTGATTTCTACTAAATCTGTAAATTAGCCAACACTTAAAGTGCGTAGTGTAGACCATTATCATCTAATACACACACTTGGTTCAAACATGTTGATATTATTGCTATTGTTTAATACATGTATTTTCTCATTTTGCCTTATTTATTATGCTACAGGTGATACGGAAATAGTCCCGTTAAAGCCGGAACATGTCCACAAGGAAGGTATTTATTGTCTTTTCGATGTTTCAAGATAAATCGTATTCAAACAGAAAAAGGAGATAGACGCCAAATAGGAGACACATCACTGTTGTATGTTATGACTAACATTTTTCAAATGCATGTAACCATTTATTCCGTGCCTTCATTTCACCCTTTCCTACACGGTACAAGGCTTTTCATTAGTCCTATGATGCATTTTGAAACTGGCTGGTATTTATTGCATGTTCAGCGTAAGATTTGTATTATGAAATAAGACAAACAATTGTGTATTAAAATCATGTTATGATGCTTTATTTGATTTAAATATCGGAAAACTAAATTGTTTAACAAACTTGATTGTCAAGTTAAAATGATTTGTGTAGAATTGGTTTTAACCATATTTGGATATCTCAAAATGTACAAAATAAAAGGCAGTTTTTTAATGGTATTCTCAACGCTTGCATGATATACTTATTCAAGAATGAATTAAGTTATGCAATTGATAAATCTTCTAAATGTGACTTATAAAAATATCTTGCTGATAAATTTCAATTCAATTTTACTTAACAAAACTCCTTAATTCTAGTATCACACAATTACTGAGTAAATATTGCCCAGGGGTGTAGGATAGGGAAATTCCACCCGAGGGGTTTTCAAATTTGGAAAAACCAGAGGCTTTGCCGAGCGTTTTTTCCAAATTTGAAAATCCCGAGGGTGAATTTTTCCCTATCCTTCACCCTTGGGCATGAAAGAGTATTTTCCTCTCATTCCAACCACCAGAATAAGCTCAGAAATTACGAAAATGCGTTTGGATTGGCCACCATTTTGAAAATATCAATTTTTCATTTGAGCTTTTTAGACGAAAACGAATCCATCAGCCGGATTAAGAATACCCCATATTTGCAAACATTTTTGCGCAGAAAAATTGATCACCTTTTTCTAACGTTTACGGTAAATAAGGTGAACCTAATTTAATCAATTATATTTAATACATTTTTTGCATCTTCTTCAGTTTATCATTAAAAGTTTGGATGAATTACCACAAATGAATTTAATGGTAGCGACAATTATCAAAATAACAACTAAGTAATAGACTTTGGAAGTATAATGTCACGTATTGAGTTCGATAGATTTACACCCATTTCATCCTTCATATTTTTTTTTTTATTTTTTTTTTTAGAGAGACACCAAAGAAAGGAAAGAGTAGGTAAGAGCGATTAAGGAAGAACAGACCCTAAGTATTGCAATGGCGGTGGCAGATCAATTATGGTCTCCTAAAAGTCTTATTTCTCGAAGTCACCGAAGAATATAAGGCTCTTTCATGCCCAGGGGTGTAGGATAGGGAAATTCCACCCGAGGTGTTTTCAAATTTCGAGGCTTTGGCGAGCGTTTTGCCAAATTTGAAAATCCCGAGGATGAAATTTCCCTATCCTACACCAATGGGCATGAAAGAGTATTTTTCTCTCATTTCAACCACCAGAATAAGCTCAGAAACCACAAAATGCGTTTGGACTGGCCACCATTTTGAGAATATCAATTTTTCATTTAGCTTCTTAGACGAAAACGAATCCATCAGCCGGATTAAGAATACCCAATATTTGCAAACATTGTTTGCGCAGAAAAAATGATCACCTCTTTCTTACGTTTACGGTAAATAAGGTGAACCTAATTTAATCAATTATATTGAATACATTTTTTGGCATCTTGTTCAGTTTATCAATAAAAGTTTGGATGAATTACCACAAGTGAATTTAATGGTAGCGACAATTATCAAAATGACAACTAAGTAATAGACTTTGGAAGTATAATGTCACTTATTGCGTTCGATAGATTTACACCCATTTACGTACTCATGTAACTGTATATGTTTTTGTCTATGAATACAAAATAAAAATAAAATAAAAAATGTACACGCATTTCATCCTTCATATTTATTTATTTTTTTAGAGAGACACCACAGAATGGAAAGAGTAGGTAAGAGCGATAAAAGAAGAACAGACCCTAAGTATTGCAATGGCGGTGGCAGATCAATTATGGTCTCCTAAAGGTTTTATTTGTAGAAGTCACCGAAGAATATAATACTCTTTCATGCCCAGGGGTGTAGGATAGGGAAATTCCAACCGAGGTGTTTTCAAATTTTGAGGCTTTGCCGAGCGTTTTGCCAAATTTGAAAATCCCGAGTATTTTTCTCTCATTTCAACCACCAGAATAAGCTCAGAAACCACAAAATGCGTTTGGACTGGCCACCATTTTGAGAATATCAATTTTTCATTTAGCTTTTTAGACGAAAAACGAATCCGCCAGCCAGATTTAGAATACCCCAAACTTGTAAACATTGTTAGCGCAAAAAAAATTGATCACCTCTTTCTAACGTTTACGGTAAACATATTGCAAAAGGTTTAGTTTCATCACGTCGCATTGTCCACATTGCAGCATCGGCGATTTCAAAATTCGTGCCGTCACGTCATTGTTGAGCCATTGTGACATCACGTCACGTGAAATTGGGTGTAAGATAGAAGTTTCCTACATCCTTTTCTTACCCTGGACAACTCTATCTTACACACAAGTATATGAGACAAAACTATCGAATCTTCAGTGGTCCCCCATTAGTCGGCTTCTAGACATGAAGTGCTATACAGCAGGCCTCTTTTCACGAACCTGCTGGAGAATAGTTACGTATGGATGGAAGGATCATTTTATAATTTTTAATAAACACATTAAACTTTATTGTTTTACAAAACAAAAATGGCAGAGAAAGCATTTCTACCCTATTTGTTTCACGTTTAAAAACATTTCAGAAAACGTTTTTGATCTTAAAACCCAAATATCCCAAAAGTTAATCGAGAGTTTCAAGTTTCCTTTACACATTTAAAACATAAATGCAATCAACACAAACATAATACATCCGTGTGTTGATATCGGTACAATGCGGTATATATAGAAATTGACACTGATTATGAGTTTTCAACTTTGCGTAGCAACGTTGACAAAGATGTTTAATTATTCTAAAGTGAATTAAAACTTAAGATCTTAATTAAATTCATGTCTATATTTGTAGATCGCAAACATGAAAAATGGGACAAATTGCTATCTAGAGTATACATGGGAAAACGCCTAACTGAAGGAGCTCAAGTGAGCTATCACCATTACAATGTCATTTATCCTTGTTATAACTTGTTTCATTTGAAATGTTTTTGCTCTTGGATGGATAAAGGAAATGTCTTTGCTACATTTAAAATTTTGTCCATGCTTTTTTTCGGTAACAAACCAGAAACAGTTTGGTATGATTAAATGAAGTATTCCTATTTATAGATGATATGACCAACCGTGTCAACGACTTGGTAAGAAGTGGAGACCTAGAGGAGCTTCGAAATCTTCACTGCAAAAGAGTGCCACTTGGAACACAGAGCATACTAGGACAATCTTCTCTTATGCTTGCAATCGCAACTGACAGGGAAGACATTGCAATGTTCTTAGCAAGTGTCTTGCCGGACTATGTATTCCTGTTACAAGACAATTCCGGTAACAACGCTCTTCACTACATTGCAGTTTTTGGACGTCCTTGGAACGAGCTTTGGCAAAAGCTTTCTCAGAACTCTCCAGCACTTTTGTGCCACCAAGATGATGAAAAGATGACGCCAGTCGATCTAGTGATCAAGAACCAAGAGAAGAGTGAAGGGCACAAGAGCTTGTATGGATATATCATAGAAAGAGGTTGTTTTACGTTCATTTTATTCATATTCGAAACACTTTAGTTTAATCAAATTTTGTTTACTTTATCAATTTACATTTGCATAGTTTATCATCAGTAATTAATTACACAGCAAGGAATCTTTATTTTCAAAATGACATTTAATTGATTGATTTTGATAGGCATCTCATACAAATCTAAAATTTTAAATGAATCAGTTTATATTTTAGAATAGGTTTACAATAAATATATTACAGACATGCCAACCTTCGTGAAGACATTAGATGACGACACCGTAACAAAATTTGTTTCTGGATTGGAGGAGCATGCAGAAGAAACTAGGAACATTCAGATTATGGTTATTGGACATGAAATGGTTGGGAAAACTTGTCTGGTGAAACAGCTTCTCGGTGAATACATTGATCTTGAAAACCTCATCTCAACAAATGTGGCTGATCTTCATCTTCGTAGACTATTACTGGACATGTTGACACTGGAGAGAATATACGGGACTTCAGCGAAGGATATTGTACTAGAACGACTTCGCATGGTTACCAACAAAATCAGGGAAAACGAACGTAAAATTGAAATAGCACCCAAAATGAAAAAAGAAAGTAAGAAATTTACATATGTATCGAAAAAGCAAATTTATGACAAAAAGGTGATGAATTATTATGCCATCTTATTCACATTGAAACCAATTGCTCATTTGGTTATCAGTGCTTATTTGTACATCATCATGTCATTGAAGTTGGTGATCTTTATCTCTTTGTTTGATAACATTAGCTAATTTTTGCATGTTGATATTATTACTATTGTTTTACAATGTATTTGCTCATTTTGTCCTATTTATTATGCTACAGGTGATACAGAAATAGTCCCGTTAATGCCAGAACAAGTCCACAAGGAAGGTATTTATTGTCTTTTCGATGTTTCAAGATAATTCGTATTCAAACAGAAAAAGGAGATAAACGCCAAATAGAAGACTAGAAAGTTACACATCACTGTTGTATTTCATTACTAACCTTTTTCAAATTCATGTAACCATTTATTCCGTGCCTTCATTTCACCCTTTCCTACACGGTAAAAGGCTTATCACTAGTCCTATTATTCATTTTGAAATTGGCTGGTGTTTATTAAATGTTCAGCGTAAGATTTGTATTATGAAATAAGACAAACAATTGTGTATTAAAATCATGTTATGATGCTTTATTTGATTTAAATATATGAAAACTAAATTGTTTATCAAACTGGATTGATCAAGTTAAAATTATTTATGTAGAATTGGTTTTAACCATATTTGGATATCTCAAAATGTACAAAATGAAAGGCGGTTTTTTTAATTGTATTCTCAACGCTTGCATAATATGTTTATTCAAGAATGAATTACGTTGTGCAATTGATAAATCTTCTAAATGTGTCTTATAAAAATATCTTGCTGTTAAATTTCAATTCAATTTACTTAACAAAACTCCTTAATTCTAGTATCAAACAATTGCTGAGTAAATATTGCATGCAAGCACTATCTCCTGAGATTGAGTCAGGACGTTACAATGTCGCCCCAAAGAGGCAAAAGAATATGTACTGTTTCTAAAAAATGATGAAGAATATGAAACGCATTTTATACTAAAGTACTTTGTCCAGCATATTCTGAATTATATAAAATACATATTGTTATCGACATCCAAATATTAAAAGCGTCAAAATTAAAAACATCAATGCATGCAATCGCCAAAGGAAAACCCCTTGTGGGACAGTAATTTATATGTTAAATGTGAAAAAGGAATTATCTGTCTCCATTTTGTATATCCTGTTTTATTATGAATCATATGATATGCAATAACAACTTGAACTTGAATCACAGAGTCTATACACATCGCAATCAGCAATACGGTACGCTGTTTTGATCATGTGCACTTTTAGTTTTGTCACCTGACCAACATTAATATTGATATAAGATTTGACCCCGTGACCCATCTAAATGATATTATTTTAATTTGGTTATTGTATTAACGATTTAACTATACAGACGCAATACTGATTACCATGCATTAATGTACAACAGTTTTGTACGTAAATAGTTACATAAATAACGCTGCGTTTTCATCAATTACTTACTGCAATCAGGATATTGAGAATGACTATTTTCAACCGGTATGACGATATATCTAAATATCTTAAAAATAAATTTGGATCGTTTACAGTTTTTAATGTTGCAGAAATCTACGAATTTACAGAAAGTCAAGAAGCAGGTAAAATTAATTATCATAATATAATACTTTATTTAATGAAAAACATATAAAGTCGTTACTAAACAAATTAATAGAAGTATCAGGAATGACTGGATACAGGCAACATGTTGATCAACAAAGTACGTCGAACTTAATTTTTAGCTCACCGGGTCCGAAGGACCAAGGTGAGCTTATGCCATACCGTGGCGTCCGTCGTCCGTCGTTCGTACGTCAACAATTTCTTTATAAGACTTCTTCTTCTTAATCACTGATTGGAATTTAACAAAATTTGACTGGAAGCAACCCTAGATGGTGGGGGCTGAGGGGCGGGGCCAAAAGGGGCAATTTGGATATATTGCTTTAAGCAACTTCCTCTCTGGAAATAAGAGATGGATATCAACCATATTTGACTGGAAGCATCCCTAGGTAGTAGAGATTCAAAATTGTACAAATGGTTGGTCTGACCCCCAAGGGAGCTGAGGGGCGGGGCCAAAAGGGGGCAAATTGGCTATATTGCTATAAACGACTTCTTCTGTAGAACTATGCCATGGATATCAACCATATTTGACTGGAAGCATCCCTAGGTAGTAGAGATTCAAAACTGTACAAATGGTGAGGCTGACACCCGGGCTAAGGGGTGGGGCCAACAAAATTGTATTAGTTGAAAATGGTTGAGATCTCCATCGTATAACCATATATACGATTGCTGAGTACAAAGAGAAGAATGCACATTTGGTTACAGGATGGCCCTAAGGTCTGGCCCCACCATTGGAGACATGGTCCCTGGGTCATAACTTTGAAACGGTTGTTATCCCTACCCCAGAACTATATATACGTATAACCATATATACAATTGCTGAGTATAAAGAGATGAATGCACATATGCTTCCAGGATGGCCCTGGGGTCTCCCCAACCCTTGGAGACTTAGCCCCTGGGTCATAACTTCGAAATGGTTAAGATCCCCACCCCAAAACTATATATACAATTGTTGGGCATAAAGAGATGAATGCAGTCATGGTATTAAAATTGACTCCAGGGTCTGCCTCACCCTTTCAGACTTAAAGCCTGGGTCATAACTTTGAAACGGTTGAGATCCCCACCCCAAAACTATAAATACAAATGCTGGGCAAAAAGAGACAAATGCAGTCATGATATAAGAATTGATCCTGGGGTCTGGCCACCACCCTTGGGACCTAGTTTCTCAGTCACAGCTTGGAAACAGTTGCGATCCCAACCCCATAATCATACATAAAATTGCTGGGCATAAAAATTCTAATACAGATATGCTACAAGGATTGGCCTTGGGGTCTGGCATATTCCCTTGGATCTCATTTGGGGAATATTTTGCCATGATTGCTTAGATATCCAGGTGAGCGATACAGGTCCTCTGGGCCTCTTGTTTTTGTCTAAAAGGCTTCAATAACATAAAGCCATACACCACGAAGAACTGCTTATATACATTATAAACCTTTCGGGATAATTGTGCCGTATCCACGGAATGAAAGTTGTTAGACCGGCGGTTTCAAAATTGGTTGGCTTTATTTTAGATATTCTGGTTGTTCAATGTTAATATCTTATCATGTATGCATTTTCGCGGATGTATCCTGTATTCATATTGAGATCTCAAGTGAAGCATTCGAATCGTCAATCTGTGTGGACTTGTTGCCGCTCAACACATCATGACGTCATGGATTTAACATTTGTGACAAGTATAATTTTCAGGAATACGTAAATGAGTAACGTTTACAGATGCGACACTGATTGCCATGTATTTATGCAATTTTCAACAGTTTTGTACGTTAGTATGTAAATAAGTGACGCTGCCTTTTCATCCAATACTTAGGGCAATCAAGAATTGTTTCAACCGGTATGACGATATATTTAACAATTACTTTGGATCATTTACAGGTAACAATGTTGCGGAAATCAAAGAATTTCGAAAAAGTCAAGAAGCAGGTAAAATTTATTTTATCTCGTTTTTATGAAAAAGAAAAATTAATAGTAGTGACAGGATCGACTGGAGAGAAGCACTTTGTTGACCAATACATTACTTAACGCTGAGTTCATACCTAAAAGGCCTCAGTTTTCCATGATTTTCGTACCTTAAAGCTTTGGATCACAATGGCTGCATGCTTAAAGGCTTTAATTAGACACGGCATTATCCCTAAAAGGCTTCCATTGATGAATAACTTTCACGACTTTCAGCTTGCCCTAATGTCAAAGTGTTATCATGGTATTATTTCTAAACATATGCTATCTGTCATACCTTTAGGATGACACAAAAAGCATATCCAATGGGGTTGTAGAATAATCGTGAACATGTTTTACGGTAGATGATTTTGGGAATGGAAGAAGAAATCAGTCTTTATCATTACTATCTATAGGTCGTTGGGGACATATATTTTCCCTGTAAATGATGGAATATTGTATAATGTCTTACATTTCTATTTTTTGACAATACTTATTCTGATTTCTTTCACTGTTTTCATTCCTATTGCATGTGTGTACAAATTTTGACCATGTGTATTTGCGCTGTCATGTTTAGACGAAGGCTACAAGTTCACGAAAAGAAATGTTCCTGACGTAAATTCAAAAACACTGGTCAAAGTTTTTTAACTCACGACTTTTGAATAAGCAAAATGTCTATGAAAAAGACACTTGGGCAGTAATTTGATGTATTGAAGAGCTATAAAATGTGCAGTTAGAAAGACTTAAATACGTATGAAAGGTCAGATTTGTTTAAATACTCAAACGCCTTCTAAAGAAAAATTGAAATCATGGAGTGCTTGAATTTTTTTGGAAAAGAAATAACCTTGTCCTATATTGATGGCCACATGAGGCCAAATTCGAATAACACTCAAACATCTCTTTTAAGGGAAAACGTAGTGATAGTTGTTTAATACGTTACAGGCTTACAGCTACAGAATTACAATCAGAAATTACTTAACCTAAATTCTGGATAACAGGTGTCAAATATGCAGAAATATTAAACAGCTACCTCTAAATGATGACGAAGCTAATTGTTATGATGTTTAGACATTACTGTGCTGAGGTATGTTCAAAGGAATCAGACTAAGGGGGTTTTATAAAAAAAAAAGCGATGTACACTTGAGTTTTTCAGAGATACAAGTCAATTTAAATGAAAAAGGAGTGAAAGACATTTTTTTAACAATCTGAAAAAAAAAAAATTGTGCTTAAATGAAAGTCTTAATATCTTAATCTATAGTCACTTTTTATAAACCACATCCTATTTAACGTTTATTTTCAGATATAAACAACACGAAGACATCGTTATCATTTACAGATGGCACAGACAGACAAACTTCAAATCCAGAATCGTTCATTGAGAATCTAACCGAACAACAGACGAAGCTTATTGACTTGGTGCTGCATAAGGAGGCCGATTCCCGGTACAAGACAAAGGCATTCGTGACAATATACGATTTTGGAGGAGAAGAGGTCTTCTACAATACCCATCATTCCCTCATGACGAGTGACAGCATCTACCTGTTGGTGTTCGATGTGGCCATGTGTCTCAACAAAATGGATGAACAAGACGGTTTCGGTGTGTAATGCATAAGTCTGAATTAAGAAGTCTATGGTGACATATTTTCCATTCCTTCTTTCCGTGGCAATAAATACATTTCGAATTTTGTAGTTATGTTACAATGCAACGAACATAATGTATAGTTACAATTTAGGTTCGAATGTACCTAGCTTTGTCATAATTAGCATGAAATGGTTACTATAGAAAACCAGTAAAAACGTCCATGTACAAGAAAGTTACATTGACCTGTTCAATTTGTTTTATACAGAAAGCATAGAAAAGTGGTTATATTCGATAGCGACACATGCAGTGGATGGCGATGAAATCAGGAAAGGAACACCACCAGTGTTGATGATAGGTTCTCACATGGATCTGGTGAAGGGAACGGTAAGTTGGGGTACATCCTCCATTACAATCTTTAGCTGAAGTGGTTTCCTTATCCAAACTGGTTATTTTAATTAACGTCATTATAGCTCCATATAAATTATTTCAATGCTATTATAGATTGTAACCTAAACAAGTGACATATGATGTTGCTTAGTCAAAGTTCTAATGTGATTCTTTTCCTGTTTATTGTAGTACATGCTTCAATATAACTTTTTGTTTTTTGCAGAAGGAGCTAAAAAGAGAAAAGCTTGAATTTTTTCTTGCCAAACTAAGATCTGTCCCAGGTATAAAGGTGATATGGGACGCACATATCAAGGGAATCTTTGAGATTGCCAACCTTCACGACAGCTGCAAAAATGCAGATATCTTCCAGAAGATATGGAAAACCATCAAAGAGGTGGCCCCACTCCAATCTCAATGGAAGAAACTCATCCCAGGGAAATGGATTGCCCTTGAATTCGAATTGCTTCAGAAAAAAGAGTCAGGAGTGAAAGTCATGACCATTGAGGAGTTAATGGAGATGAACAAAAACCTGGCAATTCCACTGGAAGACATCGAAAGCGTGAAGTTATTTCTAAGGTAAAGGTAGTTTTTGGTAATTTTAAGTACTGTTTCAAACGGAATGAATTAATATTGTTATACTGTTATAAACAGTCTAATGATAGATAAAATATGTTTGGCTGATCGACCAAAATTCTTCCCATAGCAACATTACAGGTTATAAAAGGCGAAGTAAAACGAATGTCACACACTTTTTTACATTTAATATGTAGCAACCACTTCTTTTGTTCCAATCAGACTGGAAATGTTGTGAAACAGGCCTCAAAGATGAAACCGACTCTGTTAGGTTATTTGTGTGCATCGTTTGACGTTATTGTAATTTCAATGATAAGGTGATAATAATGATATGGATTTATCGATAAACGGAGGTACATTTAACCATAAACGGGGGTACATTGGCAATGAAATAGATATTTACATTGTCCAAACCCATCCTGAGAGTAAACGAGGTTAAATTTTTGAGCTTATCAGGACTTGTAACACAACACCTACGAAGTCCTTCAAGTTTTCATTCAGATTTATCGACGATGTGCTGTCTTGAAAAAGCAAGAAATGTATTGACAACGATAAAGACCATTATTGAGCCGCAAAATGAGCAGAATGGTTTCCTTTTTCCGAGGTTGATTATGATAAACTTTCCCTTTCTTTATAGTAACATCCCACGTCCCCAATCGTCGGGTTTTAAGACCTTGCTAAGAATATCATGACATGAGGGGAGGATTTTGCATGCAGTAGGTCCGGGGTCCTTAATATTGAAGTTTCAATAAATCTCAAATAAAATACAAACGAAGCTATACATTCATGTTACCTTAGGTACAGTAACAAGTCCATCGTTTTCTAAAATATTTCAACTAACCGACAGCATTTATTTATTTATTGCTCAACTTATCAAGATAATTGCATTTTGTTTCAAATTTTTTCAATGGTCACAATGCTGTAATATCTTAAGTGTTGTTTTGCTTCGTTATTATAGGTACCTCCATATGACCGGATTCATGCTCTGCTTTGATTTGGAGAGTGAAAACCCAATCATTGTTTTGAACGCTCAATGGGTGATTGACGCCTTTAAATGCCTGATTACTGCGATCAAGTTTGTTACCGGGCTTTCGATTTACGAGAAGACACTTTGGGAAGAATTTGAGAAGACAGGATGGCTGCCATTTGAAGTTTTGAAAATGCTTTGGGGAAAACATCCCAACGGCAACTTCCTTGATCATATGCATGTGCTTGTAGCAGTTATGGAGCGCCTTGGCCTACTGATGAAACCGCTGCCCAAAAACAAGAAAGACGTGGTGGATGTCTATGTTGTCCCAAGCATGTTGAAGAGGGCGGAAAATCCTGAGATAGATGCGATGCGACACATTCTGTGCGAATCCACAACTGTTAAATCTTGGACACTTTGTATTCAATTTCAAAATCGATTCATCCCACAGGCCATATGGGACAAATGCATCGCAGCCTGTATCCACAGATTCCAGCCGTTTATAGTCCCTGACATGAAAGGTTTCCGTCACTGCTACAGAGGCTCCGTTGCCCTAGCCATCGACCATTTCTGGAATATATTGATCAACTGCAGAGACAATGTGATGAAGATTACTCTTTTCAAGATGCAGAACGAAAGTCAAGTAGCCCCAGGAACAGGATATAATATCAGGCTCGTGTTGGAAGAAATCTTAGAACAAACATTGACCATGAACCATCAGGGCCACCTTAAGTTCGACTACTACTTCCACTACGACCCGATAGTGAGCCATGGTGATGTGATTATAGAGGCTAAACGTCTTCTTATGAATTCACCGCTTGACTCTATCCGAACAACGATTGATGGGCAGAAACAGGTCTCCATTGAAAGGAAACAATATGATGTCTGGTTCCAAGAACTACCCAAAGTAAGTTATTTATAACAGTTTCACCATACAAGTAATACATAGTTATAGACAAAAACACTTAATTATTGCTTCACAAATGTAAAATTAAGATTGATTGGACTTTAAGTGTCATGCTGTTTCACCTAGAAATGATCCTTTGTAGTTTTTAATATTATATGCTGTTTTCGCAGAGCAAACCTTCATTGATGTTTCACCATTACTTACCAAATGTGTAACGTGGATGATTCTGGGAAATGCAAAATGTCAAGTATCAAATTTATTAGTAATGACTTTATTCGAATGCAATGAAGAAATTGTCATGCATCAACTTTGTTATTTTTCAGAAGGCATATCACGTTTCAGGTGAGTTTTGTTTCGTCTATGACTGTACCAATAAAAATGTATTCTTTCAACACAAATGTCCCATATTTTAATTTTTCTTACCATCTTGTAAGTGAAAGTTTTATTGAAAATGTAAAATAAAACATGAAAGATGGTCAGAAGATTGTCTTGAGGTTTCTTGGTTTCGGAGTTTTCCCCCTTTTAATGTGACGAAATGCCATTAAAATAAGAGCGATGAAGAAAAATAAGTAATTCAGGTTTAACTGTTATGTATATTACACTCACAGTCGTATTCGATATGGACATTGTGAAAGGGAATACCAACACACTTAACACTCATTAACAAAATCATACGCTCATAAAAGGAGTTAATAAACTGGATTTCTTGTTTTACATAGATGTGGATCTACATAGACGTCCAACCTTCAAAGAGCTAGGCCGTATCGCAAAGCTCATCTACGACGGCCATCACATGTTCTTTATAGAACTTGGTCTGAAAGATGCAGAAATCGGTCAGATTCGACAAACTTGTGGGAACCTGTCTTTCCGGTCACAGTTGACGAAGATATTCCTCTCTTGGTGCAATCGCCGTCGGTATATTGATTTATACCAGATCGCTTGTGCCATGGATGCACTGGGATTAGGCAGTCAGAGTATGATGGAGGAGATAGAACACGTCGAGGACGAGGTTATCTTGAAAGGTATTTATAACAGAAGCCCTTTTTATTGAGGAATCTTTAATTCGAGTGTAGACGGTGTAATGGTATCCAACAAAAATACCAATCTTATCCTTTCTGTTCTTTTGAAAACAGTTAAATATCTAGTCATTAAGTATTTTTTTATAATTAAAAAGAAGCAAGTCCAAACGTTTATTAAAAAATATCATAATTCTAAAATACCGTTCCGGCAAATAGCAAACACAAACACAAACACAAAAAGAATTGCAAAAAAGTACCGATGATAATTGCAAAATGACAAGTATGACTCGTTTGTACATATTTGTTTTAATTCAAGATTCAGGAATACCGGAAGAGCATTTAAACAGACCTCCTGTGCGAGAACAAGTTGAAATCATCGCAACATTCATTGATGCATCGTATTTTAACTTATATCTGGAACTAGGAATGAAACCTCACATTATCGTTCAGTATGAACTGGATTACAAAGATTCTGGTGTGAAAACTATGTTCATCGAATTGCTGAACGTATGGATACGGCATATTGGGGAGGAGGCGACACTTAACCGCATTCTGGTAGCAATGCAAGAGTGCAATATGGCTGTATATGACCTGGCAGATCAACTAGTGCTTAGCATGGGTTGTTGAGAATGTTAAAGAAAGGAACCACGTTTCGTTGAACACACCTAGAAACCATTCCCAAAAGACAACACGGATATGTAGTATCATCCTCTAAATCCAGGTGTTGCGTTCTCTTATGTCATGACAAAAGGAATGTTAAGTGTGCGCTACCTTTATGACAATACTAGAAGAGTAGTTTGACCCTTTGATGTAAATCAAAAGAATCACAAGGTAGCATAACTGTAAAATTGACAGGCTTTAAAGGCGGGTGTCTCTCCCTGTAATCCTCAAAGGACATGATAAGCCTGGCAATTTGTCAGGTTTTTACTTTCAATTCTGACATTACAAAATCAAGGGGTGCGGAGAACATAGGTGAACGTAACCCGTAGAATCCCAAGGATGATATATTCATAGAAACACTGAAAACGTGTTCCTAAAAACATTTTAAAAGATGTGTTTAGTATTGTATGGCTTAGAATTTCTTATTAACACACTAGTTTAAAGAGACAAAAGGTCGTTGCTATACCTCCAGTTTTAGCGACAGCATTAGATTCAGCGTTTCCAATATAATATACTGTGGTTCTATTTCATTACTGTACGTTGATATTTTCCTTGATATTATTACAAGCAAAATATTATTTGGCATACAAAAAATCCTTCAACAGCTAATATTGATTCAGGATATCGCTAGACAGAAAGTCTCCGTACTGCCAGAAACTTGACGTCAAGTTTTCGTCATTACCCAGGACATTTTAAGGTTCATACTGTAAATAGCTGTTTTGTATGTTTTTATTTAAACTGGTGTTCTCAATATAAGGTTATAGAATTCAACATAATGTTTTAATTTTCATTATGGAAGTTGAAAGAAATCCGTCATATTTTTTAAAACAATAACTATTGCTCAAACATGAATGTGTATAAAGTAATTTCGTTGTGAAATCGTGATGTGGAAATTATCTATAAGGGAAATGAAGAACATAGCTGCATGATATTTTTAACAAATACATAAATTTTGAGGTGATATTTTTTTATGCGACTGATAACGTAAAATTGAAATTATATAAAAATAAAAAGTTAAAACTAGGATGGCACACATCAGATATTGACAGAGGACATCATTCATATCTTCATGTTGGGCTTGGTGTCCATATTGACAGAGGAAATCATTCATATCTTCATGGTGCGCTGAGTGTATATATTGACAGAGGACATCATTCATATCTTCATGTTGGGCTGGGTGTCCATATTGACAGAGGAAATCATTCATATCTTCATGTTGGGCTGATTGTCTATATTAACAGAGGACACCATTCATATCTTCATGGTGGGCTGGGTGTTCATATTGACAGCGGACATCATTCATATCTTCATGTTGGGCTGGGTGTCTATATTGACAGAGGACATCATTCATATCTTCATGTTGGGCTGGGTGTCCATATTGACAGAGGACATCATTCATAGCTTCATGTTGGGCTGGGTGTCTATATTGACAGAGGACATCATTCATATCTTCATGGTGGGCTTGGTGTTCATATTGACAGAGGACACCATTCATATCTTCATGGTGGGCTGGGTGTTCATATTGACAGAGGACATCGTTCATATCTTCATGGTGGGCCTTGTGTCCATATTGACAGAGGACATCATTCATATCTTCATGGTGCGCTGGGTGTCCATATTGACAGAGGAAATCATTCATATCTTCATGGTGCGCTGAGTGTCTATATTGACAGAGGACATCATTCATATCTTCATGGTGGGCTCGGTGTCCATATTGACAGAGGACACCATTCATATAGACAGAGGACATCATTCATATCTTCATGGTGCGCTGAGTGTCTATATTGACCGAGGTCATCATTCATATCTTCATGGTGCGCTGAGTGTCTATATTGACAGAGGAAATCATTCATATCTTCATGGTGGGCCTTGTGTCCATATTGACAGAGAACACAATATGGACACATCTGTAAACCTTTTAATAAGAGCATTTTATTCACTTTATACCTATTTGTTAGATGTGTAATATAAAACTTATAATGGGACACTCGTACCATATAACCCCTGGGGTGAAGTCATGACAGGTGTGAAGGTGACTTACCAGTGAGGAGATCTTACGGTAGCCGAACTTTGGGAGGAAGATGCGGGTAGGGGTAAAGAGCCTTAGGGGATTAATACTGTTAATTGTAATCGTAATTGTAATTGTATGTTAGCAGGAATTTTGTTTTATATCAATGAACAATTCCCTTCAGAAGTTGAACAAAAACGAAGGCAACTTTACCCAACATATAAAGACCTAAAAGCCAAACACCATAAGGTCAAGCTTGTCAGAGACAAGCTCATAGTGGACGGCAAGTTGTACACGGGGCCTTTGGTAAGTAGTGACGTCAGAGCGAAGAATAGCAACCCGCGACAGACCAGAACTTATAGTGACGTTGCTCAAAGTCCGTCAAATGGGTCTCCTGGTGCGCATGCCCAACCGACAAAACGTTTGCACTTTAACAGCAACACTGAGTCCCCAAGGCGCCCTGCCCGTTTCTCGCCATCTTCCTCACCTTCGTCATCAGGTGAAACTATCCTTAAGACTGTATAGGATGAGGAGGAGAGTGAACTCTCTACTGTTAACGTTTCATGGAATGTTTGCAGATAACTTGTTGATTAACTGAATGATCTTGATTTTTTAAACATTTTATGTAAATATGAGATTGCATGTTTATACGAATGCTGGATTGGTAGTGATGATGACATATCTATAACAGGGTATACTGATCATGTCATACCTAGGCTCCAAGGCATTGTAATATATATCAAATCTTGTATAGCTGAGAAATGTCGAGTTGATGAAACTGTTACAGAAAGCATCAGTGAAATCACATTGTCATATCCGTCTAGAAGGGATATTTTCTTAGCTGATGATTATTTCCTGCCCGTGAATTGCACGTATTATGAAGGGAATGATTTCGATTTGTTTATATTACTAGAGGAAACTGTAAGTAAATATAAAGAGTATGATGACGTTTTAGGAATAGGAGACTTGAACAGCCTTACTGTTTATCTGAGGACATTATTGCCTTTGATCGAGTCAGTGAATTTTCAACCCATGTTTTATCCAATATATTAGAATACCTTCCTGATTCCAATGTTTGTAAAAGGGCAAATATGGACGTATATGTTAACCAATTCGGAAGGCAACTTTGGTCTCTTTGCAGAACAACTGGTCTCAAAATTTTGAATGGTAGGCATGCTGGTGATGGTAATGGTCATTATACGTTTTTCAGTTAAGGAATGATTTTTATTTTTTCAACATTTATGAGGTCATAACAACAATGCGGCTTTTTGGACATATTTTACATGAATCGCATTGTTATGACCTCATAAATGTTGAAAAAATAAATATCATTCCTTATATTTACATTGACGAATCCTTTCAGTGGATCGATATAACAACGAATAAAACAAATAAACAGGGTTTGTTCCTGCTTATACACGGGTGCAACGCAGTGGCGAGAACAGTGTTTTTTCGCGGGGAAATGTGACACTATCGTGAGAGATCTTAGCAACCGTCAACAACAATAACACAACAAAATGTAGTTCCATATTCAATGTTTATTTGTAGCACAGGACACGTGAATACGTGGATATTTCACAAAGCACAGTTCAATAATATTTTAAGATGTAAGAATTAAGCATCTAGGTCGGTCGTTCCGAGTGAGTAGTTTTTGTAGTGTATTACTACGCAGTGTGATCAGGTTACTATCAGTTCCCACGTGCTGAGATTCTATGAACACCTGTGTTATGCATTTATGAATGTAATTTTTGTCAATGGGTCTAAGCATACAGAATGTAAATATTAACAATTGAGCCAGTCTTATTGATTATGTTCTAGTCCCTGATACTATGTTAAAGACCATAGCACAGTTTGAGTCTGGTGTTTTTAATCATTTTTCTGACCACTCTCCAGTGTCATTCTCATAGTCCTCGTTGTTTTCCGCCGTTCAATAACCTAATAACGTAGAGCCTAAACCTTATAGATCTACCTTTAAATGGAATAAGAACGAAAAAATGTCGATCAAAGAAACACTGCTAGCTTATTCTGCTGACTTATTAGATCTATGTAACGACTCGGATCTTAGCGAAGGGGGTTTCAATAACGTTGTAAATAAGTTTTCAGAATATGTAAAAAAAAATACAGGCTCCAGTGTCTGATGAACTTGATGCTGATATTACAGGTTGTGAAATAGAGTGTGCTATTCAAAACCTTAAATCCAATAAGGCGTGTGATATCGATGATATGCTGAACGAATATTTTATTCATTGTTCTGAGGTTTTTGTACCTTGTCTTGTACTTTTCAACAACATTTATAATTGAGGTAACTATCCTCGTATGTGGACAGTTGGACATATAGTTCCAGTATTTAAGAAAGATGACCCAAGTAACCCTGGTAACTACAGGGGTATTTTAATTGTCAGTTGTATTGGTAAACTTTTTACGTCTGTATTGAATAATATGTTGGTGAAATTTGACATGGAGAACATAGAGGATATGTAATGGTGTCTTCAGTACTACCAAATATATTTCACAAGTGTGGCTATAATTTTGATATTTTACATAAGTGCGCAGCAATATTAGTCACACTGTATTTCCCTGGGGTTAACCCTTCTATGTAAGGTCGTGTTCTATCTAAGCTGGAAGTTAATCATATTTTTATTTTAATGATACATCATATAATATAAAAATAATATATAAAAAATATAATAATATAAAAAAAAAAAAAAAAAAAAAAATATTTCAATATTTATTGTATAGATGAATATATATTCAAGATTAAATGCATGAATTTTGTAGTCCTCGTGCTACTGATATATCGACATATGATAAGATGAAATGTGTTATTTTATTTTATAAAATGAAACTTTTCTGTATTATTGTAACATGTAATAAGATTCCTAAATTGCCTAGTTAGAATGTTATGTGTGACAAAGAGTGTTTTGTTTAACCTGGAAAAGAGGAATTTTAGTTCTGATATACAAAGATGGACATAAAAAGAAGGACGATCCGAACAACTACCGGCCGATTTTCCTTCTTCCTGTGGTATACAATTTAACGGAAATGGTAATTATAAATCGCATTATACGCTAGACAAATACAGAAAATATAGAATTTCCAAAAAAAAAACAAGGATTTTCAGCATGGAAAGAGTTGCACAACGGCATCTTTTAACCTCCATGAATAGATTCATGAAAATTTAGAACAGAATAGCAGTGTGTATGTCGCAATCCTGAATACGTACAAAGCTTTTGATACTGTTAAGCACAAAGACATATAACACAAGTTGTATGGACTTGGAGTAAGAGAGAGGCACGGTAGTCTAGTGGTTAAAGGACGCCGGACTCGTGACCGAACGGTTGCGGGTTCGAGTCACGGCACAGCACTGTGTTGTAGATGCGTTACTCCGCTTGTTCAAACCGTAGATTCCGGAAGTCACCTTGGAGTTATCATATCATCTTACCTATTTTCTCTGGAAAGCAGCACAGATATATTTTGATTCCAGTTAATTTATCAATATGATGAAAATTCCAATTGCTGCATAGACAATGGTAAGGATATAGAAGGTGCGTAATGCCAGAACATTGCCAACAAGTTTATTTCTTAATGGAGAAATGAAATATCTTTTTTGTAATAAACCACTCTCATTGTTTGAGGAATAAAGAATGATGATGATGATGATGATGATGTAAATGAAATTTAATCTATTGTAATTTATAAGTATTGATATATTTGACTGTAAACTCTTACTATTTAGTGATGGTTATATCTGTATTGTGCATCATGTGTGTAATGATCGTATCATGTGTATAACCTAAAATTTGATAAACAGACAATTAAGTGTTTATTTATTATTTTATCAATTTCATACACCCCAAAAATTATTAAAACTGATTAAATATATATATTTAAAAATACCTAACATATCACATATGGTACACAGAAAAGCTTCAAGTCACACAGGTAACTTTCACACAGGTAAGTTACCTGTGGGGTAAGTATGAAACAGACTATAATTGGTTTGCTGTTGTCTTCCTATATCAAAACTTTTCTTTGTTTTCTAAAAAGTGGGGGAACTGAGAACCTGAGAACACCCCGTTCTATCTAGGCTGGAAGCTGATCATATTTAATTTAATAATACATTATGTAAGATTTTAAGATTTTTAATAACAAATGTGAAAATTTAAAATATTTCAATATAAATTATATATTATTAATTATATGGATATATCTAATTATATTTATATGGGTCAAAGAAGTTATATAGACGGTAATTATATTTATATATATTATATATATGTATCCATTCTCCAGTCCTTGTGCTGCTGATAATACATATGATAAGATGAAATGTGTTATTTATTTTGTAATAATAATATAAATAGTTATAAATTGATTTTTTTTCTTTATCATTGTAACATTCAATATAATGCCTAAATACCTAGTAAGAATGGTTATGTGTGACCAAGAGTGTGGTGTTTAACAGTTGATAATTAAACTTTAAAAGAAGAAATTCATCTTAATTCCTTGATGTTAGAAGTATATTATAACTATCATAAAAATCATTTAATATCTATGATTATCCAAGCTATCGTTTTTATTATGGTGGGCTAGAATTGATCACGGCCTATGCTAATTAGTGAGATAATACAAATGTTTTGAGATCGAAATTCCCCCGTCTCAGCCCTTAGGTGAGGCTAATATATAAACTTTCCCTGACTGGAAATGTAGATATCTCTGTCTAATGGGATAGAATAATAGAATATTTCACCCCCCTGTGGATGAGATAGGGGAATCTCAAACCGAGGGATACAACAACTTAAGAATCTTTCCCCTCTAGTTAAGAATCCATTAAGATTCTAATAGACGTCCATATACTATACCTGAATTCTTTCCTTCACTCTGGCTGTATTCCTTCTTAACCTAATATTTCATGAGACAACGCATTCGAACACATCGTTTGCCATGGGACTTTGCTATATCTTACTCTTAAGGATAAAATAATCGACCCGTGACTTTGGGACATGGTCAATGACTCAAGGGCGAAATTGTTCCAAATGTGATTAGCTTGGTCACTGATTAGCGCATATACTTTTTGTGAATTTTAAAGCATAATCATTAACTTAGTTAAAACTTTCCATGTAGGAAATGGCGTCCCGTCAACAATGCTTTAACGTCACGCCATCATTGCATTGAACCCAAAACCACAACAATGCATTTAGTACACTCACTGTATATGACAAAGTCAACAAGGTAAAAGAATAATATAATATCAAACCGGGGAAAGTGTGACTACACCTATCAAGGGTAAGAGAAAATGCGTCTTCAGGTACAGAGTAGACTATACTCAATAGAATGTATGTGGATATCCAATCACGACCCTGAAATCTAACATGTGGTGTAGTTATCTAGCAAGTAAATGCGGACAGTATTAATTAACGTAGAACTGACAAAGTCGTTGACTTTTAACAGAATGAAAAATACATAGGAAACAAAGACAGGTTTTTCATTTGAGTTTGTTTTACCATTTTTTTCGACAGAAGCCTTGAACATTCTTTTATTGTATCTGGTTTTGAGTATAATGCATTTTCAGAAAAATAATCTGTCGTCAAGGCAACCCAAATGCCGTGCTAAAAATATATGTATTATAAATAGTAGCCATGTCAAAAGAATTAGATATAGCATCCGCTTCTTATATTATTTGAGAATTACAGAACAATGTTGTGTAATTAGAATTAAGAAATAGATTTCTTAGAAGAACAAATATTGGAGCCGCAAACGAAAGCTACATTTATATAGTAGTCAATACCGATTAGACCAATATCGGTAGACCAATATTCAAGTACAAATATACATTGACCAGGACTATATTTCATTCTAACGCACTATTTTGCAGAAATTAGTTACTTCTTTATTGAGAACACAGTTTTGAAATTTTATTTGATACATGTTTTCAAAGATTTAAAAAAAGATACTTCAGATAGGACAAACATGAAAAAATAACCTTTGGTTCCAAAAACGAGCACGTTTTCCAAACATAATGTTGATCTCATCATTCAAATACTTCTTTTATTACCACTTAGTTATACGTCTTTTCGGTTATTCATTCGGTGTTCTCGTTAACTGTTTCCAGTTTAAGTAACAGTACACCTAAGGGTGATACAGACACTTAAACACCGTACATAATTCATTTGACTGAAATATCACATATTACCAATTTGCAATTAGCTCCTCAAATTCCATATTGTCGATTAAAAGACTGTTTTGTTTATACTTACTAAATGATTTTCGGATGCCGCGTTTTACAACTGTACACTGAAGTCATGGATTAAACTAAATTATCATATACTTGCTTTAAATATCGACCAAATTGCATATGTGATACTGTTTCATTCCAATAATTGATATTGCCCGCCCGTGTAATAAAATATCAATAACAGCCCGCATCCGGCGATATCCGCCCGCATCCGGGTCTTCAACACAGTCCGGTCCGGTGACCGCTTCAAATTTTAGAGGTTTGTTGTTGTTGTCGTCTGCACCTCTCGTCTACAAGGGAGTCTCATGGAGAGGCAGTACTCGAGTCGTTAGCTCAACGAATACTTGAATTAGAAGAACTTATCTACAAAGAAAATGACCAAAGGTTGGAAGAGGCAAGGTTTGTTAAGATCGAAAGGGAGGACACCAGTAGATTTGTCAACAGCATGAAAAACGGCAACTCGAGGAGAAAAACTCAGAATGACATAAAGAAAAATGTATATGATACAAATGTTATAACATGCCTGTTTTCATATCAGACTCCATATTGGCCCTCAACCTATATCAGGCCCCCGCGCGGGGTCTGATATGAAAACAGGCATGTAATAACCTCTAATTATATTGATTGTTTTCTTATCATCGTTATGCTGTAATTATTTGTTTGTTGTAGTTTCATAGTAAATACTACGTCCATATGTGATTTTTTTCTTACTGTACCAAGATTATGACGAATATGTCATGTACGCATATATGTTTGTACTTTTACCTATTATACTACTGTGTATATTTATGTCACGTGGTGTGTATGTGAGCAAGCAAGTGTGTGGGAGATTGAGCGTTCATGTGAGAACGAACGTGGAATTGTTATTGTCCACTTGTCGGGTAGCTTTATGCCTATTTCCACCGGGATTGAAACCATGTAGAAAGCCCAGATAGCAGACTTGGGTAAGTAATCTGTCTTCTGTAATTTGTTGTAATTGTTGTTTTGTGCCTTATTTATTGTGACCCTATTACCGGTCAAGCCATCTATCTATCGATGTGGTCCATTCATGGTGGCAGCCGTGGGATGACGGACGTGAAGTATTTCTTGAATAGAATACTGGATATTGACCAGGTCAGAGTTAGGTTAGGTTATGTTGCTTGACAGTTTTCCCTCTTGTCCTGTCTTTGCTGTACCTTCTTGAGCATCAAAGGATCCTGAGATGTAACCCAGAGCTTTACATGTATGTAGCCTATCGGTTTAGGCTAACCGTCATTGATATGACAAGGACAGACAAGGTAAGTAAATTTCATATATTTGTAGTTAATGTTTTGTATTGCAGTGTATTATTGTTGTGGTTTGCTATACTGATTACCGCCATGTCGAAACTTCATGATCTTATTACTATGGGAAAGGAATTGGGCTATGAAGGTACACAGCTGCAGGAGTTCATACGAGAGGAGCAAGCTAAGGAAAGGAAAGATCGTAAAAAGGAGAGACAGGAGAGACAAGCAGAAAGAAAAGCGGAGTTTTCTTTAAAGATGGAGGCAGAAAAGAAAGCCATGCTTGCTGAACAGGCTAAGATAGAAGCAGAGCGAGAAGATAAGATGAGAGTGATGGCAGAAGAAACAAGAGTAGAGGCAGATCGTGAGGTAATGCCTGAAGAGAAGGCACAGAAGGAACATTTACGCAAGTTCGAACTTATCTAAGCTGGAATGGGAACTCAAGAATAGTCAAACACCACTGCTCCTAGGGAGCCATCTGAGCAGAGAGGTCCTAGGTTACCGGCGTCCTTTTGATGAAAGAAAAGACAACATGGACGCCTACATACATAGGTTTGAGAGATACACTACAGCTCAGCATTGGAAGAGCAATGACTGGGGACCGTGGGAATAGGTATATACTGACGGTTGTCGACTATGCAACGAGGTACCCTGAGGCGGTAGCGCTAAAAGGGATCAAGACTGAAAGTATGGCTGAGACACTGGTAGAGATATTCAGTCGTGTTGGAGTACCTACGGAGATGCTTACAGACCAAGGAGCACGGTCCAAATCGAACCTGATGAAGGAGGTAAGCAGGCTTCTTTCGATCGGCCAATTAATAACGACGCCTTACCAAACGCAGTGCAATTGTCTAGTAGAGCGCTTGAAGCAGATGCTGAGGAAGATGAGTGCAGAGACCCAAGGATTGGGATTGATATCTAAACTCCCTCCTGTTTGCTTATCGGGAAGTACCACGGGAGAGCCTGAGTTTCTCACCTTTCGAAATGCTGTATTTCAGAGCTGTCCGAGTCCTCATGATGATACTGAAATAGTTATTTACCAAGAAAATGCCAGATGATGACATAAACACTACCTATCAGTATGTCATTGATTTGAAAGAGAAGATCGCCATGGAACATTTGAAGGGAGCTAAGGTGATACAGAGGAGGCATTTCATTAGAAGGGCAAAGTCAAGAGAGTTAAAGCCAGGCGACAAGGTACTTGTTCTTTTACCCACCAAGGCGAACAATGTACTAAGGTGGCAAGATAAAGACCCTACACATCAAACCTTCTGAAGTAGTATTTGGATTCTGAGAGAAACATCACTGGGGAAGTTGGAGGAATCCTTGCCTTGGTGATAATGGCAGTTATATCAGAGGAGCAGTACTAGGAGGATGACATTGAGATTTCAAGTAAACTAGAAGTTCCTCCAAGTGATACAGCGAAGAAAACGTACAACATGTGGCAATTTCACCGGATTTGACTGAACAACAAAGTGATGAAGCTAAGAAACTCATGGATGGTTACAGGGATGTTTTGACAGATCTTCCGGGAAAGACGAACTTAGCTGTTCACGAGATCAACACTTCTACTATGAAACCTGTACATGTAAAACAATACCCTTACAAAAACAATCTCTGTCTGCACCTGTTGTTTTGATCAAAAGGAAGGATGGAACAAACCGTTTCTGTATCGATTTCCGGAGATTAAACCAAGTCACAATTTGTGACGCGGAGCCTATAACCTTATACTGAAGAAATATTCGAAAGAGTCTCTAGTGCCAAGTATTTCTCGAAGCTAAACTTCTGCAAATGCTATTGGCATGTTCCTCTCTCTTCGGAGGCCAGACCAATGACCTCATTCTCAACTCCCCAAGGACTGTTCCACTTCAAAGTGATGCCTTTTGGGTTGAGGATCGCTCCAGCGATGTTCAGTCGGTTAATGAGAAAGCTATTACGTGGGATGGAGCATATCGTTATTGTATCTATGACATCCTTATCTATACAGAAATTTGGGAGGAACAAATGGGCATTCTGCAAGAACTGTTCAGACGCTTACGTGAGGCAGGACTTACTGCAAGGCCAAGTAAGTGCGCGATAGGATTCAGGAGTCTACCTTGCCTATGACATGTTGTGGGAGACGGCAGGTTACGTCTTGAGGAGTCAAAAGTAGTTGCCGTTGAAAATGCACCAAGACCAACCACTAAGAGGAACACACACAACCACGGTGAGAGATCGAACGTTTAATGACGGAGAACGGAAGAGCGGCACATACGTGTAACACACAAAACGGAGCCCGGTCCGGGATCTCCGGAACCATAATAACTAACATACATTACACTGGCGCTACCCTCTTTTTCTTTGTAAATGACTTATGGCTAAGTTATTATGAATGATAAGGAAACATTAACCGCAATGTTGCAAACAACTATAAAAGAACGTTACTAAATATGGTGACACAACAGTTCTATATGACTCACAGATCGTTTGATAAAAATATAAACTAACACTAGTAACAGTCAACTGGAATTAAACTTTGTAAGAGTAAATGGTGTTGTTTTTTGTTAAAACATTGTCATGATTCACAATAAAGTGTTAAACACTAGCCACACAATTAATAACATAGGTTATTTGACCAATATGAATGTGGGTAAAATGAATTACTGATCCAACACTGAGTAGTGAAAGTTCTGCTAATACAGCTCATAGTCTTTGAGTTTTTGGGGCAACTGACGATCAAGTTCTTCCAAGTGATACAGCGAAGGAAAACGTACAACATGTGGCAATTTCACCGGATTTGACTGAACAACAAAGTGATGAAGCTAAGAAACTCATGGATGGTTACAGGGATGTTTTGACAGATCTTCCGGGAAAGACGAACTTAGTTGTTCACGAGAGATCAACACTTCTACTACGGAACCTGTACATGTAAAACAATACCCTTTGCCTTTCAGCCCGAAGGAAATTATCAGAGAAGAGATGGAAAAAATTGCTTGAAATGGATATCGTTGAGCCTTCTACATCACCCTCTCTGTCTGCACCTGTTGTTTTGATCAAAAAGAAGGATGGAACAAACCGTTTTTGTATCGATTTCCGGAGATTAAACCAAGTCACAATTTGTGACGCGGAGCCTATAACCTTATACTGAAGAAATATTCGCAAGAGTCTCTAGTGCCAAGTATTTCTCGAAGCTAAACTTGTGCAAATGCTATTGGCATGTTCCTCTCTCTTCGGAGGCCAGACCAATGACCTCATTCTCAACTCCCCAAGGACTGTTCCACTTCAAAGTGATGCCTTTTGGGTTGAGGATCGCTCCAGCGATGTTCAGTCGGTTAATGAGAAAGCTATTACGTGGGATGGAGCATATCGTTATTGTATCTATGACATCCTTATCTATACAGAAACTTGGGAGGAACAAATGGGCATTCTGCAAGAACTGTTGAGACGCTTACGTGAGGCAGGACTTACTGCAAGGCCAAGTAAGTGCGCGATAGGATTCAGGAGTCGACCTTGCCTATGACATGTTGTGAGAGACGGCAGGTTACGTCTTGAGGAGTCAAAAGTAGTTGCCGTTGAAAATGCACCAAGACCAACCACTAAGAAACAAGTACGATCATTTCATGGATTGACCAGATTTTACAGAAGGTTTATCACAAATTTTGTCGCGATTGCTGTTCCATTAACGGATTTGACAAAGAAAGGGAATCCTACACAGATAAAATGGAAGACGACTCATGAGATCTCAATAAGTTGCTTGTAGCAAAACCTTTTTAATTCGAGCAATTAAGGGTGAAGACAATGATGGGGCGGACTACCACAGCAGGACTAAGGAACGTATGTGGTTCGTGATTTGGATAGAAACTTTCCATTTTCTCAGGGAACGGGTGGATAATGTCACGTAGGCAAGTGAGTGGGATTTATAGTGTTCATGTGCGAACGAACGTGGAATTGTTATTGTCCACTTGTCGGGTTGTTTTATAATCATTTCCACTGGGATTGAAACCAGGTAGAAAGCCCAGACAGCAGACTGGGGTAAGTATTCTTTCTGTCTTCTGTAATTTGTTGTAATGGTTGTTTTATGCCATATCTATTATGACCCTATTACCGGTCAAGCCATGCGTTGTGTTACTGAAGGCAGGTGTTTATATGCACGTAACGTTGTAAATCATAGTAAACAATTAGGAATAGTCTTTGTATAACTATTGTCGGAGAATGTATAAGTAACTTCATTGTTATAATCATTTATATTGAAGCCCCAAGTGGTCATCGTGTTTGTATGTACTAGTATGGGTGCGCGCAGGTGAAAAATCTACGGAAGCCTGTAAACGGCGTATGGCGAGTAATAGTCGTTTATGTAAAGAGAGGTGAAACAGTCATTTTTGTAGAATTTGGCCACGCATCTAAGAATATAATAGTTTGGTAACATTTTTGGAATGTGTATTGTAAATGTCAGTAATTAATTATTAATAAGTTGTAAAATTAGCAGTTAATGAAATCTGTAATGCAGTGTATGGAAGTGTGAGTGTTAATCTAATATTCGTGTACGTTTATTTCTATAGCTTCACATGATGGGCAAATGCCAGGGCTCCTTCGCTAGGCCAGCAGCGATTACACCAGACCTTCAGTAAGGCAGCATCAGGACCGACCAAACCTCACATCGAGTTATCAGGGTCAATGTCAGCTGTTTGAAGATGTGATTATACAGACAGGCATGAAGGATATGTGAGCCGATTATAAGGAAAGAGGTTACAATGTAGTGATGTCATTTGTAACCTTGTCGTTGGAGGACATCTGTGCTTTGGTACAAGGCATTTGCACTTACGAATTTTGGTGAAAGGTCAGGTTCGTGGAACCCTATGTTGAAACTTATACAGAGACGCTGTGTACGCTGATAGTCAACTACGTGTAATTGGAAACTGGATTATCGGACTTGTAGTTTTATATATAGTAATGTAGTAAAGGCAGTGAGAGTGATAGTGAGTGTTAATACTTGTGGGTAATTTATTTAATTTTGCGTATGTGAATAAATTTGTATATGTAATATCCCTTTGTCCTGGTTTTACCTGTTTCTATTTCCTGAATACTTGACTGAGGCTCGTCCTGCGTTACAGAACACATATTGCAAGGTGTACGTAATAAGTCAACTACAATCAGGTAATAATACGTGTTATCAAGGCCTTGAGATGCGGAAGTGGTCCAATAACTGTATGGTCTTCTCATCCGTCTCGTTTAAACCCTTTACTTGACCCTCACCCACCTGCAATAAATATGACATTACATCATTTCATAATATAGAAATCCAAGAAAAAAATGTTATTGTAGAAAATTATTACAGAAAAGGGAAAAAATGCAACAGCTTGTACTGCGATTCGGACCCAGAACCTCCGATTTCTAGACAAATAGTCAGGCAATCAAATCAACTGAGCTACCTGATCACCAGCGATCAAACTAGTCCAGTTAGTATTACCTTGAGCATAGTTTAATTTCACATTTAATTTCCTACATTACGTTTTATCTTGTGTCAAGAAAAATATCACACTTTTTATAAACAAATCTACACAAACAGGTGCACATGCAAAGAAGACCAGCAGTGCCCAAAAGTGACATCTTTTATTTTCATGAATAAAAAGAATGACAACCGACAGGAAACGTCTGTTAGATGGGCCTAGGCCCTATACATGTATATGGTGTTTACGATGTGGTCACGCTTGATCCTGTTTGTAACAAGAGAGGGAAAATACACGGCCACGTCGGGATTCGAACCCGGGACCCTCTGAACTTTAGACGGATGCAATTCCAATGTGAGGTAGGCCTGCATGGTCGCTGGCGGTCAACAGTGTCCAGTTCCGCTACATACATACGTTATCTCGAAGTCGACAGAGTCGTCGGAAAACTTCGAGTTACCCGGGTATTCGAGTTATACGGGTTCATATATTTGGTATGAAATTTGCTGTTTTGACATAGCACTAGCAGTCGTTGATTTTAATTATAGCCAATGTTTATAATCAAGCGATGAATGATATACATGGAAGTAATCAATTTAACAAATACAGATATGTAATTTTACAATATACACGATTACAAAAATAGAGTAAGTTATTTCCGAAAAACGTAATCTCGTTTAAACGATTGGGCCATATTGTGAATTCGTTATTAAATATGGACGGGCCCAAATCGGATCAGTACCCAAATCAGATCACTTTTTGCGAAAATACTTTTAAATCAATAAATATGTCAAAAGATCAGTTATAACAATGATGTAGCCTTAGATTAGAAAGCCATGCCCCATTTTCTGTCTACAGCTGCTAGATGATTAGTTTTTAAATCCAAAAAGCACCAGAAAACGTAATTCAAACTCAAAAGTCAGTGTTTTGTTTGCGTTTTAAAAATTTGGCGCGTACGACAACTATTCATTCTGTTTTGGACTATAGGAATAAATCAACCCTATAGAAATACTTTTTTTCATATAAATTCCAAAAGTAAACATTCAAAGTTAATATGCTGACCAAAATATATTCATTTGGAGTGTAAGATACTGCAAAATCCAAGCCTTGATCCGATTAAGGTCCCGACATTCGCAAAAGCCGGAACCACTAATTAGTTTAAACTTTGTTTTATTCACATAACATAATAAAATATTATTAAACATAAATGAATTGGAAACAGAAACAGGTGTTGTTACACTTATACAAATCGGTTACTTTTCATCGTAACCAGCATTAACAGCTATAGCTTAGGGATAGTGACGTGAATAAATTACAGGGGAAGTTAGAAGTGAGTTGGGGAAATGCAGTGTAAAATATGGTACATGTACAAAATACGTTATATTCATAAAATCAGTGCATTGTGGTCAAGAAAAATCCTTCTGTTGCGTCATCGTTAATACCAGAGACCTAAAGTAGCTTTAGGTCTCTGTTAATACACATTATGGTTGATTTTCAGACTGTTTCAAGAAAGGTATATATATGCATATAAGACCGAAATATAAAATATACTCTATTCATGGTCAGACTTTAAAGGAGAGGATACAACAGTGGGAGCTGAATACTCCAACCTAGCTGCGATAACGTAGCGTTCTGACGACGAGAGATTTTTTATATATTGCGTCGTCAGAGCTACGAAGGGGTCCTATGCCAACTAATGGAGCAAAATCAAAAGTGCTAATCTGTAAGATTGCATATAATTCACGCCTCATATGAGTATCAATGCTATCAAAATAGTGCATAAAAAACGAATCCTTACCCATGCAAAAACTCTTTTACGAAATTAACAAAGTCCGTATCGGGGAACAAAATAGAAACGACCGCCATGACAGATCACGCGTGATGTTATCTCAATTATCCTTCATGGCCAAATATAGTATTACTACTGATGCCGCCATGTTTACTACAATTTCCATATTGGGTCATGACACCCATATTTGGACGTCTGGCCTATATCGGAAGAGAGACGAACTTTCCAGCACCCGTCGATATATAACCAAAATTGAATGCAATTCATCATCAGAATTTTTAATGAATGAATAAAATGCTGGTTTAGTGATCCGATTTGGGTATTGTCACCTTAAATGTTGTTTTTGGCTAGTCTTGGCAAAGTCTTTCCAGGTCTGCATTTGTATTTGCAAGTCCGTCAAGTTTTACCTCTGAAGTGTTACATTTAAAAATCGAACTATACCGGAAATGAACGTGCGCAAGTATAAAACAAATCACTGTAATGGAGCGTACGCATAGTTGATTCTTTAAATGAAAACAAACACAAACAGATTATATCGTACATGTAACACATTTACTGATTCATTAAAGCCAAATATGACACCTGACATCAGTTCGATTTAGTCAACAGCAATTATCGTATTGTTCTTTAAAATACATGTATTTCGATCGACTTTCAAAGCCCTACCGGCTCCTGTAAAAACATGAACCCGTGGATAGCTTCTTCCCTTCTACAATGGTAAAATGGAATGCGCTTGATAGCACTGTACGAGGTTCTATCTCAATTTCATCTTTTAAAAATTGTCTCAGAAACTTTTATCAACTGTGTTCCGATAAAGCTTAACATCATTCTATGTCAGCTAAGAAATTCTAAAAGAGATCTTAACTTTGATAAGTTACAAGACCATCTGATTGATGATGCTTCCTGTGTATGTGGTGCACAGAGGGAAGATCTAATACATTTTTTCTTTCAATGTCCTCTATATTCAAATATTAGGCATCATATTACCACTATTTATAATCTATTAGGATATTTAAATCTGCACTGTTTATTATATGGTATTAGTAATGCATCTGACCAATTAAATAAAACTATTCGTATATGTTACATGTTGACTTTTATATTAAATCATCAAAACGTTTCGTTACTGATACATGCTAGATAAATTCCAAATTAATGTTCATGTATTGTTATTATTATTATTATTCAGACAAGTTTTGTCCCTTAAACAATTAGTATTACACGTAAGCTGGTGTGGGTGTGCATGTGTGTGAGAGGAAAACGAATTACAACATTCTATTTCATTTTGATTTAATCATTGTACATAGCTACCGGAAATAGAAGAAGACTGATATAGGCATAGCCTGTTGTCTAATTCTTTTGTCAATACTGTTCTAACATCTTCTTTAATTTGAACTTATATGTTTGTATTATATAGGTATTGTCAATACAATACTTTTAAAATAGAAACCCTTGAAGCTGTCCTAGGTTGTGATTTTAACTGTGGAACTCTTTTATGCATGACCACGCTTTGTAACGGCAGGGACTGGGAAAATACTTAGAGATAAACATGGACTTCGAGTTAAAAAAAAGTTCGAGGTAACGAAGTTCAACTTACAAAGTAGTCCTTCGTACTGTCATCAGATGGATTTATGTTGAGTTTACTTCTTGGAACCTTATAGACAAACGCCAAATCAAGTTTCCTCGAAACAGGCATCGGTCTTTCTTTAATCACCTTGACCTCCTCAACTCTTTTGGAAAACATAGTTTGAAATTGTCCGAATCCAGAGGCTAGGCCTCCACCAAACAATTGCCTTCCTAACAGCTCCCTCGCTGAAGCCGACCTGGTGGTGGACTTGGGTTCAAGTTTGGCCTCCTCCACTTCGATCAGTTTTGGTTGCCGTTCTTGTGTCTCTTCTGCTTGGATAGGGATGTCTTCAAATTTGAAAGTCACAGCAAGATATCCCGCTTCTTGAGGTTTCTTGGCTTTTGCTTTTTTTGAAGGTAAACAACCCATCTTTGCTCTTAACTGACTAGAATTTTAACCGTTTCGCTGCTACAGTGAAAACCCTGATTTTCTGTCAGGCCAAGATTTCAGCGTGGTTTTGAAATGTCCTACTATGACGTCGTTGGACTATGACGTCAACAGTTTATGCGTAGACCAAGTTACGTTTACCTAGTAAACGTCATGGAAAAGTACATAGAACTACTTCATATTCAAATAGGCATTGAACGGTGGTTGTTTTCATTTTCATGCCGGTATGAACGCAAATCGGTTACATTCATATTGCATGCGGGCTTCATGTTTAATATTGTTATAACCGATTTGCGTTCATACCGGCATGAAAATGGAAAAAAAAACGCCGTTCAAGCCATATATTTAAATTTTTCATATAGAAAATTCTTTCATTTTATTTATTTTTTCTTAAATAATTAATTTATTAACTGCGTTATGTGTCGTCCTTTAAAAGACATTGGCGGAACAGCCCTATTTAAATAAAATTGGCGCCAATAATTAACCGTAGTCATTTGAGCGTTTGATTCAGAGGCATTCTCCATGTTATCCGAAGCGATAAGACTCTTATTGAACAAGGTAATATATGACGTCATAAGTAAACCACGTGTTTCGTCACGAGAGTTTATGTTTAGATACTCGAATCATATAGTGGGTTGCAGCGCAAATGTAAATATAAGATCATATAAAACTATTACGATCACCTAGAACCATATATGTTATACCTCTGTTACATTTGGCGAGACAAAACAACCGGCATCATCAGCGATATAATTGATGACAGACGATGCTCATTTATTTATTTTCCTATGTGCTATATGCATATACGTGAAATACAGTTAAATGGAATGATGCATTTCACTTGTAATGTTCATCCGAGTTTCGCTTGTGTTTGAAGGAGGTAAACTTGATGCACAGGGGTTCGTTACAAATGCCTGAAATACACATATGTGTGCTGTGACTCATATCAGTATAGCGTATGTGTATTTCAGACATTTGTAACGAATCCCTGTGCTTGATGCGTACCGCGTCTACCAAACTTTAGCCTAATCAGGTTCAGTATACGTTTTCCTCTCGTTGAATGCTGCATTTTGGAGGAAAAGAAGTGAGAATGGGAGAATAGGTTTAATCTACCCTTCATCATTTGTTTTATTCAACTATCCATCGATTAAACAATGTTTGCTTATCAAAGAAATGTGTGGAATATTTATGGTTCTATATTAAGAAATTCAAATGTATTTCACATGTATACATGGAATTTTATGACAATGTGAACATTAACAAAAAAACCACAAGAATAACTTATTACAGATATAGTTTTCTGGCATATATAGGACATTTGTAAAAGACATGCATTTAATTTTCAACAACTTTGCATATTTTTAAGTGTCAGATTTTCCTAGAGGCTTAGGTTTGTTCGCCACTGGTCAAATCAAGATTATGTTGAATAAGTTGAACCTTATTATTGAATATGGTATTAGGCAGACACGTGTCTTGTGAATCTTGGTAAACCGATTTGGCTGCTTTATTAATCTCGCTTTTAGTTAATTGAACAAATTAAACTTCTATTTAAATGAAAATATAGCAAAACTAGCATTACGTCTGTAATGTAATGTTTTTTCCCAATTTTAGTGACTGTGCACATGCAAGTTACGTCTCTGTTCTAACAGAGACGTATAGAATATGTACAGGCGTTTTGGCAGACCAACCAGTTAGAGAAGTGTTATTTAAGGACCCCTGTACCACTGCAAACTAGGCATTGGACACTGATTTTTCCGGCATGACATTATCTTTGATAAATCATTTCTGAAAGGAAAACCTTACCTTTTGTGACTTTCGTTATAAAAAAAAAAAAAAAAAAAATAAGATGAAATAAGATAAATAAAAATTAATAAAGAAAATAAAGCAAAGAAAAAAAGTGTTCCGATTAGAAATTTTAAGGAATATATTGCAGATCAACGGCATTATGGTTGTTGCAACAGTTCCATATGGCGTTGAGCTGTTGAGCTTCAACATTTAGAAGTCATTAACCCCCAGTAACCGACCAACAGCGATCCATAGGCTCCCTGATAGAGATCTCAACCCACAGCCTACATTTAGCCACAAAAAGGCAATCTAGTGGTAACCTACCCAAGGCCACCAGCGGGCGCTTTAGTGGTAACCTACCCAAGGTCCCCAACGGGCGCTCTAGTAGTTACCTACCCACAGACACCAACATGCGCTTTAGTAGTTACATGTACCTAACCAGGGTCACTAACAGGTGCTCTAGTAGTTACCTACCCACATACACCAACGGGCGCTCTAGTAGTTACCTACCAACATACACCAACGGGCGCTCTAGTAGTTACCTACCCACAGACAACAACGGGCGCTCTAGTAGTTACCTACTCACAGACACCAACGGGCGCTCTAATAAAATCTATTACCTGTAACTGAGCGAGATCGGGTTTTCTCTTACCCTGGACAGGTGTATCCGCACTTTTACCGGTACGAGATTAATAGAATCTTTCAACCCCTTGGGGTGAGATAGAGGGATCTAAACCCACGGGGGAAGATTCTTATGTTGCCAAACACGAGGCCTTGCCGAATCTTTCCCCGAGGGAAATATCGCACCGGTAAAAGTGCGGATACACCTGTCCAGGGTAAGAGAATAATAGAATCGTTCACTCCCTTGGGAGTGAGACAGGGGGATCTTACCCCGAGGGTTGAGATCCCCTGTCTCACTCCCAAGGGGGTGAATGATTATTTTTCTCTACCCTGTTTACCCTCTTATCTATCTAATATTGCCGTTACAACAATGCAAGACAACGCTGATATGATGCGATTGAATTGTCGACATGACGTCATTGTATTGTTGCCGTGACGTCATGGTATTGTTGCTATGACGTCATACAATTGTTGAGAACGTTCAAAGAGCACGTGTAGCTTGTCTCAACCCTAGGGTGAGATAAGAAAATCTCACACCGGTAAAATGGTGGATATCCCTGTCCAGGGTAAGATAATTCCTTGTCTCACCCTAGGGTTGAAATGGGGGGATTCCCCTATTCATTACAATGATATGACGTCACTTCAACAATACAACGACGTCACGTCAACAATCCATCAATGTCACGTCAACCCTGAATTTAGCATGTAACATTATCATTACATTACACTATGATACACGTTGGGAAACAGGGTAAGAGAAAAAGAATCATTCACCCCTTTGTGGGTAAGATAGAGGAATCTCTACCCTCGGGTTGAGATCCCCCTTTCTCACCCCCAAGGGGGTTAAAAAAAAGATTCTATTAATCTCAATCGAGGGTTAAGATTCTGTAACAAAATCCCAACCGAGGTTGGGATGTTACAGAACCCTAGCCCGAAACTGAGATAACCCAATCTTGCTCAGTTACAGGTAATTGTGTTTTTTTCTCGCACCTTTTTTTTCGAAAAACACTATTCAATTTTGCTAAAAACTACAAGTATCCCGCCTTGGGCCTCAAATGATGATGATCTCTTCACTACTTAAGCTACATTTGAATGCATCCGCGTAAAAACTTGGTCCGTCCTTACATAGATTACAACGTATTTCACGGTGTAGATTATATTTTATCTACAACATCAAATATCTAACAACATCAAAACTATACAATAACGACAAAACAGAACAATTATAATGCAAATAGTCAATTTCAAGCAGTTAACGAGCGGATGAATTGTGTAAAAATTCCGCGAAATGTCACGTAAAGGTACAAGACAGATCGGACGAGATAGAAAAATCTAGCATGGGGTATGACGTGGAATATCTCTTTCTGAGGTGCGATAAAAGTAGTTACCTACCCACAGACAACAACAGATACTCTAGTAGTTACCTACACAAGGCCACTAACAGGCGATCTAGGAGTTGCCTACCCACAGACAACAACAGACACTCTAGTAATTACCTACCCACGACCACCAACAGACGATCTAGTAGTTACCTTACCACGGCCATCAACATGCACTCTAGTATAGTAACCTACCCAAGACCGTTAACAGGCGCTCAAGTAGGTATCTACCTACGGCCACAAGCACACACTGATGTGCTTTAGAAGTAACCAACTTACAGTTGCATGTTTACGCTCTGGACAAGTGACCGACCTGGTTACAAAGTAAGGGGCCCGGGCTTAATAGAAGTGAAGTACACTGTGGCCCCATTGAAATGACCGAGCCACAGTCACACATACATTTGGGCTTAATAGAAGTGAAGTACACTGCGGCTGAAATTTGGGCTTAAATAGAAATGAAGTACACTAGGGCCCCATTGAAATGACCGACCATAAGTCACAATGATCGAGGGCCTCTAAAAGTGACTGACCCACAGTGAGGTGACATACATTAAGTGACCGACGCCCAGTCACACACTCGTAGCTGTAAGACGCCCTGGAAGTGATCGTCCCACAGTCACAAACTTATTAGACGCTATAGAAGATGGCTAGCTGTTACGTTGATTGTGTAACAGGAGAAAGAGAAAATGTAACGGCCTGACCGGGGTTCGAACCCGGGCCGGGACCTTCCAAACTCTAGACAGAAGCTCTACCAATTGAGCTACCTAGTCGCCGACGATCGACCCAGTCCAGTCCAGTCCAGTCCATGACAAACATCATGTCAGAACTGAACGATAGAAAGTAACCTTGTGATATATGGCATCAGAGAGCTTAATTCTCCTTCAAGTCAGGACAGGATAGCTCATGACAATAGGAAAGTCAGTAATATCCTAAACCGTTGTTTAACGAATTCTAGCAATTAAAAGCAATTCACCAAGGCTGTTAGGCTCGGAAAATTCCAGAAAGATGTTCCACAGGATCACAGAATAGATAGAAGACTCTTTACAATAAAAAGAGACGGTTGCAAACAAATGTATCCGGATCTTTATCTCATACTAATTTAATATATTATTATTAATGATGATATGTATTTGATTATAAGATACATGCAAAGGGATTAAAGGATGAAAGTGTGGTATGAATTGATGAATATATAAGTACGTACGTGTATAGAGTTCAGTATATCTCTTTCGTTTATTTTGTAAATATGATGTATATGTGTCATCTTGTAACCTGTTATTGTTAAATTCTATTGGGAATGGGCTTTATATAAGTTATAAAACGTGTGCCCAATCCCAATTTATATTTTGATGCAAATAAAATATGTTTAAATCAATTGGAATAACATAAGTGTATCCGAAAAACAGCAGATTTTTACCCAACAAAGCTGAAACTCACCATGGAGGGTTACACTCCATTTATAAACGAAAATGACCACCATCGTGGCGTAGCAATCTATGTTAGGGATACCATGTCAAATGAATACTCCCATCTTCTTATTATGGGGGATTTCAACATCCCCAAGATAAACTGGAATACATTCTCTCCTAAAAACGGCCAGGAAAGTGAACACTTTATTGAGTGTTTAAGAGACAACTATATAACACAGCATGTTAGGGAATCTACCAGAATGAGGATAGGTAGTCCGAATTATTCTGACGTTTTATCAACTTTTTTCATATCTACGACAGACCGATATGAAAAAAGTCGGTAAAACGTCAGAATAATTCGGACTAGAGGACAGGCTATGAACAAGCTGTACTGGACATGTTGGTAACAAATAAAGAAGAAATGGTGAAAGAACTTATCTTTGAAAGTCACAGTGACCACTTCGTTCTGAAATATAAATGTATCTGCTATAACTGCAAATCTGATAATGCAGTGTATCGCCCGAATTACCACAAACAAAAATATTATAGAATTAAAGCGGAATTAAACCCAGACACAATGTACTGTATTTTTTTAGGATTAGTTCGCGCAAGTATTGATAAACATATTCCAAAATCTAAAAGAGGGAACGGGATCGACAAAGGATATCTCCCACTAACAGAAGAAGTAAGACAAAAAATCAACAAGAAGCACAGGGCTTGGCAAAGGTACATGGAGACAAGATGCGATATAAAATACAGCGAATACACTAAATTAAGAAATCAGGTTTAGATCCTGGTAAGGAAATCAAGACGAGAAATGGAAAAGACAATAGCCGAAAACGTTAAAGAGAACCCCAAGTGCTTTTGGATATACATCAACTCTAAAAGAAAAGTTAAAACTGGTGTTCGGACTGGAAAGGCTTATAATTGGAGACATTTCAAAAATGGCTGAAATGATAAGGATAGAGCTGACATACTAGCTGAGTTTTTCAGCAGCGTGTTAACAGAAGAGCCACCAGGTGAAATTCCAACATTGAATGAATTTATATGTGAAAATACATTTGAAACGCCAAACTGTACTAAAGAAATTGTCTGCACATTATTATCAAGACTAAATGTAAATAAATCACAGGGCCCTGACCAGATGCACCCAAAAGTAATGAAATAAGCAAACTGACCAGTGAGCCGTACAAGTATCGTAGATAAAACAATGGAAAGGGTAATACGCGATTCCGTTGTTACACATATAGAGAGAAACAACCTGTTCAGTAATAAACAATTTGGATTCATCTCAAAACGTTCAACGGTGCTGCAGCTATGGTTCTAGAAGATTGGACTGAAATATTGGACAAAGGCGGAGAAATAGACGTAGTGTACATGGATTTCGTGAATGCCTTCGACAAGGTCCCAAACTAAAGATTAATAGGAAAACTTCGAAGCTATGGTTTAAGTTATCCAGTTGTAACATGGATTGAAGACTGTTTGAGTAATAGAAATCAGCGTGTAATAGGTAATTAACAGCCTCGATATCCAGGGGTTACGCTCACTTTCGCTCTCTGCACCCATGGAATATGTCATAGCAAAATTGAAGGCACGGAGATAGCTGTTTGATTGGTCTCGGGTAAAAAAAATACTGACCGATCGCTAGGCTGATACCTGTCCTTTGAAAATTACAAAGGAGAGACGCCCGACTTCAAATCCTGTCAATTTTTACCGTTACGTGACCGCGAGATTCTTTTGATGTATATCAAAGGGTCGAACTAGTCTTCTTGTCTCATCAACAAGATGGTGCACACCGAGCCTAATTCAATTTAGCTATGACATATTCCAGGGGTGTATGAGCGAAAGCGAGCGTAACCCCTGGATATCGAGGAGGAATAGCCGGAACGGCCTCCAAATAATATCCAGCAGTCAGCGGAACCCCCAGGGAAGCGTACTAGGGTCGATCTTGTTTGTCATTTACATCAATGACTTGCCAGACAATACAAAATCTAAATCATTTTTATTTGCAAATGATACCAAAATATTCAGGGATATAAAAGGTAACGAAGAATGGAAATTACTTCAGGAAGATTTCAACAAATTACAAATATGGTCCGATAAGTGTCTGTTAAAATTCCACCCACAACAATGTAAAGTACTTACAATAAGCGGGAAAGGCAGAAGGCAGTACTACACATGACGGGATCTCGGGAAGGAAGGATAAATCTAGAAAATATCTCACAAGAAAAGGACATAGGGGTGTTGGTAGACGGGAAACTTAAATTTCTCGGCTCGTATACAGGAAGCAGTAAATAAAGCAAACAGCATATTGGGACTCATTAGGAGATCGTTCGTTTATTTGGATCGGATTTCTTTCAAATTTGTTTTCAATACATTAGTAAGACCTCATCTAGAATATGTAGCCAGTGTATGGAGTCCACTTAAAATAAAGGACATTGAATGCATATAAAAGGTACAAAGAAGAGCCACGAAACTATTACCAGGTTTGGAAGAGTAACCATACCCAGAGCGCTTGAAACGGATAGGTATTCAAACTCTGGCATACCGGAGATTGAGAGGCGACATCATAAATGTTTTTAAAATAATGAACAACCAACATGACCAGAAGGTAACAAAGGAATCTTCGAGTCAGATACGTCATCTAGAACAAGAGGACTTGCACAGAAAATCAGGAAAAACATTGCAAGCCTGATATTCATTTAGCTTTAGGGTTGAATCTGGACAGTCTCCCCGAATATGTTATTACATCGCCAACGATTAAGGACTACGAAATTGATCTTGATACTTATTGGAAAAAATCTTGAACTGAAATACAATCATTTGGCCGGCCATAAAGATATCTCAGGAAATAACAATTTTCTAAATACGTTAAAAATATATTAAGATATGGATATAAAGGCTAAGTGTCTGCCTGTAACCATAATGTATCTTATTGTATGAAACAGGTTCTGCATATGTCGGCAAATCATCTATTTTACAACGATGCAATTAACTACGTTACAATTTTCCTTTTATTTGGAGAAAATCTCGAGGCTGGGGTATGGCAAGGCCAAATGACATTTAAAAATGTATATATTAGAAATTAATACTACTTAATTAACGATTAAATATTTTAATATAATTAAAGTCCTTTCATAGTTTAAATAACATATTTCATATTAAAAAATATATAATGTTTTTTTCAAATGATCAGAAAATCAATTTTCAACTATTACAATCGCAACGTTTCAATGCGTTAAATAATGTCATTTTTTTAAACAATGCACATACATTTGTAGGTCGATAATCACTGAATAGGCCTTTGTACAGTTACTGTTCAGCAGCCCGTTGTCGGTAAACTGCACCGCTTTTAAACTGTGTCAGGACTGCGAGTAACGCATTGCTAAATCGATCTGATGTACTGTAGATTGTATGGCATGTATGTTGAACTTGTATTGCTGCTTTAAGTTATTCCTTCTATAAAAGACGATCGATATTTTTTCTTGATATTCTACTGTTGAGTAATGTAGGCCTACATGAAAATCGATGCTTCTCCAGAATGACCTTTGACTGTCTGGAATATCTAGCTATCCAATCAGAAGAGGCGTTACAACTTCTTCGCGCCAAAGGTCTCGCGTGAGGCACGCGAAATCGCGGGAATTGAAAATATAATTGAAACTGATCTAAGAGAAACTCCAAAAACAGCGGAAACTACAAAGAAAACTGAGTAAAAAAGGGTCCCACAAAGAAGTATTGCTATGCCTCCAAAGAAGCGAAACCCGGATAGCGATGTCAACCTCGCAGTTAAGCGTAAGAAGAAGAAGAACAACGATTCAGACGATGATTTTGACGACGATGCAGGAGAAGATGCAGAGAACAATGGTTCTGCTGAAGTGGTCGGAGAATATCCAGACGTTGTGAGTTTGTAGCTGCTGTCACATACAAATGATCGAAACTCATTAAAATAACACATTATCGCAATATCAACACACAAATAAAGTACCGGTACAGTGCTGTGATCAGCTGATCGACAGTGAATATATCTATAATGACTGATGTGATTGCTTCCTTTCATAAAGATCGAATCCACAACAAAGCACTGACTCTTTGTTATGTTACCCCCATGTTTTTGTTTGTCCTTGTCTTGATTTATTATAGCAATTATTCATTTCAGTAGGATATTGTCATCTAAGAAAAAGGTGATAACCGGTTTATGACGCAGTATATTTACATGTGATGGTGTTAACGTTGTAGTAGTACACTAATTATAGATAGGTAAAATGGACGACATGTCATTTACTCGATTTGACAGAATATGTTTACACGATCAGTGTCACGTGGTGTTTGGGTTAAATATAAACATGATGACAATATTGATTTTGAAAGATAATGTCTGAAAAAATATCAACTGACAATAATTTATTTTGGATGTTTGTGTAATTAATGTTTGTCTTTGGGGTCAAAGGCTCCCATATATAGTAGGGAACTTCTTCATATTTGGTCTACTGTAGTTCAGATAGTACATAGTTGTTTTACTCGTTGTAACAGTGTTACTATTGTTGAATTTGGAAGTACCTGATACGCTACCCTGAATGGTGTACATGGCCTGAAAATGTTCTAAATAGTAATTTAAATTTGTATATTTAGCTCTTGTGGTATCCAATATCCATATATATATATATATTCATCAGCATTTCCCCCAAAATGTTTTTTTGTGTGACATTTTAAGAGTGCTTGATGACTTCAATGTAGACAGGCCAGAAAACTAAAAAAAACACCTATATTTTCAGTGATTTTGACATTTCAATTTCTAGACATGTTGAAAATGTTTTCTTGTCCTCAAAACTGGATAATAAACAAGTTTATATGACCCGTTGATCAATATTGTATGTATAAAGCAATATATTTAAAATAAATCGTTTTGTTACAATCTGCACATCAACTTTAACAAAATATATTATTATTGTGCTTAAAAGGACACACACAAATGTCAGAACTGCTATGTACAATTAAACTTGCCACACATTTCATTTCTTTTACATTTTCTTGATAACAAGCAATATGTAATATTTATTATATGGATTTATAAATTTTATATTTCAATAAATATTTCACTATTTAGACACTGGAGGGTTCCATGCTGAGTGGAGAACTTCTTCTGTGTGGTGGAACAAACTGGGATCTCATTGGACGAAAACAGCTTCCAAAGAATGGTTTGTGACGTGTTTAAGTCATTACAGGGTATATACAGTCTTCTACACTGATATTCCCATGTAATAATTATAATGCGATTGTTGTTGTTTTTTTCTTAACTATTTTTTATAGATTTTGATGATAATGTTGAACACTTGAAATAAAGAGTATAAACTTCATTCTCAATTTCTGTTGCTGCAAATTTGTAGATTACTGATTTTACAACAATGTTTTGGGTGGGAAAACTGAAAAAAATAAGTCTGTTGGATTACTTTTAGGGAAGTGTTTATGTGACTTTTTTGCCATGTTCCTTTTCATGCAGATTTACTTTCCTTGAAATTGGAAAAGAGTGTGTATATTAGATCGATATATCTATCAAATGAATCAAGGGTTTTATAAATTGTGGTAAAGTTAATTATAATTGATATAATGCTGTAATTGTTTGATATAGTAAATCCAGTCTTAATGATACAATATTTTTTCGATTGTAAAGACAAGTTCAATGTGCTGGTAAAATAAGAAGAAAGCATAATTGTTTAGAAACATACTGAATGGCTTCATATTTTAGCTAAAAATGGAGGAGGACCAAACCTATGGGGCCCTCACAGAATGGACAACATGATCGGAACCAGAGTGAGAACAGTGGTATCCGGGTCCACAGCCTGTCACAGTGTAGTTATAACTGCAGACGGCAAGGCCATGACATTTGGTAAGTTTCTAAAATTGTTCGTGATATGAGTTTTGATTGGAAGCAGTCCTACAGTGATAATTGGAACACGGATATTTGAGTACTTGACCCATGTTTCCTGTTGGACTCGCCCTTTTTTCGAGAACTCCAGTCCCTACATCTATCAGAAGAAGGACTCCTCACCATTTTTTAAATCATGTCTAGGACTCGTACAAATATCATTATTCCAGTATGAAAAAAATGTTCATGGACTGCAAATTACTTTCACTTGCGAAGTTCTAGACTTTTTTCATGCTTTTTTGTCTTGGTCTGTTATTAGGTTTTATGAGTTTTATATTTCTATAAGTTTTTCCTAGAATTTGTAACAGCATATGATTAGACGAGACTAATAAAAAACAAAAATCCAAGATTTCCCATTTTCTTCAATCTACATTTGGAGAAAAGAAACCTTGGTCTTGTTTGTAAATTAAATACAGAAGGATGATACCATCTATTTAGTTAAGTTAGTCAATCTGACTTTAAACTACATGTGTTACATGCATATTGTGAATGGAAAACAAAAAATCATTATTCACAGGGAAAATCCTTGAATTTGAGAGTAGTGGGCCTATTTTTACTCCATATCAAAATTAAGAGGGACCACTCTATGTAAAATTAAAAGAAAACTCAAACATGAAGGGGTCAAGGAGACTCAGTTTACCCTGAAGCCATTTGAATACAACCTTTTTTACAAAAGAAAAACAATCATCTTCATTCTTCAGTTATACGAAATGCATGTATGATCATGTCACAGACTTGAAAAGTTTAGTTTTGTCAACCTACCCTAATTATTTGCGATCCAAAAGTAGAAACATGATCAGTATTATATTTAACGTATGGTCATGTGAATGTTTTATTGATTTGTGTAAGTGATAACATTTTGAGTGTTATTGTGTCTGTAGGCAGAAATGACATGGGACAGCTAGGGCAAGGCGACTGCTTACGTAAAGATGTGCCCACTCCCATCCCCTGTCTTGATGGGGTCAACATCGTAGATGCATCTTGTGGAAAGAACCACACTTTATTTCTCACAGGTGAGTAATGTGGTTGATTTACATGTTATTGATGAACAAGGTCAGGCATTTCTCAGTTTGTATGGGGAGGGCATTTTTTATTTAAATTTTATTGCCTATGGATAATTATTTTCTTAATCTAACATTCACTAATATACATGTATTTTAACCAAAGGACTTGGCCAATGGATGTATCTAATAAAATACCGTAAATTTGCGCGTATAGTGCACACTTTTTTGGGTATTTATATTGTCATGTCAAAAAGGGGGTGCACACTATACACAGGAACAAGTCATTTTTGGTTTATCGTTCTCAAGTTTCTGGTTCGCCATATTGGATTACCTCCCTTCAAATAATTTTATTTTAGTCGTCGGTCATATATGATAAGATTGAAGATTAAAATAACAACAAAGAATGAAATTTTTTGGCAACACAATTTTTACCTTCTCTTAGTCTTAAATGATTAAAATCGGTAATCTGTGGTCATGAGTGCTGATTTGGCGACAAACATTAACTGGTCACGTTATTGACACTTATCATCACCACGGTTAATACAAATTACAATGCAGTAATTAGCTAACACTCTTCAGTGATGACCGATTAACAATAGCTCTACTGCAAATTGATTGAAATTACTTGCAGTCGCGATCGAGGGACCGTGTTGTTATCACTCCTCAACATTACTCCCATAACACGAGAGGCTGCTGGTCGGCCTTTTTCAATCGGATATGATTTTGCCGACTGCGACCTCTCATTTCCGAAGCACTAGTTCTTTGATGCAGTTTCCGCCCGAAATCCGGACGGAACAAAATCGGCTTGAAAAACTCACATAAGTGGTTAACGAACTTTGAAAATGTGATAGTCAGCATCGAGAAAATCAGCTATGGGCAGTTAGAGGTTACGCGGCGCCTGTCAAAAGTTTTTCGCCGTGTAAAACCTCTAACATTGTTGGAGTATCCTCAACATGTGCCGTGGTGTGAAGCCCCACTGTACTGTTAGAACTACAGACTGATTTGACCGTAAAGGGATTATAAAAAATATGTTTATACTAGAAGCGTGGACATTCAACACATCCCCTTCAAATCTACTTGAAGGAAGTAAATAAAAGCAGAATACACAATTTTTATGATGCTTCATAATATTGAAATAATACACGAGGTTATCGATCATGTCAACTATACCCGAGTGCACACTATACCCACAAATTTACGATATGCAAAAAATTGAAAACAAATGGGACTGGGATTTTATTTCATGTTGATTGATGTGTGTAGCTGTAATAAAGTCCTTAAAATCACAGATGCACTAGAATTTATCTCTTCATTACTGGAATTTATTTGCTATAATGTTATGGCTGTTTGTAGACAAAGGTGTGGTGTATGCCTGTGGTGACAATAAGATGGGACAGCTAGGGTTGGGCCACCAGAGCGGAAATATAACCAATCCAACACGGGTAGGTCAAACAGAATCTCAAAGGAATTCTCTCTTGAGCATCAAACGTTAACATAAAAATTCTTGTACCAAAGTAGCTTCATAGATTCCCCAGGGTTCGATATAGGCATGAATATGTTCAATGATAAATCCTAAGGTTGTTTTCTTTTTGATGTTTTTGAATCAAGAGTAATTTAAATGTAATCCTTAATTGAACTGTTCAGGTTGTTTTCTTTTCATCCAATGAAAAACAACATTGGATCAGAGGTGGTAATATAGGCCTAAAAATGGGAATAATCTGGAAGTAGAAATAATCCCCTTTATAGTTTCTGTGTAGTAAGTTTGAAAATGACTCATGAGGTGAAGTAAATCTGTATGATGGGAAGAAATTAATAATGTGGGATGATCTTAAACACCTGTAAATACCTAGGTCGTGTGGCCACAATAAAGCATGATGGTCATTTTCATGACGTTCACCTGTTGTGGTTTCCTTTGACCTTTATTACTGAAATCTGCTAACGCTACCGATCACATTTTCCTGCCGTTTCCGAATTTTGATTACTTATTGTGAAAAAGAAATTAGTGCGAAAATATTATGACAGAAAACAATTTGTCAAATCAAAATCCCAGCCTCTGATTTAATCAAGATGCAATATGGCATAGCCACCTCAATGTGATTTTGTTCAGAGATCTTGGGGACAGAAAATGACCCTTTGTTAGATCATTTTGTCAAAGTGTTTGGTAAATAAAAAAGTTTATGATTTCCACATGAAATGTACAATAATTATCAACACAAACATTTTAAAACAATCTTGTGGAAAGATCTTATCACGATGAATTGTCTAAAGGAAGACATTTTATCAGTTTTGAAAAGTTCAGTCCAAGTTTGCCGATCTCCGCAATATAGGTCATGGTGTCCTTTCAGAGGTGTGAATGATGTCTATTTCTTTGGGAAACACTAAAGAACTGAATGGAGAGGATCATGTCAGGTTTAGACCAGGTTGATGAACTAAAACTCGGATGTTTTATGATTTAGTTAAATACATAAGATACATTTGAATTTTCTGATTTATATGACTTCTGATTCTATCATCTCTAGATTAAGTTATTATATTGGTAAAAAGAAAACAGGGAAAGAAAAGGATTTGTGGTGTTGATAAAGAGTATTGACTCTGTTAATTAAAAATAATAAAGTAGAAGAATGTTAAATTTGTCATTGAGTTTGCTAAAGCCAATTGTTAAATGATAAAGAAAAAAATATGGGGTTTAAGCAACTTCTCCTAAAAGAAATTTTGATCTAGAGTTTGTAGAGCAAAAATATTGGTTTCTGAAGTAAATCTTCAGATTTTTTTATGAATTGACATCAGGACAACTCGATACAGCTTAAAAATCAAATGGTGATATTGAAATTCGTCTTTGCTTGCACCTTTTGTCTCCGGCAGTATGAAGTTTCCTAAATAATTTCTGTTCTCATTATTCGCCTTAGAGAGCAAATCTAAAACTGAAAAATATTCTTGTCTTTTGAAAAAACATGTAACATACTAGTAATAAGAACTGTATTTTTATTGTAGATATCTTACAAAGGACCTCCAATTAGAAAGGTGTCATGTGGAGCAGAGTTTAGCATGATTTGTGACATCAGAGGCAACCTCTACTCCTTTGGTTGCCCAGAATTTGGTCAGCTAGGTAAGTTTGGACAAGTTTGTGTGATATCAAAGTGAACCACTATTCCTTTGGTTTCCCAGAGTTGGGTCAGCTAGGTAAGTCTGGACAAGTTTGTGTGATATCAAAGTGAACCACTAGTCGTTTGGTTTCCAAGAGTTGGGTCAGCTTAGTATTATAAGTAAGTTAAAACAAGATTGGGTGCTATCAGCGGGAATTATTTTTTTGATAATGTAGCATGGAACGAAGGCATTTAGGCCTGATAGTAAGTTTACATATGGTGTAATAGTGATCAATCTACAATTTGTGTTCATGGTTCCTTTTCAAGTGTAGGTCCCACAATGTTAAATTAAAGTATTTCCAGAAATTCTATGATTCCTTTCAAAATTCTATGATAATAGGACACATGACTTTTATGTCAATTTATCATTGGTTTGAAATCCTTACAAGTTAAATGCATTGAAATTAACTGTGAATTGATTTGTTATTTCAGGTCACAATACCGATGGGAAATATTTCGTAACAAGCACAAAATTATCATTTAAATGTGAACTTGTCCCCAGAAAAGTGAATGTGTTCATTGAGAAGACTAGAGAGGGCCATATTGTACCGGTAACAGATGTTGAAGTGCGGGACATGAGCTGTGGCACAAATCATGCAGTGAGTCAAGTAGTGATGTTCCCATTAATCAACTTTGTCGACTTTTAGTCAGCAAGCCAATTAACTGATTAATTGGCCTCAGAATTCATGATCGTTTTTAGTCAGAATAATTGTATGTAGGTATTATCGAGTTTTCAGTAGAGTGAATCATGATTTCAGGCTAGTCTAGTGGTAGGATGCCGGGCTTGTGACCGAAGGGTTGTGAGTTGCAGGGATCAATCATGGTTTTAGGGGAAATTACCCTTTTTCAGATTTGGGGGAAATTAAAATTTTGATACAGGGCTCTAGCATCATGAAGGTAAAAGGTGAATGTTTTGTCCGACATACATGTGTGCAGTATATTTCAATTTTTAAACAATTTTAAGCTTAAAATTGTAGAAGTTTTGTTTAAATTAAGTGGAGAAAATGTAAATATGCAGTATTATGCATTTTAACTGTTGAACTTGAGAGAAAACATATTTAGGGGTAATATTTTGAAGAAAAAACGTCTTGTTGAAATAGGCGAATTTTGAAGCACACAGGGGGGAATTTCAAAGAACAGGGAAAATTTCTTCTGAAGGGGAAACTACCCATAAAGGGTAGTGAATCATGTCACGTCACGGCAAAGTGTTGTATCTATAATTTGAACAAGATACTTTGCTCAGCTTGTTCCAGTCTTCTCAGCTGTAAATGAGTGCGTGGTTGGGCAGTGCTAGGATTGTTGAATGCTAGCTGTGAGCACCGAAATGGCAGCACCGGCTGTATGCTCCCCAGGGAGTTGAGAAAGATATTGGCTAGTTGCAAAGGCCTTTAAACTATATGGATAATAATTTGTGAGCCGCTTTGAGACAACCTACTAACTAGGTTGTCTGGAAAAAAAATTGCTCAGTTTTACTGCCGAATACAGGCTGTTTCCCTAAAATGTGCCTTATTTTCCCAAAATGACCAAACACTTGAGGAATAAACTCCCAAATAATGCTTTATTTTCTGAATTCATGAAGGAACTTGCTGTAGAAAAATTTAGACCACAAAAACACTGGTTGTGATAAAGAGGCATAGAAAAATATAAGAACCTCAAATTATTATATTATTATTATTATTATAACACTATAAGAGTTAAGCAGCATTGTTCTGATATTTCTTTTCTGCTGCTATGTTGACATCGTCACTGACTTTAACTTTCAAGCCAGCTCATGGCCAGTTCTGACTTTAAATTACAGGTCAGTGTTTAAAAGGAGGTACTCCTTCCATGATATTTTTTTTTATTGCGTAATCACAACAACAGCTTGGATGTATTTCTTTAAAACCATTATTAATTGATCATCAGTAAGTATTTCAATGGTAACCAATGATTGTTCAATAAATTTCAACCGATTCCCCAAGTCAAGGCCTGCTTCAAAGTTTCTACAAGAACATCCATGACAGATTATTAGTTTATATTTACGCCATAATATGTAACATCAAGTTCGACACTTGATAAGATATCTTTTTGGTTAGGTCGATACCCCTCGCTATTTATCTATCAACCATGATATTCCGATTCGCTGGCAAACTTTTGCCAGCGCGCCTCTGATTGGTTCATCTAAAGGTCACTTGAACGTTACCCTGACCGCAGCACATTCAGATGTTCAGGCGTAGTACGAAGTTAATGAGGCCATGTAACGTGATTTTAATCAGATTGCTTTTAAGTGGAATAAATATCTAGAGACCTCAAGGACTGTGGCGATAAATATCTAGGCAATATATTAGGTACATTGATGGTGGAAAATATGTCTGATTAAAAGCAATCTAATGTCACAAACTTGTTTGAGAACTTATTACATCAAATATGGTATTTGGTTTTGTTATTTCAGGCAATACGCGATTCCAGGAAAAGGGTGTTTTCATGGGGATTTGGAGGATATGGTCGTCTCGGCCATGCTGAACCAAAGGATGAAATGGTACCACGTTTGCTGAAGTTCTTTGAAGGTCCAAACAGGGGTTGTGTACAGGTGTATTCTGGGTCTACGTTCAGCTTTGGACTCAATGAGCTAGGTGAGAACTTGTTCCATTATCCTTGTCTGCTTAAGGACTGGTACAGATAGATTAAGATATTCCATTTCAATTTACAAGTTTTTGGACACATGTATCTGAAGATGTATTGGAACTGCAAGATCATAGGGTTCCTGAGTTTAAGGCAAAACTGAATAAATAAATAAATGTCATTTCAATATTAAATTGAAAGCTATTTGAAAATATTACAGGGAGCTCGAGAGTGGTTTCATTTGTGACCACTGTTCTTAACAACATAAATATCTGCCTTTGGTTCACAGTCTGAAAATTGTGGGGCCTTTGTTAGAAAAATTCTGTGTATACTGTCATGTTAATCAATAAAGATGTTATCTAAAAACTGTTGGTCTATTCAGAAAGTTATAACTAAATCATAGCCACTTTTACAATGTATTCAAGTGACTTTTGTCTTTTACCTTTTCGTTCGTTTGATGTTTTTCCTTTAATATGTTTTGTCTACTGTATTGGCCCTAATGACCTCTTATAAATGTGTCAATGAGCCGTTAAGAATATAATAATAATAATATTGTTGAAGAACGTGTACATGAACATGGGGGTACCTTTAGGGTGGGGTGTTCTTATGTGTTTTAGAACATGTAAACACAGCTGTACTTTTAAACATTAGAATTACAAGTAGTTCAGGAAACTCGAGCTGTGTTTTAGAACATGTAAACACAACTGTACCTTTAAACATTAGAATTACAAGTAGTTCAGGAAACTTGAGCTGTGTTTTAGAACATGTAAACACAGCTGTACCTTTAAACATTAGAATTACTTGTAGTTCAGGAAACTCGAGCTGTGTTTTAGAACATGTAAACACAGCTGTACTTTTAAACATTAGAATTACTTATAGTTCAGGAAACTCAAGCTGTTTTTTAGAACATGTAAACACAGCTGTACTTTTAAACATTTGAATTACAGGTAGTTTGGGAAACTCAAGCTGTTTTTTTAGAACATGTAAACAACTGTTCTTTTAAACATTTGAATTACAAGTAGTTTGAGAAACTCGAGCTGTGTTTTAGAACATGTAAACAACTGTTCTTTTAAACATTTGAATTACAAGCAGTTCAGGAAACTCGAGCTGTGTTTTAGAACATGTAAACACAACTGTACCTTTAAACATTAGAATTACAAGTAGTTCAGGAAACTCGAAGCTTAAAGGGTCAAAGGTAATGTCAAAGATGACATCTGACTTTACCACTTTTAATGTAAATTAGCTTGTGAATACAAACAAGTAAACTGATTACAAACTCTGTCTTGTACTTTGTTTTGTTTGTCGGTTCGGAGGGAGTTGGTGAGTGAGGGTTCAGGGATTAATGCAGGAATAGAAAGTTAGTACCTTTCTTTGAAATAGGGGGAAATGTGAAGGGGAGCATGGATGACATCTTTAAATTTTAGTTCTCTCTGTTCATTATAGATGCTTTGAATCATATACTGTAAACAAGGCTAGCCATAAACAGTGTCGTAAAATATTGACAGTGATTACATGAACACAGGGAAAATGAAACATATCACTTGGTTATCAAACAGATTGGAAAGAAAAGCACAATAGAACCATAACAGATATTCATGTGATAGTATTTAAGTTACATGTGGGGGGGAATCTTTTAACTAAAATAGGGGAGGGGAATTGGCCCATAATCGACCATAAAATAGCCTGTATATATCTATGGGGTAGCCTGGTTCTATGTAAGCCTCTGCTCATTTTATTTTTGTTTGCTATTGCTTTCAAATGATCTATGGCAAGGAATGTTTGTACTTAGAGTATGTAGCACGGTAGTACTGTACCTTAGTACTGGAAGGTACTGCAATCTGATTGGCAGAATTACCATAAATGGTCGTCATTTCTTTAAAAGTGGTGTTTAGATTTGTAGCATGTATTGAACGTTGTAAGAACACACAACCCTGAATATATTGCTAGAACCAAGGTTTTATCATACAGCAATAATGAGGAGCTTCTGTCTGATAGACTTGTAGTTTCCAGATCAGTTCATTTGTTAAATCTTATTTTTGGTGTTGATATATATATCAGTAAAAGAGTGTTTACTTGTGTACCAGTAGGCGAGTGTATGAATCTGCAATGTTGTCGTGATAAGGCTGGTGACATATGCGCTCTTGGAATTCTAGCTACTTTCAGTCTTTTGTTTCCCTTTTGTTTTTGATTTTTGCCGGGGAAAACATGCACGTTTCACATGTGTCAATAAGTAAAGAAGGCCTGGATTTAATTTCTGGATTCCTTTGACAGGTGTCCTGTTTCTGTGGGGCCAGACCAAGCCGACCGGTGAGGCGGCCATGTATCCTAAAATGGTACAGGACCTCAGTGGCTGGAGGATAAGGAGCATCGGGTGTTGGTAAGGGGAGCTGTTCTCATTTTCAACATATACTAAATATTTATTATGCTTTCCACTTATCAAACTTTAATGTAGAATTTAGAATTTACACACCACAGTCAATGAGGCTATTTAATATAGATTTCTGATTGACCTAGATAAAATTTCCATAGACCACATCTTGACAAAGAAAATTTAACTTGCATATAGTTCACGCTAGATATCATGAAATGAAGAAACTATGTGTTCATGAGGTGAGCCACAAAATTGATTTTATTACAAGCAGATTGTTTCTTACTTTAGGGACAGTATGTTCGGGCTATTACGGACTTAGTTTGTATATTAATTACAAGCTTTATTAAGAGACGAAAAAAATGGCGACAGGTCATCTTAAAAAATACAATTACACAACAAAGACATAGTCTTTCACATAGGTATATATCAGTATAGCTTTTTTGTTAGACTTTGCCATTGAGATGGGTTATTAAATTGTAACTTCATTACTGTTGAAAATAAAATACCAATAGCATTCGGCTTCACTGACTTGGGTTAGATTTTCTATTTAACAGTACCTCCATTTCTGTGGCTAGACTGTGTTTACCTTCATTTCAATCAAAGCAGAAGGGTTGGCTTGTTGTTGATTTCATGCAACCATTTTATAGTCAAGAAAAAATAAATAAAATAAGGTTAAGTACACACCGAAATCATATATATATATATGTGTGTTTCTTTTAGGTGAAAGTACTTACCAAAATCAGGAAAAATAAAAAAACAAAATCAATAATGATAATTTAAGATATTTTTGTTTTCAGTAACAAAAGTATAGTGGTCGCAGCTGATGATAGCCTGGTGTCATGGGGACCAAGTCCAACCTACGGGGAATTAGTAAGTAGCCGTTGTTATATTGATGAAACAAACAAACCAAAAAAGTCTGTTTTGAAGATTTCTGAAGAATGTTTTTAAGTTTTTGTTGGAATGAAATTATTAGATAAATTTTCTAGTCTGAAAAACACATTTTGGTCCAGTACATGTTGGGGACCATGAAGAATTAATATGAAGATTTTTAATACAGAATTACCAAAACATTGAAATAAACTGTATAAGAACCAAAATTGAATGGTCATAGTTATAAGGTTAAGAATAAAGCTGAATAGGTGTTATGTATTTGTATTGTTTTACAGCCCATGATAATTTAGGGTAAAATATGTAATGTTACAATGTGTTTCTAATTTTAAGAATCCCTCCTATTTTTAAGCTAAGGCATGTAGCCACATGCTTTTGTCGATACTTCAGATAATTAGCTAATGAATATTCAAAAACGCACATTTAATGGCTTTGCCAAATATCGGGAAAAAAACAAAAACTTAGGTAAACTATAGAACAATAACCCTGGACCACCTGTCACCGTTTTACCAAGTCCATGGAATCGAGATCACCGAAAGGAATTGAGATATAATTCAATATCTTGGTATAACCGATGATGCTCCTACTATATATGTATTTTCTTCTTAGAAATGCACAGTATATTTGTTATTTTCAGGGTTATGGGGACAACAAACCAAAATCGTCCACCACTCCACAGGAAGTGAAGACCCTTGACAATGTGTACATCCACTCTGTCTCATGTGGGTACGGCCACACGCTGATGATTGCCCGTGAGGATGATGACAGCGAAAAGGAAAAAATAGCCAAACTACCCATCTTCAAACCTTGATTTTGTGACTGTATTGTCCAGGAAGTTATACATTTGTGTATTTGTTAGTGTCTTAGAAGGGTACTCTGTAGTCTTATCAGGTAAAATACCAATTGTATAAATAATTATCAGCTGAAACAGGTGACACTGCAGGTAAATGACAAGTTTTGTTTAGATTCTAAATCTACAAATACCGTGTTTAATTATTATAAAATGCTGATCTTTTTGTTCACATTCTGGATGATCTGATCATTGGGAGGACATTTCCATTACGACTTGATGTTCATTTAATGTATCATACAGCTTATGAAATGCTGTGCAAACAGATTTTCTGATGTTAATGCATGTTATGTCCATGGTTGATCCAATGGTTTCTATGGTTACTATGATCAGTACTGAAAACCATGACATTCATGGCAGTTGTTGTCATGGATAAAAAAAACGCAGCTCAAAAAATTGTTTACAAGTGCAAAAAGCTAATCCAGGAAAACAGTTGGCTTTTGTTTTGTTTAGGGGTATGTAAATTTCAATTAATGATTAAATGCATAGAATTAACACTTTCACCGCTGTAGACCATGATGGACTCATCCATATCAATGCATAGTGTGTCTACTGAAGTTCCATAGGGGTGAAAGGGTTAATAGCCTTTATAAAGGTTGGAAAGCAAACCATGGATACTGGATAGAGCTAATTACGAGTACAAACCATGGATACTGGATAGAGCTAATTACGAGTACAAATGTTTTGATACACTTTACATCAAAAACTATGAGACGGGAATTGTAGAGAATTTGTTTTGATACAGTGATGCAAAGATTATGCACAAGAATACAACTAAATACATTACAGATGTATATGGTATTCAGGGGGAAACAATTTTTGAAAAGTAATTTGTAGTTGATTTATAATTGTATATATAATGGTTTAATCAAAACCAAATCATTTCACCATTTGTATGTCTGTAGTTTGGTCAGTTTGGAAGTCCCTTGCAAATTAACAGTTCATTCTATCGTAATAAAATAGGATTTAACTTTTCATCATCATACAATCAATTTCCACATCAAACTTTCATAAATCATCTTCAACTTATCATAGGCAATAAATCTGCGTCTTATTAATATGAAAAGTGAATATTTGTTATTTATGATGTTTTAAGATGCTATGCTGTTTTCTATGTTTTATCTCGATATGTTCTTTGCTGTATCGTTGAGTTTTTGTTAGATGGTTGCAGCCATATAATGAAAACATGTTTTGTGTATACCACAGCATGTTCATAGTGCTTGTTATAAATATCACTCTACTTGGGTGGTCTCATTTAAATCACTATTTTCAAAATTATTTGTATGCAAGCTATTTTCCTTCATCACCTATACCAAATACCACTGAAGCATAACATACGGTGTGAATTGAACAGAAATGAAATTTTCAGACTTTTGGCTAGTTAAAGCCTTTTTGAGAATTTTAATTTTTATTAATTTAGGAAACAGTTTGTAGAATCTTGATAACTGTATGACACATTTATTTCATGTAGAAGTATGTGTCTTACAAGAATGTGAAATAATTCTCTCGGAATATAACCAAGATCTACTGTATTAGCTGTATGAAGTACTAATGTTATGTTCAACACATTTGCTTGAAACTGAGAAAGGTATTTATGCATATTTGTGAAAATCAGAATACAGAAAAAGTTCAGATATAAAATATTAAATCTTTAAAAACATTGGGAAGGGGGTAAACATTTTTTTTTTAACAGAAAAGGAGAGATGATGGAGTACCAATACTCGTTAAGGAGTATGGGGATGAGAAAACGGGCAAGCGCAGTAAACATATGGATCCGCTTTCATCTACCGTCTAGAGTTATAGTGTACACTGCAGTAAGGTTGATCATTTTGACAGAAGTGATGAGTTGCAGAGATTTTCATTTGTGAATCGTACAAACTTATATATGTATATATTTGAAGTAGAGATCTGATTTTATGTATGAAATACATTTTTTTGAATGATAACATGTCGGTAAAAGCTGTAATGGATATTACAACTTTTACCTCATGGATAATGCTGATGAAGTTAGTGTTACTCATTTGTGTGTACAATTATAGTTTCAAAGTCTGTTCATTCATCTTTCTATGGTACTTATAGATGTTCACAGCCATTATAAAATTGCTTCATTTTCATGTCATTTCCACAAAACCTGCTTTACTGTATTACATTTGAAATTCTCATACTGTCAACAGTATGTCTTTATAAGCTAGATCACAGTGTGAAAAAGTAAATGTCTATACATTTTGTATTATTTCAGTTAATAGCATAATCAAGCACAATGACTCCTCATTAAAGACTCTTTCATGTAAAATAAGTTAACATTAGCCCATAAATTAATACTTGTACAAGAAATTTTAAAGAAATATGTTTTGTGATTTTCGTATCATGATTCAGTTTGCTTGATTTTTAAAAGTGTTTAAATGATACATGGCTAGCTATGCATAATTCATCTTCTTAGAAAAGAGTACACACACTATTGGTATATTGAGTGTGTTGATAATATTAATTCTGGAATTTCAGAATGCAAATGAAATAATTTGTGTCGTTGAAAACTTCGTCCAGTTTTAAATATTTGCAACTTTTTATAACAGATTTAACAAGGTTTGATAGTAGGTATTGTCATTTACCTGTAGTAAGTACAGGAAACTGTCTCTTCACCTCAGGGGCTGACCATAACCTCAAGGGGACCGTCAAAACCTCAAGGGGACCATCTTTAACCTCAGGGGGTTGTCTTATGTACTAGACCTGTTCCAGTATTTGTCTGTAAAACAGTGCTTATTTTCATGTTTAAAATCTGTATGAAATTGGGGCATGGTTATAAATATCCCTGTGCTTATCACAAGTACACAATGGCAAATCCTTTTAAACTTTCCTCTTCTGATTTGTTGTTATATATCCAATTTTACCTCATGAATTAATCTTGGTAATAATATTAATATAAAGTGTTATGATGAAGGTTTACAAGAATAGCATCTATTCCATCCATTTACGTCTTCTCCTTACATATCTTTGTACCATGTGTTGTTTATTGTATACCTATTTTGGAATAACTTTCACAGATTATAAATTGTTTCAATTTATTTGCCTTGACATGACCAAATACCGATTGATTTTATAATTTTGATGTTTTTTGGCACGGTTGTGTGTAGAGCTGTTATCATGGGCTAAATGTGACATCACAATATTCTCAATCCATAAAATCCCAGGATTACCGTTACATATGATACGTTCTGTGCACCCCTGGGAAATGTCATGAAAAAATGAAAGGCATGTGGTTAGCAATTTGATTTGTTTTCAGGTAAAAACAACTGACCAATCACTTGACTAATGCATGTCCTTAAGATTACAAAAGAGCAACACCTACTCCAAAGCTAGTCAATTTTACCATTACGCTATTGTGCAATTCTTTTAATGTCCATCAAAGGATCAAACTTGTTAAAGGATTACAAGTATAAAATATCAATTCTTGTACAAAAGCAAAGGTCTGCCATGCTTCCTATCCAATAAAAATTTATTAGACACTAAGCATCAGCTCAGATAGATGGAATGTTGATTTTGTAACATGCGGGCAATGCACCTTCCCTAACCACAGGGAACTGGCCATATATGATCCCACCGCTGCCACCTAATTTAACGTGCGGGCGGTCACCCATCCAACTACTGACCACGCTCGATGCAGCTGAACCAGTGAGCGTGTCCCTGGGTTAAACAGCATCACTGGAAAAGCAAGCCGGCTAGCCAGTAGGCCAGTATTTCCCCCTAATACTCTTTTTAGTTTTTACAATTTTGCCTTTGATTCAAATGCTTGAAAATTTGATATCAATATGAAGAGCATTTGATGGGTAGTTGAGGAGGAGAGTTTCAAAAGCAAAGCAAGGGAGTGGATATAAGCTAGATGCACTGATTTCAGGATGACATTGTTTGTATTGTATTGTTGGGGACCAGTTATTATGACGACACATCATGCTACATGATAACTATGCGCTCCAGTTGTTTACCAAGCTTTCTTGCACATTATTTGCATGTCACAAAATACTGCAACAGTATAGAGCTATTTCAAAGCAATTTTTAAAGAAATTTCTGACAATTTTTTACTTGTTGCAACGAAATGCAAAATATTAGACATTTTATAGCATTTATTTAATATCTCCCTTTGATATCGTCATTACTTGATTATTTGACCAATACTTAAACCGAGTCCAAAATATATGACTTATTAGAATTTTTTTGAAAACGATTTACTCTGTTTATGGATATTAAGATGTGATTGTGTTGTAAAAGCTCCTTATAATAGAAACCTGTGTAAATATATTAATGGTGTCGGAAATGGCCATTCAAAGTTGTGTATATATATATAGAAATTGTGTGAAGCACCAAAATACAGGTTTGCTCTTGCCTCTCGTCTAGAAATCCATGCCACACAATATTGGATGTTAAACTGCATGTATTTGATATATATCCTTGAACAAATAACATTCTTATAAATTATTTGAAATGAATTATTTTAGAAAGTGGGGGGGAAAAAGACATGAAAAATGGTTTTAATGTGCAGGTGTGAAAAAATATAAGTAGAAATTGGTGTACCCATTAAGAAATAAATATGAGAAAAATGCACCCTGTTAAAATTAAAGCACCTTGCAAATACTGGTTTAGTCATAAAAATACTACATAGGTATATCAAAACATGTTCACTGTAACTGAATTGCAAATACTTTGAACCAACAAGTTTAAAAAAAATAGTTTTTGCCAGGATATGGTTAGAATTGTATCAACAAGAACAAAGCCTGGACAGGTACTGCTTAGTGTTTAATGTGATACTTCTGATATTGTTCTGTTTATATAGTTTTGTGGTAGGTTTTATCATGGGTGTGCAGTAGTTAATTACATGTTTGCATCAAAACCATGAACAAAATGCAATATTTTCATAGTTACAAAAAATGTCTATGTGAAATCTGTTTTATTTACTGTTTATGTTGGAATGGGGTAATGGTATCGTGTATGCACCATTAACTTGCTTCCTAGACAAGCAAGATCTGTTGCTGGTGATAAGACTGAACAAAGATATGTACTCTTAATCAATCTTTTTACTTTTTATAATACATATTCTTATACATGGATTTACATATGAAATTTAAACTAGAAAAAAGACATTTTAGGACGTTAATGATAACTTAAATTATAATCATGTTCTCTGCAAGTTTACAGTGCGTACACTTTACTCATCCCTGAATGTCAACAATAGGCTGTCCTAGGAAGAAGCTATTGTGAGATAAGAGGGCGAGAAGGTTGTGTGTATCCATGGCAACTCCTCACAATCAACATTGTACAAACTCATAAAAACAGTACCTCATATTATGTCTTTGAAATTTGACCATTTTATTTACAATTAAATGTTTTGTCTTGAATTTTGAATTAGATTTCAGATTCAGTATATCAATAAACTCTGTCTCTACAGATAAGATTTGTGTTTGATGTTTTCATTTAATTGATAGTGTTCTACTGCACACTGTATTTAATCGTTAACACTTGGTAAAAGAAGATTCTAAAACTTTTTTTTTCTTCATATTTATTTGACAATAAAAAATCACATAGACATCACAGAAAGATAATATATGTAGATGTACCTAAGAATTATTTTGTTTAAAAAAATACATCTAGAAAATTTTGGAATAAAGTGTCCTGGCAACTTTGCCTTAAACCAGCTTCTGGAAATGGTTTCAAAATAATTACTTTTCGATCTGCTGTGGATCTTAAAATATAAATTTCAAAAATGCATGTTCATTCCCCTTTGAATTAATCAACCTTTGAAAAATTGACAATATATTATTTCTTACAATATTTATAAAACTTTCTTGCACTTTATGCACTGTACTGACTTCCAAATGGTAAAGAAGCAAGGCATAACCTTGTATTATATAAGTGTGCGGTTGAAGTTGACAACTATTCACTGCCTTACCGCTCTTCCTACATCTTCAGTACCCCAGGGCACGTATTCATGAAACAATGTTCAAGCTTGGATTTTGTGCTCAAGCCGACTTTCTTGTTATTTGCCTAAATCATGTTACACGGTGATAAGGTCAAGTGTAAATAGAAATGGTATTTAGTTTCTCCAGCATTCTTCACTATTTATTAACAGAATGTGATGTTTTTATTAAATGATCTCGGGAACAAGAAATGTGACTTGAGCACAGAATCCAAGTTTGAGCATGAGAACAGTTTCATGAACACAGGGCCAGGTATATTGATGATCCTTGATTATCCAGACAACTCTTTTGAGCTGAAGTGGCAGAATTTCTGGGACAACTTGTCCTATAAAATACTGGCTGAACAGTGGTATACCGCGGTAGCCAGATATAATGGTGGCTGGATTAAGGAAGTTCAACTATACACAATCTCCAGCTACTAAGATCAATTGCTGAATACGAGGAAATTTTCACCTGTTCAATTTTCACCTTTTTCTCTCTCCGTATTTATTGAGGGAATTATTCTTACAGAGAACATCAATAAACATCATGTACATACGGTAATTAAATGTGAAGGGCGAAATTCATACTGGGCAATTATGTATTTTACCGATGAAGGGCGAACATTTCCTGGTACACAGTACCTACATCTATATTTGTCACTACCAGATGATTCTTTATCTCCAGCCATTGTACAGTTCCAGGAGCTGAACGGTCAGTCAAGGTAGGTACATCATTCCTTTTAGGTATTAAATTAGCACTAAATGATGAACATTTCATGCCTTGCTCAAGTCAACCTTAAATGTCACCAATATACAGAATACATAGTACCTGTAAACAAGCTACATATTATAGAAAATTGGCGATTTTCCATGTTCACAATCTCTTATTTTCTGTACAGTTGGTATTCCATGTTTTTTCAGATATGATCCTCAAATCTATCTTTGTCACTTCCATAACTTGTTACCAGAACTTCCTCGTAAGCTGAAAGACAAAACAAATAAGATAGACAAAATTAGTTCAACGTAAAAACATCTTTTAAAGTTTGCGTTTCATTGTGAAGGACTTGCACTTTGTTAATATATTATTCATACAATATTTGAGTTTGCATTAAATTGTTAAATATCAATTTACACACAATTATACCTAATTGTGCAGGAAATTCAAGTAATCTACAAAACCTCAAATAAATTTTAAAAAAAGGTTATATTTTGCAAAACTGATCTTAAATATTTTGTTGTGTAATAATGTAAATTTCTGAGTATTCCTACCCCATAATCAAATCAAATAATTCCTTTTTTTCCCAGATTTGTATATTGCTCAGAAAAAAAAATCATAACATGGTGGTATTTACATTGAATTAGCAGCTCCTGAATTAAACTTAATGGTTAAATCTTTACTTGACAACAAACAGGAATAAGATATTGTAAGTGTTATATACATCTGACACGGGACAGAAATTACGTGGTTGAATCTTTATCCGACAGTGGAATAACTAATGGAATGACAATGGAATAACCAATATAACATGTAAATCACTATTTGAATTCATCTCCTCTTTCATATATACCACAAATACATGTCATACAAATCCTTTCCCCTCTAGGTTTATTTGACCACACACTAGTCTCAATCTGGAGTCTGAAATTACCACTTGGTAATATGAATCTGGTTCTCTAGGGTTCCAAATGAAGCAACATCAAATCCAATACCTGTACTTTGCCAATGACTGAAGGATATGTATGACTTGAGTGAGGTTCTATTTTTATATGAAAAAGTCAACATAGTCTGCATTGTTGAAAAAAAGATGTATTTAGGGAAGTTACATTTAGGCTTTAAGCAATGAACACTTCATAGGCAAAGTTCCTTTGTGTCATTTTCGAAAGAGCAAAAAAGTCAATATCATGTCAAAATTGACCTCGATTAGACCTGAACATCACCTGAATTTGACATGAAAATGTATTCACATGACCTGAATTTGACATGAAATTCAGGTCAATTTCAGGTCAATATTTCAATATCAAGAAATTATGCCTGTGTTATGTACTCAAAATATTCAGAAAATCAATAATTAGGATTAAGATACAACAACAGATAATTGAGAACATTAATTCCATACCCTTTTGTCTTGTTGGACTTTTTGCTTGGTTTGTCAGACGTCATGGCTACATCTCTACTGTCGGTGACCATTTGTTCATCTGTATCCTGTTGTTGGGTGTTCTTTAGAGTTTTCTTAATGTTTGACACCTGACAAAAGGATATTCAAAGAAACTTAATTATTTTAGACACTGACAATGTTTCACACCTGATAATAGGATATTCAAAGAAATTTCATTATTTTAGACATTGATGATGTTTGACACCTGACAATAGGATATTCGAAGAAATTTCATAATCTAAGACATTGCTGATGTTTGACACCTGATAATAGGATATTCAAAGAAACTTCATTATTTTAGACACTGACAATGTTTGACACCTGACAATAGGATATTCAAAGAAACTTCATTATTTTACACATTGATGATGTTTTGACACCTGGTAATAGGATATATAAATAAACTTCATTGTTTTAGACATTGATGATGTTTGACACCTGACAATAGGATATATAAATAAACTTCATTGTTTTAGACATTGATGATGTTTGACACCTGACAATAGGATATATAAATAAACTTCATTATTTAAGACATTGATGATGTGAACAAAGAACACGTGATACAGGCAATTATACTCGGGTACATCAGTACAGAGTTGTAATACTGATATAGGAAACTTCCCCAAACAGCCATTACACAACATGTAAGTTGAAACTGTCAATTTGTAAACCATTCAACAAAGCTATCTATTTACATCATAATAATTATCTTGCTATAGTGGAGTACACATTAAAATCCATTAAAGTATTAGTGACCAATTATGAAAACATTACTTTTATCACAGGAGAGAATAGTGTTAATTAGCTATAGGTGGTGGACACGTTGTCACTTTACCTCCTGGTCAATCTTCTGTTTGATAGCTATGTTGTTCTCCTTGTTTGTGTTGGCTTTCGAGATCTGTGTCTCGATTCCTGACAAAACTGCCTCACAACCGTCACACCTGTCAAAATATCAGACATCTGACAAACTTGTACAAAATTTAAAACATCCCTTACACTTGTACTATTCCAAGTCTAAACATTGCAATAATTTTGTTTCCTTCTTTAGCATCAAACTGTGATAGTTTTGTTTCTGTAACTTTTAACTTGTGGGATTTAAATTCCGTGCAACACAGTAACACATTTGAGCCTATATATCCAGCTCCATGATCATCACCATTTTGTTAGTCCTTGGAGATATACCTACCAGTCCTGCAAGACATTGATGATTTCCGGAACCGCTTCCTGTCGGATGTCCCGCCCAAGTGCAAAGTCCACTTCCAAATGTTGGTTTTTCTGGTCCAGTTTTCCTCGAATAATATCAGCGTATATCACCTCAATTATCAGATCCTGTTTTATTTAAAAGTAACGAAAGATAACTGGTATTGATGTTAGTGGTTTAATCTATGAATGCATTGGAACACAGATTTAATCCATTCTTTGCTTCTCTCTGAGATAAACAGCTTTAGAATGACCAGATAATACTGTTAATTTCTAAAATCATTTAGGAGAAAACATGAAATGAATATATTTCAAATTTTATTTTGAACTCCTGTACAAGGTAATTCTGTTAAACACATGTCATTGGTCTAGCTTTAATTACCAAACTCTTGTCCTCAACTATAACTGTTCAACAGAAACTTAAACATATGTCCAGAAAACTCTTAACAAATTTGTATTTGGACATATCTGGTTTTTATCAATGGTATATTAATGACTTTCTCAGATAAGTCAAGTTTATAGAAAATGACCTAATGAAATGAAAGTTGGCAATCTTAAGATAAGAGACAACAATCCATCTTTAAATATTTCTCTTAACATTTAACAAACAATTGATAAAATTATCACAAGGATTTTAATTTTACAAGAGAAACATAAAATTTACAATATGTTTTACATTAATATACACTTTTCAGTCTGTTTCAATAAATTTTTGGTAGATATATATGATAAGTCACAATTGAATCTCCTTCCAAATTTACATGAATTATATGCAAAGTATAAGTGTTTAACAGCAAGTGCTGTACTTACCTCTAAGGCCCTCAAGTGTGGGATATCCAGTTCCTTGAGTAGCTCTCCATAGGGTATACACTGTACACAAGGAACATACATATTGAGATAAAAAGGATGTATGTAATGATGTCACTGACATACAAATGTATTTAAAGGGAAATTAAATGTTACAACATACCTAAAATGAGCCCAATGGAGACCGAGATAGGATTTAAATACAACAAAGTCCTTCACGACCCCTACAGAATCTTATCTAGAAATGTGCTGATTTTATAATGTGATGAGTCTTTAGTCTTAATTAATTGTGTCCTATGTCACCAGTTTTTAACTTAGTGGGTATTAAGTCACTAGATTAATGTGTTTTAATTTAGCCAATGGATGTCAGAATTTAATAGCAAGTCTTTGTCACTGAATGTTAGAATATATATTTAACAACATCTGTATAGATTACACAAGAATAAACATCTCACAAATGAAGTGACTGATGGTTTAGCACAAAATGTAGGAGACATAACGATATCGAAAACAGATGCCCTATTGTTTAGTTGTTGGAAATAAAAAAGTTATCTAATATTATGATGAGTTTCACCTTTGAATTTGACTTAGCAGCAAGTGATACAATAGTGAGATGTCGTAGTTTTGTCAGCTGGACGGGAGTCAATTCTGGCAGGGTGGACGCATTCTCTGAAAAAAACATCACCAAATGTTAAACAATAATTTACAAATGTTAGATCTATGTGAATTTACATTGTATTGACATAAAAACAAAGCTCATTTTTGCACAGGCACCAGATAGTTTTTTTTTACTTTTTTTTTACCAGAATGGAACAAAACCTTGTTAAACATTCTCACCTTTGTAATCTTTGTAGGTTCCATAGGCAAACACATTCAGTAAGTTGAAGTATGGAGCATTGGCACCGCTTGACAGCTAGAATGGTTAAAAAAAAAGTTATATGATGCATTTTAAGGTAAGTGAAAATGTTTGAAATGAAAAAGATATGTTTCACATACAAACACACATGTTGATAAATACAAGAGGCCCATGGGCCTTAACGGTCACCTGAGTCTACAGTATTTATTTTTGTTGTTGAAATATGTACCATTTTGAGTAAAAAATAGTATAATGTTAACTTAACTTTGTCAGGACCATGAGCTGATCATTCCTAGACCAATTTTAAGTGAGATCGGCCTATTAGAACTTAGTAGCAAAATAGCGGCTATGGCAGCCAAATTGTATTTCTGATTGACCCGAAAAATAACAACACTTTGTCAGGACCATGATTCGATCATTCCTACAA